TCTTTCAATCTAAGAATACGGCTGAACTAGAACTTAATATATGTTTTTTTTTTTTTTTTTTTAAAAAAGGAAACCAATCGCGGGCCGCCACGTGTCAGTGGGGCCCGCGATTAGTGCGCAGGACCGTCCCGTTTTTGTTGCCGTCGCACCTTTTTTTTTTTTTTTTTTTTTTCTTTTTTCTTTTCATAAAAAAGGGTGAGGGATTCTCTCTACTAACGCTGATGCAGGTGCCCTAAAGGATTTGTGGAAGAAACATAGGCCAAATTTTTTTTTTCTATCGGAAACTAAGTATGGTTTACCTCTTTTAGAAAAATTTCAATGTCATTTCGGTTATAATAATCTTGTTACGGTTAATTCTATTGGTTGTAGTGGTGGTTTAGCTCTCTTTTACAATAATAATAATAATAAAGTTTCGGTTTTATTCAAATCTAATAGATTAATTGATGTTGAGACGGTGTATAAAGGGAAAACGATTCATCTCACATTCGTACACGGTGACCCAGTCCCAAAAAAGAGAGACGTGGTTTGGGAACGGTTAACAAGAATGGGTCTTACTCGGTCAACATCTTGGTTCTTAATAGGTGATCTTAACGAACATACCGGAAACCATGAGAAACGGAGGGGTAAGCTACGGCATGCCTCTTCTTTCCTGGATTTTAATGCTATGATCCGGAATTGTGGCTTTTTGGAGTTCCCGGTTACAGGGGATTGGTTATCATGGAGGGGATGGAGGGATAAAAAACCGATTCGATGTCGGCTGGATAGTCTCTAATCATTAATTATGATTATTTACTTTTGTTTTGGAGTTGAATTTGAGAAAAGTTTCTAACACATAAATGAGACAAAATTTGTCTTATAGTTGTGACTTGCCATATTGGTTATAGTAAAAATGTCCAGGTTAAGTTTCTATGTTATGGTTTTCACTGAAGTTAATTATGTTCTTTGACCTTTATATATGTTTGGTCAGCCAATCAGTGTAATACATTTTCAACTCCTCTCTCTCCTACATGAAGAAGAAAGCTAAGTGAGAATATAGTCTGATTTGTAGAGGAAAATGGTTGTATTATTTATATTTGACTAAAAGGTATCAGCTTTTGTAACAAAGGTTGGTTCTATATTTTGAATAAATAAACAAGTGTTTCCTTTTTATCGCATTGAATACACAAAATTAAAGTAGACCTTCCCAATCCCCGAAGACATTTTTCATCGTCTTGTTTGCTGCGAGCGCATAAAATTATCTGAGACCAGTCTCAAGTTGGGTGACTCGGTACGGAATCCTGATTTGGGAGTGATAGAGGTGAAAACCCGAGATCGGAATTAGATTCTGGGTTCTAAGGCTTCTGCATCTCATTGGGATCATCTTTCTTTTAAGTCCAGTGGATGTGATCATGATTCTTGAAATGGAAATGAGATAGGTAGGTAACGTCTACTGAATTTTTACACTTTCCCACTATCTGGTTCTGGTATTGTTAGGTGCTACTGTTCAAGCATATGGATCCATTGTCTCTGTTGATTTATATAGCGGTTCATCTCGCTCGCTCAAGAGACAAAGAAACAAATTTCACCAGGATTTTTGCTTCAAGCCTTGAGAAAGGATGGTGATTCATTTTGGTTTTATATTTGCTTCACTAGTTTTTGCCTTATATTTTAGTTGCGTTTTGTCTCACCTCCATTATCAGGCAAAAAAAAAAAAACATTCTTTGGAACAACATGCAATTTCTTATGCATGCGCAAGTTCCCATTCTGAAATTAATGAGCAGCCACCAGGGAATTTCTCGTGACATTTCAATTGATAATCTGGTAGGGGTTTTGAAGAGCAGTTTCTTGTTCAGGATCAGTGATGTTGGAATCTCCACTTCTAACCTCTTATGGTTAGATCTCTTGCTCTCTCTATCTCTCAGATTTGATTTGTTTGTTAGAGATGAGACAAGAAGCGTTTTACTCCAAAGGCTACATTGTTAATCTTGGATTATGTTCTCTTACAACATTACAACATTTTATACTTAGGTTTCATTCTTAACCTAATTACTATACAACTTAACCGAACTCATTTACATATATGGGCCTTTTACTCACATCTGGCCCAAAGGCCATTTTCTTCCTTCTTCTTCCTACGAGGCTCCGACCAAAGCTTCTTCTTCTTCTGTTGCTTGATCTTCTAAGCTTTTCTTCTCAGCTCTGCATCTTCACCTTATTTGCTTCTCTGTTTCTCTTTTGTAAGATTAAGTTATGAATCAACTTCCAACAAGTGAAATAGATGGGAGATTCCGCTACCTGGTTTTACTAGTAGTTTAACATGCATATAAAACAAGTTTGTCTACCATCCATAGGTGAAGGAATGGGCCAATACTCATGATATCAACAATTCAAAGAACGTGACTTTCAACTCTTACTCTCTTAGTTTGTTAGTCATCTTCCATATTCAGGTAAGATAGCTGTTCTGTATTCATTGTTCTGCTTGCCTTCTGCAGTTACTCCATCACTATAAAAGATGAAGTCTGTAAGATGTCTTGTTTGTTTGGTGCAGACTTATGTGCCTCCAGTCTTGCCGCCTCTAAATATGATATATCCGAAGAATGCTGCTGATGACAGGTACCTTCTATGAAAAGGTTTCGAGCCAAACCACGTAAAATATATATGTTTTTGGGATAAAGAGACATAATTTTTAGCGGCATGGTCTCTTGTAGGTGTAAGAAAAACTGCAGAGGAAAGTATAGTGCAAGAAACCGCAGCTAATATAGCAAGATTTAAGTCAGCCAACCAGAGCTCACTCTCGGATCTTTTGGTCTCTTTTTTTGCAAAGATGATTGATATCTCATACATTCTAGCTTTAAACTTTTTGTTCCCTTTAATGTGTAACATAGAGTACTCTTGATAGAAATTAGTCTCTTGATTTTGCTGTGTCGATGTCTCTATCAGTTTTCAGACATAAATTTGAAGGCCCAAGAGCCTGTTGTTTGTCCATTTACTGGAAGATGGGAAAACATAAGAAGCAACCCTAGATGGCCGCCAAAGACGTATACACTCTTCGTAAGGCTCTTTCTCTTACCCTCTTGCTGACTTATATTCATCTCTATGGCACCATGTGAGTCTCCCGGCTAAAGTGTGAATGTTATATGTTTCAGGTTGAAGATCCTTTTGAGCAGACGGTGAACGCTCCAAGGAGTGTAAAGGATACAAAGATAGGCAGAATAGCTCAAGTATTTCAGATGACATCGCATCTTCTTGCCTCAGATTGTAATAGAAGCTCCATCATTGGGGTTCTGACATGTTCAAGAGTCTTTGAACAGAACAATAAGCCTCCATAGTCAACATCATGAAAACAGTACGCATGATTTCTGTAATCTGCGTGGTCAATCTATCCCATGGAACCAGCAAGTGCAGCAAAACTGGTCACAGAGCTACAATACTCCAAATCCACCATATTGGCCACCACCAACACAGTCCCGACCACAACAGAATTTGTCTCAGAACAACCCCAGGAATCTTCAGGGGCAACCATCTGTCCAGGGCCAAACTTGGCCTACAATCACACAAAGTCAAGCACAGCAGAAGAGTCAAAATAAGAATGGAAACAGACCGTTGAAGAATACGTCTGCAGGTTGAAGTCCAAATCAAGGCCTGGGTTAGCCATTAGGTCATATGAATGGTGTGAACTCTGCAAGACCTGCATCAATAATTCCAAGCAAATGCGGACAGATGTATGTGGAGGCATATGATCAGAGTTGTGCAGACACTCCTTCAAATACCTTTGGATGCTTTTGTATTCTGACCTTAGTTCTTTTTTTTTCTATGAATCTTTTTGTTACAATCAACAGATTTGCAATTGCAGAATGTCATTACTAAATGTCTAGGACTAGATAAACCTTTACTCAGTGAAACACCACAATCAAATTTACAGTTACATGATGAGAAAAAGAAGAAGAAGAAAACAATAAGAGACCGATGTCAAAAAAAAAAAAAACAAATACCAAACAATATAATGTGGTGACTAGAGCAGTAACTTGTCTGGTATCAAGCTCATAGGAGACACTTCTCGCATGTTAGAATCCTGGAACTTGAGTGAGGACCCTCAGATGTGTCAAGAAGAGAAGTATGCCAACCCATAGCCTGTGTGATTTCATGAGTTTTATCCATAACATCAATTGAATCCCTAATGTATGCTCTTCCACCCGGTCTTAATATCCGGTTCAGCTCTTACAATATGGTTCATATCACATCTGATGCATTGTTAACCATTATTGACACAAAGACAAATGGTTAAGCTCAATTACAGGCACCAAACGACCACATACTCAGTTGGAAATCACTATGAAATTGAGTTACAGATAATGTTTACCTTTTTCTCGATTAAGAAGAGTCCTGAAGCATGCACGAAGTCATATTTCCTTAAATGGGTATGTATCAAATGGTTCACACCTGTGGTGAGTGCAAAACTTGTTAAAACATTCAGAGCCAGAATGAGAATCAGTGCTTAATCAATCATGAGCAGGAAACGAACAAGAAGAGTCACAGAACACTCTTAAGGATTCTAAATTCCAAGGAATCAACAATAGGTATCATTATTCTATGTTTTTATATAATAAAAAATGCAAGGAGAAAAGCAGTACCAGTCGTGCATCACTCCTAATAATCCACGATCATACATGACAGGCAATGTGTTTGGCCCGCTGACAGGAACCACAATTAGAGAACCCAGCAATCGAGTTTATGGTCCTTTAGTGCAGCTGCAAATCTGTTAAGGCCAAAGAAATTAAGTAAAGAGAGGTAAGCTAAGATACTGAGGGATTATACCATCATAGAGAGTAATAACCAAAAACAACATGAGACATAGAAAGTATGATTTTTTTGCTCACATTATCAACAGACCAAGTTAATAGACAGAATAGATGCAACCAAAAAAATTTACTTTAAAAAAATTGCAAAAGTTTAGCAACTCTGGCAGTATAAAGAACAAATAGGTAGCAAAAATATGTCCCTGCATCACAAAGAGAGAAAGACAGATAGTTTAACAGCTGTACCAAACATTGTCGCGGTCATCAGATTCATCACAAAGAGGAGGTTTGGTTCTAGCCTCACTACTTCAATAGAAGTTGTTGTTGAAAGGCTTCTGCCAGATTGCAACGTTTCCTTCCTTCAATACCAGTTTCCAGCAAAGGCTAGGAGTAAGATCGCTGGAAAATAAACTGTAAGATTAAAAGAGTAGACATATTGGCTGAATCAAAGTAGCAAATGCTTTCCCTATACCCACAGAGACAATATGTCATTCCAACTTTCCATATTTTTTTATTTCACTAATAAAGCTACGTACCATGATCACTAACTCCAAAATAAATTTTAAGGAACAAAGAAACCCTGAACAAGCCTACTCAAAGCAGATTAAAAGGATGTTACCTGTCCATTGTTCTTCCAGAGCGGGGTCATGCTTATGAACAGGCTGTGCAGACGAAGCAAAATATCCTCCAGCGCGCAGCATTCTATTGATCTCAAGAAGCAAAAATTCACAAAAAAATGAAACAGCAGAATGAAATTTTTCTCTACATATGGATATAACATATGCCTTGTAGCAAATACTCAGACATAGCAGGTACACCACGCTCAAGAGCAAATTGAATTCTCGTGGACATCTTTTTGTGCAACAGACACCAAAGAGGAGAATTTGGCTCTCAGTTTCATAATCATACGTTGGAAGAGTTGAATCAATCAATAAAATTTGTAAGAGAGATGAATTTATAAAGAGATTTTACTACATAGGAGTTGAAGGACTTAAATCCAAACAATTTTTTATTCTGTATGGTTTGATTAACTAGAAAATAAACAACCAAGAACTAACCAAAAAACATAATAAAATTAAACTTGCTACGCTGGTAGTTCGAAAGGAATGGGAATAAAACTAGGGATATAGGTGAGATGAGCAGGCCAAAGATCAACCATAGAACCTACCGAAATCTTCCTGAACACATCTTCCTCTACAATGTAGATGCAAGCTTGCCCAGTTTCATCACAAGTACACACAAATAGCCTCTTCTTACTATCAACGAAGTAACTTGGCTGAGAGTCAAGGCATTTGTGTTGTAATCTCGGGAAGTCTGGTATTGACATAGTCATGAAACACATCCATGCAACGGCCTCTCCATTACCGTCAATCTTGTGCTTTGTCACAAAAATGTCAATATTCCTGGTCATGTAAGATTGCCTTAACACTGAAAACCGATCTCCCCTGAATATAGCAAGGACTTGAGTGTAGCCAAAGTCTTGCTCGTTATGAGGTAGACGACAATAGGTCTTGAACATCTCTTTTGAAAAATCAAAGCTTCTGATGTTATATTGGCGAGCCACTGAATGATAAGCTATCCAATATAAATTCCCATTCAAGGAAACAATAGTATCTACCTGTGGCAGACCCCAATCTTGTTCGGAAGGGGCAGTAACAATGAACTTCCACGCATCAGATTTGCACTCGTAGATGGCAACTTTTGGGTAGAGTTTAGCACTACCATCGAAACAAAAATTCACCCCAAAAACCTTGTAACCCGTTTGGGGTCTACTCCTATCGTATCCTAGGCCACAAAACCTGAAATCTTGATTCTCTATCAATCTCTTCTGTCTTAACCAAGGGTTCCAAACCACAAAACCTTTCTTCCAAATGCTAGCTAACAAGAACCCATCGCAATGAGCTAAGCTAGTACAAGGCATGTCTGAAGTTATATCACGCATCTCAAGAATTGGGTTGTTGTTGTCCAGATTGAGGATGTCTACCGAAAAAATCTGGGAGTTGGTTCTTAAGATGAATTGAGGGCGTGCACAAGCCAAATAGTTCTTCAAGAAACTCTTGTCCTCCCAAAAAGCGTTCCAAGGCTTACATACGGCTCTGGATTGAGCAAGTGATTTCCTTGGCAGTCGACAAAGTATCTCTCCGACCAACTCAGATGGTAGCTTCTCTGATCTTTGAGCGAAAGGAATGGGGGTAAAACTGGGGATATAGGTGAGGTCAGAAGGCCAAAGATCAACCATAGAACCTACCGGAATCTTCCAGAACACACCTTCCTTTACAATGTAGATGCAAGCATGCCCAGTTTCATCACAAGTACACACAAATAGCCTCTTCTTATTATCGACGAAGTAACTTGGCTGAGGGTCAAGGCATTTGTGTTGTAACCTCGGGAACTCTGGTATTGACACAGTCATGAAACACATCCATGCCACGGCCTCTCCATTACCGTCAATTTTGTGCTTTGTCACGAAAATGTCAATCTTCCTGGTCATGTAAGATTGCCTTAACAACGAAAACCGATCTCCCCTGAAAACAGCAAGGACTTGAGTATAGCCAAAGTCTTGATCGCTGTGAGGTAGATGACAAAATGTCTTGAACATCTCCTTTGAAAAACCAAAGCTTCTGATGTTATATTGGCGAGCCACTGAATGTTAAGCAATCAAATATAAATTCCCATTCAAAGACAAGATAGTATCTAACTGTGGCACACCCAAATCTTGCTCGCAAGGGGCATTTGTAATAAAATTCCACGCATCAGATTTGCAATCGTAGATGGCAACGTTTTGGTAGAGTTGGCCACTAGTATCGAAACTAAAATCATACCCAAAAATCTTGTATCCTGTTGTTTCAGCTTTACTGTTATCGTACCCTAGACCACAAAACCTGAATACGTGATTCTCTACCAATCTCTTCCGTCTTAACCAAGGGCTCCAAACCTCAAACCCTTTCTGCTAGATAGCAAGAACCCATCGCAATGAACTAAGCTTGTATGTACTGGAATGTTTGAAGTTGTATCACGCAGCTCAAGTCTCGGGTCACCGTTGTCGTCAGATCGATGATGCCTACTGAACAAATCTGGGAATTGGTCCATACGATGAATTGAGGTCGCCCGTGAGCCAAGTACTTTTTCAAGAAATTCTTGTCCTCCCAAAGAGCGTTCCATGTCTTACTTACGGCTCTGAATCGAGCCAGAGATTTCCTTGGCAATCGACAAAGTATTTTTCCGATCAGGCACGATGGTAGTTTCTCTGCCGGCGCCATTTAATTTTGTTTTTTTTTTTACATCCGGTAAATTTTTTAAAGAAATGAATATTAAATTGTAAATTCTCTTAAAAAACTTTTAAAAACCTTTTGAAATCTTTTAAAAATTTGTAAGACCAAATCTTTTAAAACGTTCACACAACATTTTGAGAGAGAGAGAGAGTTGACTAAATAAGAGTTGACTTATATCCAAACCATTTTCTTTCTGTGGTTTGTTTAGCTAAAAATTAAACAGACAAGGAGCTAAGAAACACAAGGAAACGAAGATGTTATACCAAAGGATAGTTTATTTATGAAAATGTTGTTATTCCTGACTCTATACTCAGATGGATAGGTTCTTGAAAGAAGAGAGGAACTACATCTTAGGTCTGATAATGGTTGCAATGTTTGCTGATCCAGAAGAGTATTTTGAGGGATGATGTGACTGATCTACTGATCAGTATGAAGCAGGAGATGGATAGAATGACGGAGGAAGTGAATAGTGCCGGGTGGTGTGCCTGGTGTCTGAAGCAGCCCGACAAGCATCTGATCAACGAGCAATAAGTCTGGGCGAGCACGGACCAAAAAGAGGCTATCCAATCTGTTGATACCTGCGATCAGATCAGCGATAAAAGCTAGTACCCCCTGTGGATTATTGTTGATTCCAATGATGTCCGTGGCGAGATTGCGGAGAATCCGAAGTGCCGAATCCTGGCTGAGCCGAACCGACCCGTCAGAAGTTGGTCCAGCAGCTGAGTGGTTCTGTCGACTCCTCGCTATTTCAGTTTTCAATAGTGACGACATGGATTTCTATAAAAGGAAGAAAATATAAGAAGGAAATAAATGACTGTCACAAAGAAGAGATCAAGTCAATTCATAATGATTGCCAGGAAGAAGAGATCATATCATAATCCAGTAGAAATAAGGAAGAAATGACTGTCAGGAAGAAGAGATCAATTCATACCCGAGTACTAGCTAGCTCGGACTGTAGAGCGTAGTTAATATTCTGAGACCATTGCTTCAAGTCTTCCTTCAGAGAAGATCCAGTTTTCTGTATGGTATTCTCTGCTTTTTCACTAATGTCCCATAGAATAGCCTCTAGCTTTTCATCTTGATTCTTCATGAATTGTTTCAGCTCCTCCCTTTGTGACACCATCATCTGATGCAATGATTCTATGGAGCTCTTGGCCTCCTCATTCCTCCCTGTAGTTGTTGACTCAGGAAGATTCGGTGAAGAGGGGAAACGGTTCTTCGTCTGTTTTCCAGTTTGACGAGTTGAAGGTTCACCGGAGGAGCCCACTTGCTGATTCATGTGCTGCTGCTTCAAATTCCTCCCCGCTGACTTAAGGGCTTGTGTAGGACGGTTTGTTGCTATCTGTGCCTCAAGCTCTGACATATTTTCTAGCGACTCAGAGGGTTGAGTACGAGCAAGCTGGGACAGTAGAGCGTTGTAATGTTGCTCAGACAATTGCTTCAAGTCTGACTTCAGAGAAGATACAGTTTTCTGTATGGTTTTCTCTGATTTAACATTAATGTCCCATACAGTAACTTTTAGTTTTTCATCTTGTCTCTTCAGAGCACATGTCAGCTGTTTCAGCTCCTCTCCTTGTGACTCCATCATCTGGAATTGAAATAATGTCAGCCTCCAATTAAGATAACACCAGAATATAACATAGTTCCAAAGTAAAACACTTTACCTTATGCAAAGATTCTAAAATTTGATTTTGATGAAAAAGTGAATCTGGACCATTCTCATTGCTCTCTGAAGCTGTTGGAACTAGAGTGTGAGTAGGAATTTCTACATTTTCTATCTGAGTCTCAAGTGAGCTTGCTGTATTTGGTAGAGCAGGAGTGAGCTCAGCAAGGTCTTTATCTACTGTCTCAGTCTCAAGTGAGCTCGCTGAATTCGTTAGACCTGGAGTGGGCTCGAGATGATTTGTCGCCTGAGGTGAGGATTCCTGAAGATTTTCTATCTGCTCAGATGCTTGTGTAGGAAGGCTTGTTGCTATCTTTGTCTCGGATTCAGGCAGACTTTCTAGTGACTCAGAGGCTTGTGTAGGAGGATACCTTGCTATCCGTGTCTCAGACTCTGGAATATCTTCTAGCGACGCAGAGGCTTGTGTATTATCTAAGATCACAGAGAAGACGCGTGAGACATTATAAGATCATAAACGCACAGACACATTCTTAATTCAAAAACTGACATACCTAACACATGATCTAGAATCCAAGCTCAGAAACTCGCACACACATTTGTAGGTTTCATCCAAACGTCAAACTATTAAGGCCAGTGTACAAAATACTGCTGTATTAACAGAAAATAGATATTATTAAAAACAGATGAGAGAAAATGAGGAATACCGAGACCACTGGATCCAGGAAGCACAGTAGATGAAAGCGAAGAAGCTAGCTGATCAGAAATCTGATCTAGCATCTGACTGACTTTCTCCACTATCTCATCCGGATTGTCGCTCATTGCACCTTCGTCTACCGTTTCATCGCCAGATTGCGAAGAAGAGGAGGAGTTATTCTCTGGTTCAGGTAAAGAAGATCTCAGCAAATCGGCCTCATGGTCTTCCAGTGTTTCCTCTTTACGCATAGCTTTTATCAGCTCATCCGCATTTTTGAAACAACCCAATCCTTGGGACAATTGCAACAGAGATTTTAATCCCGACTTGATCACATCTGAATTCATGGACGGACTGTTTGTCGTTTTCTTTGAATCCCTCCTCCCTGTAACTGTTGGAACTTGAGTGTGAGTAGGGATGTCTTCATTCTTTAGCTGAGTCTCAAGTGAGCTCGCTGTATTTGCAAGAGCAGGAGTGGGATCAGGAAGTTCTTTATCTACTGTCTGCGTCTCAAGTGAGCTCGCTGTATTTGCAAGAGCAGGAGTGGGATCAGGAAGTTCTTTATCTACTGTCTCCGTCTCAAGTGAGCTCGCTGGATTTGCAAGAGCAGGAGTGGGATCAGGAAGTTCTTTATCTACTGTCTGAGTCTCAAGTGAGCTCGCTGTATTTGCAAGAGCAGGAGTGGGATCAGGAAGTTCTTTATCTACTGTCTGCGTCTCAAGTGAGCTCGCTGGATTTGTTGGACCTGGAGTGGGCTCCGGATGATTTTCTGTCTGAGGTGAGGACTCCTGAAGATTTTCTATTGGCTCAGATGCTTGTATAGGACGATAAGTTTCTATTTGTGTCTCGGGCTCTGGAATCTTTTCTAGCGACTCAGAGGCTTGTGTATAATCTAAGATCACAGAGAAGACACTATTAGATCATAAACGCACAGACACATTCTTAATACAAAAACTGACAGACACATTCTTAATTCAAAAGCTGACAGACACTTTCTTAATTCAAAAGCTGACAGACACATTCATAATTCAAAAGCTGACAGACCTAACACATGATCTAGAATCCAAGCTCAGAAATGCGCACACACATTTGTAGTTTTCATTCAAACATCAAACTGCTGTATTACTATAAGAGATGAGATAAACTGAGGGATACCGAGAGCACTGGATCTGGGAAGCACAGTAGATGAAGGCAAAGAATCTCGCTGATCTAAGATATGAATGATTTTCTCCAGGTCCTCGTCCTCATCGTCGCTCCGTGCATCATCACCTTTGTCTTCTTTTTCATCGGCAGATTGTGAAAAAGAGGAGGAGTTCTTCTTTGGTTGAGCAGATCTCAGCAAATTGGTTTCATCGTCGACCAGTTGTTCTGCTTCTCCCAAATTGGATTTTATCAACTCATCTGTAGACTTGATGACATCTGAATTCTCCATGGCTTTCATCACATAGCATAATAAAAACCTAAGATTAGGAAGGAACAGTGGAAGCAGAAACACAATGATTCAGGATTGAACAAGATAAATTACGAATCAAAATCTCAGAATCTGAGTTTCAAACAGCTTATTAAATGATTCAAATCGAGTTCGATTTCGATTTCGATCAATGGTGATTACTAGCGAAAACGAATACCTGAGAATCAACTTCTTCTTCTTCTTCTTCTTCTTCTTCTGCTTCTTCTTGCTTCTTCTTGCTTCTTCTTGCTTCTTCTTCTTGCTTCTTCTTGCTTCTTCTTCTTGCTTCTTCTTCTTGCTTCTTCTTGCTTCTTCTTCTTGCTTCTTCTTGCTTCTTCTTGCTTCTTCTTGCTTCTTCTGCTTCTTCTGCTTCTTCTTGCTTCTTCTTCTTCTTCGCTGAAGCTCGTGATGATCGTCTGTTATAGTTTTTATGTATTTTCAATTTTTTGAGTTTTGTATTTGAACCTTTTCCCTCAAATAATATAACAACTTCCCCTGAAAATGGGCCTTGCAATTTTGGGGCTTTCGGGCCCATTTTGTATCAGGAGGAAGGAACCTGCTTGCCCCAACAAAAATAAAAAGACTTAATTAAAATCGATTTTTTTATTAAAGAAGTGTATTAATCGAAATTCAAACTGAAAAAAAAACAATTGATGAAAAAAAAAAAAATTCATTAATTACGAAAAATCGAAAATCATGTAAAATTTCTCACCTTTGTTTGAGTAAAGCTAAGCACAAAGATCTGAGCAGGCAAATGGGGTTTGGAGAGCAGAGAGGAATTCTTCTGATGAAAGAGGAGCAAAGTAAATCTGACCTCTGTACACCTTTTCCAATTGGAATCTCTCTCATCCTGCTTCAGTTGAAGAAAACAAAAAAACAAGGTTCTGATGAAGATGGCAGTTGAAACGGAGCTTGGGTTGAGAACAGCTTTCACTTTGGGCACTTATCGCGATCGAGAGAGAGAGAGAGAGAGCAAAATAAGGATAATACAGTATATGTGGTCGAGGGATGGAGGAAGAGTATTATTAAGAGTGGTTCATGGGTCTCCTTCGGTTTACTCTCTGGAATCCAATGTTTTCCCCCAAATTTGAGTTATTTTTCTTTCTACAAATTACACACATATATTATAATAAAAAATGACAATTTTTTTTCGTTCAAGCTCGCACGTGTGAAGAGGTACTAACACATGTGTCTCCTTCGGTTTACGCCCTGGAATCCAATGTTTTCCACCCCACCGGTTTACCAATTCCACAAAACCGGAGAACCACGGTCTAATAAAATTTATTTATATGTGATTGTGAGGCATATTTTGACTAGTAATATATTTACTTTATTATGCTTATTTTATAAAATTGCTTGTTAATTTTAATATATTTCTTTCTTCATCTTAAATGCCCATCAAATCATTTTAAAGAACAATTAATCCATATTTCTCTTCCAAATTCTTATTGTCCATGCGTTTGTTTTTTTTTTTTTTTTAATTCCTCTTTTTTTTTTTTTAGCAAATATCTCGTTTTGTTTATAAATTGTTTCGACTCTAACAACTACATTTTTTTTTATCAAGCACCGTGTTTATATCTATATATAAAAGTCTCCTTACATATATACCAAAGAGAATCGTTCTACTTTTTTAATTGGAGATGAATAGATGATACAAGGAACATATATGAATAATCACACATTTTGATATGCGGTAAAAATAATACCATAATTAAAGGGGAGTAATACGTTTGTGTTTGCAATTGACAAAGAAGTTTTCTAAGCTAAATTGGTAGAACCCAAGTGATTGAAAAACATTACATATTCTGTTATTCTTGGGTCCTTACTTACATGCCAAGAGAAAACAAGAAAGATCTTAACGGAGAACACCGAACTTTTTTTTGTTACATTAGTAAGTTACACTAGTTCAATATTTCACAACCCCAAAAAAGCTCATAAACATTAATTTACCAAAACACTACATAATGTAATTACGCAACATCATATGGTTCTTTGTTACACTTAGGATGTATTTGGTCCAGAGCCTTACTCTCGGTTCTTGCTTCACTGAGAAAAAGATAGCTAGACTTTGAATCCTCTATTTGATGATCAAATTTTGATCCAAGGCGTTACTTGTTGGTAGTTCCCAGGAAGGAGATCTATTGATGTCTGAGCCTAAAATGGAAGGAAGCTCAACAGCTTGCTTTTGTTCCTGATCATTGGAAGCTCGTTCAAATATAAAAGAAGCTATATTATAGCTGTTTCACTGATACTTTTGCTGTTTCAATTTGCAAGATCCGACTCCATCCATGACTACTGTAGAGTCCATAACAAAATGCTTAGAGCATCCTCAATAGTAGGATATTATATGTGTATCTTATGATTAATTTAGTAATAAATTGAAAAGTGTAGAATTTAAGATTTGTATTTTTGTTTTTTTTTGTTTTTATGCAGGATAATTGGTAGGTTCTTAAGTTGTGCCTTTTAGGATAAAAAATATTAATATTTTTTTTTAACAATTTTAATTATTAAAAACATAATAATTATTGCAAAATAAAAATTTTAAAACATATATGAAATATAATTTATTGCATAAATAACATAAAACACAATTAATTTAAACGTAATTTGTGGAATATTTTGTCTATATGTGCTCGACCAAATCGTTTTTCAATTGTTCATGCATAGCTCGATCACAAATTCGAATTCTAATGGCTATTATATCAATGAGATTTAAATGCATATTTGTAGAATATGTGAAATCCATTCGTTCTCGTATCTCGTTCGTTTTCTACAATCATATTGTAAAAATATTATACAAGCTCGCATAATATTTATATTTTTTTCCTTATCCCAAATATTTATTTCAATATCCACTCAAAAACTTTAACGTCACCGTCTCTTAAACATTGTTTTGTATCTTATATAAGATATTATATCTTAGATTTTAATTAACATTTTGATTTAAATTAAATCCCTAATTCATCTAAGATACACCTAACATCCTACCATTGAGGATGGTCTTACCAGATTTGTGATATTTTCATAACGGCATATAAAACTAGATACTCTACTTTTAAGAATGCTCAAGGTTGTAGAGGGCATAAAAAAGATAAGAACACGTAACAATGAAGATCGTCTCATCAAAGCTCAAAATAGTTTCTACTTTTCTAGTAACAAAATTGGCATAAAGAAAATCAACGTGATTCAACAAAGATGATTACTTGGGGAATAAGGATATGGACAATGTACAAACAGCATTTGCCGCAACTTTCTCTCTATTACTGTTCTTCTTTTCTGGAAGCAACAACCAAAAAACAAAACTTTTACCCCACCTACAGAATCTTAATCCAAATTCGATAAATCATTGAAAACCAAAAGACCACATGTCTTCATGACTCCACTGATTTGCTTCTTTCATATAGATCTTTTCTCCAAGTTTTCACGCACCATTCATTGAGTTATCTGTGTGAACTCCGTTACTGTCAATCTTCCCGTTCACCTGAGCCCTCGGCTTCTAAAACCCGCACCAACAAAAAACACTTAAGGTCAATTTATGGGATTTGTTCAGATTGACAAGGAGAACAAACACAGATTCAGATGCCTACCCAATCAGCAGGATCTACACCGTTCCCATTCAACAGCTTGTGGTTCTCTTCTTTGGTTCTGTCTTTTGAGTTTACTGGGAGCAACTGAGCAGTCCGATCTGGTAATTCTGTTGTATAGAGGTTCGAGAAAGATATGAGAAACTGTGTCTCCGCAAAATAAGACAAAAAGTGTTAAGTTTCAGTGAAGAAGGGTTTTCTGAGATCAAACCTGGTAATTTCTTGTCTAGACAGAACACCACTAAATTCACAGTATACCTAAACAGGGGAAGATAATCAACACAACAAGTCAATATATATCTCTGTATTCAATTTAAGTTCTTTAGTTGGGTAAATTTTCGAGTGAGAGTTAAACATACCATGCAACAACGACATCGACACTGTAATGTTTACGAGAGGCAATGATCAAGAGGCTCTGCACGATTGCAATGAGCCACCCAAACAGCTTTATGAACCTGAACAAAAGAGTGATGCAGAGATGTGATTTACAGAGAAGTTTTTTAAGATGTTGCCAAAAGAAGTTTACAAAGTTTTACCTTTTAGTGCCGTATTTCTGGTAAGTACGGACAAAGACTAGAGTGAATATCATGTGCGATGAGAAAATCAGGTCTCCGCATCCGTACATCACCCCATGAGCTGATGAGATCAGAGTATGAGAACATAAGCAAACAAAGAAATGCGTGTGAACACAATCTGAGATTGGGGAAAGAGAGATATGTATACTCACGGTTAATCTCTAGCACCTCAAGAGCGCTTTTGGGCCATGGCAATCTGGAAACTTTAGAGCCCTGTAGAAAAAAAAGTGGGAAAGATGAAGCTTAACCGATTAGACAGAGGAGACATTGTGCAAGTATCTCAGTTGGTTTACCTCGCGACAGTGATAGTTAGGACCAGGAAGCTGAGTCGAATAGAAAGTTATAACACGGAGAAACTGGCAGGCCTGAAAACAGAAGCATCGACGAACTTTAATATTAACAAGGCAGTAATCTCAGCAAGCTTAAATTATAGCAATAACTATTAAGGGGAACTTACAACTAAGAATGCTAGAACTCTGCACCATATCAACACGGTGTATATCTTTTTGGTTTTCAGAATAAATGGATGGAAAGTCCACTGCAAGAGAAGCTCAAGAGTGTTAATATCGAAATATTATAATGTAGTGGCTGATCTGATACAAAAACTGTCAAAGTAAGATTCAGCTATTACTAAGAACATATCACCAGAAAGAGAGCCAAATCGTACAAAAATCTTATAATAAGGAGGAAACTGTCAGGATCGAAAGACTCACCAGGAAAAAGGAAACAAACACACTAGTGAACACGGTTTCACTTATGTAGCTTCTCTCTTGACCAAGCTCCTGTACAATGGAAAACCAAAGCAATAAGACTCCCATTCTAATCCGATGAATAGTGGACTTTAGAACTGAGCATATAGCTGAAATATCTTAAGAGACAAACCGGAAGAAGAAAGAACCCAAGATCCTGAAGCGTTGGTCCTGGGCGATGAATATAATGAACTCCTTTAGCAGCTAAACCATGAATGTACTGCACACACGAAATAAGTAAACTCAAGAGAAGGAAATAAATACATTGTTGAACTCAAAACGAAAGCAAAGACACATGTTTCTGCTGAAGAAGCAAAGACACAAGCTTTCTCTCAAAAGTTACTATGTATAACAAAACTATGATCAATGATTACAGTATCCAACGTTTTCCATTTAAGGCTTTAACGACAAAGAAACAGCAAGTCATCCATCATCAAACACTCAGCATAAGAAACATCGATCCAATTTATTTGAATTTCAAACTGACAACAACGAAAAAGCTCTCGAGAGATTTCCAAAGTGAGTGAATCTCACTCTCACATATCAAAACTCAAGTTCAAAATTTTAAAGATGTAAAACCTGACAGATAAGACCAGCCAGAAGATATTTCCAGTTCTCAGCAAGAAGACCAATCTCCGTCGTTATCTCAGAGCAAAACCTCTTCCATAGCTATTCAAAAAAAAAACAAAAGAGAGCCCAGAAAGTAACAAAATCAGCTTACAATCTGAAACCAACACAGGATTCGAATTAGGAGAGAAAACATAAAAAAACCAACGAACCTTGGAAGATTCACGACGAATGTAAAGCGTCATCTTATTCTTGTTTGTTTAACGTTGATGATGTTGTTATTGTCTTGTGACAATCACTTCCATATAAGTACTTCACAACCCAACAAATTGGGTCAACATCATCAACCCAAAGAAACCAAAAACACTCTCAACACAAAAATTGGAGAACCCTTTTAAGAAATTTCTAAAGTCTCGAGCTTTAAGCCGGAAAAAGGTCGGATTTTTAGCCGAACACAAATTCGAGGGGGTCAACGATTCAGATGGTCAATACAAGATCTGAGAAGACGAAAGAGAGAATACAAATGACACAGAGAGATCGAAGACGAAAACTAAGAAAAAGCTGAAAAGGAAGATTTACAGAACGTATAATAAAAACTTTTTGAAGTGGAAAAGCGAATTCCTTTAGCAGAATCTGAGAAATGAAGCCATCATAAGAGATTTAAAAGGCCAGAGAGAGAGAGAGAGAAAGAGAGTTCAACACGGAGAAACGGTTGAATTGAAAATTATTAAAACACCACAAATATACAAAAAACCCCGAGAAAATTATATAATTAGAGAAATATATTTTATACGAGGAAAACAAAGTTTCGTTATATGAATAATGTTACCTAATATAGGACTTAAATAAAATTCGTATTTTTTCTTTGATATCTAACATTTTCTAACATTAATTATCAGTATTTATTTATCACATGTTGAATGATACAAGCAGTATTTATATACCAATTTTAGAGAGTGACTGGTTAAAATTGTAACAGTTGAATATTTTCTGTGAATTTTGTGGGTGTATTTAGCTGTTAATTATTCATTTTTTTTGCTATGCAAGTTTATAATGTATCTATAATAATTGGTATTTTTAAATATGGATTATTTGATAAGTACATTTATATCAGATAGTATATGAAGCAACTTAACAAAATTTAACTAGAAAAATATAACAATAAATAAAATAATTCATGGTATAAATAGTCTAGGAAATTCTTCATGGAAATAAAAGAAAACAATCTTCATGCATGTTGACTACTATTTCAAGTTGTATAATTTAAAATGGTAAGAAAATTTAGCTATTTAAGTGATTTTTTTTTTGCCTTTTCCAAATAATTAACTTAAATCAAGTAATGAAAATTATAGAGGGGAAAATGTATGGTCAATGGTGGCTATAGAGAGTAGTAATGAAAGAAAAGTCATAAAAAGTCTCCTTGGGAAAAATATCAAAATGATATTGGAAGTCAAATATTTCAATATACCCATTAAGTTTTGGTGTGCAAGTTTAGATACCATGCATATCAATTGTGTTTTAAGAATTTGGTGGTAACATTTTGGGTCAGACAAGTCTCACACCTTTGGCCTTTAATCTTGTTGTCATTATCAATTCTTACAGAATTAATCGTTTGGCAGCTGCTCTAGATAAAACAGTCGACATCACCATGAGTCTAAGTTTCATGCCTTTATCTTAACGTATACATGTTACAACAAGAAAAATAGCATTACTAGTCCAGCCTGTGTTTTGTTCTAGAACAATAATAAAAAGATGGGAGTGAATGGTTACGCAAAATTGGAGAAACAAAAACTTTACCTTCGTCTAGAGGAAAAATTCGTTGGTATAGTGATCAAATTATGATTGGAATTTTTTCTAAAGTGAAAACACAGAGAGTATATTCGTACGTTCTATATATTATGATAGTTTTTCAAAATTCTGATCAGAAAAGAGCTTTTTCTTTTCTTTTTTTTTGGTTCAGTAAAAAAAACTAAAAAAGTAGTCAGTGGTCACGATCGAGATGAACCCACCAACCGTTATTAACGCCTTTATTTTAAAATTTCGAAGGTAATGTCGGGAGGGTAATTATAAATTTTATTAGTAAGTGATTAAGTGGCCAATTTGCAACTTTTTAAACTAATGTAAATGTGATTAAGGAGGAGGAGCATGTGGGTACGTAGGGTAATGCAGCGAAGCATGTCTGTCAAATACGGTTTTTATGAATCCCTCACATGGCTCCCCTCACTTGCCTACATATCTCTCTATCCTCATCATATCCTTTTCATAACAATTTTTTAAATATATATTATACTAAATGATTTTTGATTCAACCGTAAAAAACGTCTTTGATTTGAAAAGTCTTTTTTTTTTCTCAACAATGTTACGTATCAAAAAAAGGTTAAAAAATTATTATTTTTAATCTAGTTTCCAAAAGAAGAATCATATGCAAAACCCTAAACTCTATATATTATTATTCATAAGAGCATCTCCACTCCAGAACTACTTAAAGGATGCTTAACATTTAATGCATAATATAATTATTATAAATTAATCCAAATCAATCAACTAACAACTTTAAACAAATTATTCTTTCCACTAGAGAAACTTATCAAGGGTACTTAATCATATTTATTTCAAGTTTAAATAAATTTGTAAATAGTTGAAATTAACAATACAAAACTCCACAAGGTCGAATCAAATATGGTAACACTCTCCTGCAAAACAATCAATTCGTTGAAATTGATTCACCAAACTGATTCACCAAATTGATCCACCAAACCGATTATATATATCCAAATTGAAATCAAAACCAAAAATCAAAGAACCCCAAAACAAATCTCAAATCCCCAACGTACCTTCATATCAAATCAAAATCAAACCAAAAACTGATCCTTTGTCGTCAGGAGAAGAGAGAGAGAGTTGAGAGAGAGAGAGATGAAAAAGATTTTTGGCGAAGAAAGAAAAAACTTGGAAAAAAAATTATTTTCATTTTCTCTTTTACTCATCACCCAATCATAATTAAACACGTGTCGGTACTTAATCGTTGCTTCCATGCCTTATTAAAGCAACGGTTCTTTATTTTTTGAGGTTTTTTACTTTATTTTATATTACTTCTGGCCCACTTTCATATGAAGCAACACATAAAAACTCGCCAGTGGAGCTGGCCTAAAATGCATTTCACTATTTTGTACATTGCCCAAATTCTAAAAACGATTAACTCTTATGTTCGTTCATAAACTCTAAATTACAATTATATTAAAGCCCAGTCCATACCAGATCCAACACAGGCTAGCTAGCCCATGAAGCTTCACACTTTCTTCTCTACTCTCTAGACCCGACCGATTGGAGAAACCGGTGGGTTTGTTGCGTATTTCGCCGGTGTTTCTCTCTTCAACAGACCATCTCCGATCAAAACTACTTCTTCTTCTTTCTCCTGACACCAACTCTGATGACTGGTTACTGCTAACGAAATAAAGAACGCTTCCAAGAGAGTGACCGATGAGCTGAACTCAACAGAGTGGAGTTCATCGCCGTGGCTCACTATTTTGAATACTGGCTCGTCTCCTTCCTGTGAGAGAACTCAATCAGGTTTTTTAAAATGACTCGAGATCATTAATGCCCAAAATTACTCTTGAACAGAACGAGTTTTAGTTTACCTGATCAAACAGTTGAAAGTAGCTTGAGAAAGTGTGAGACTTTGTATGATCATTAGATATGACACGGAGTTTGCAACCGATGTCCCAACCACCGCAGTCGCATGCTCCACCTGATCTCCACCGCTCAATCAACGGCAAAGGGGAATTGTTACTGTCTTTGGGTAATGTGTGAGCTCCACTTGGGAGTATGATAGTAGTTTTGTTCTGTCTCTGACTCATGTTTCTTGTCTGAACAATTGCTGCAAGCTCTTCGTTTGTTGAAGGACTGAACAGAACAGATTCTGATTTGTGGATTGATGAATCTTCTGAGGTATAAGAAGTGACAGTCTTCATTTGACCAATTGTTGTATGTACAAATGGATGTTCATTCTTGTGGCGGCCTAACCAGTTTCCACTCTTGTTCTTGACCTCGTTGATGGTGTACAATGTGTAAGACCGTGAAGATGAATCGGAACTTTTCATGGTGGCAGCAAGAACGTTATTGTCGTTGTTGTCTCCAACCACAAACTGAAACAAATTGATTCCTTTTCTCAATGTGAATTGCAAAAGAGCATGAACTCTTGAGCTGCATTGCTTCTTCTCCATGGTTGGTGGTTTTGTGTTGGAAGGTTTTGAAGCCAATGGGACACTCCTTTTTTCGGTTTTGGGTTTTAGTATAGGACCTGATCTACTTCTGCTGTGACCCTTCTGCTTTGCTCTGGTCGAGTGATTGGGGTAAACTGAGTCAGTGAATGTCAAAGGACCTGATTTAGCTGAAGCGTTAGATACGCTGGACAATGATGATGAGCTTTCTTTGGAACTGAAACTTCTACTCATCTGACTAAAACTGAAGCTAAACCGCCGGTTAGGGGAAGCATCTCTTGCCTTTTTAGATGTCAAAGTGTGAATATTTTGCTCCAACAAGCATGGTTTCTCAACAAAATTTTTGTTTCTTTCAATCACATTTGCCGGACTTGAAAACTCGCCTTGGACATCATGCCTTCTATCTTCAACTGTGCTAGATACATCAGATAAAAGCTTGGAACTTGTCTCTGACCCTGGAGAGGTACACAGGCTAATCTCAGAGGCATTACTTAGCTCTTTTTTTACTAGACTCTTGTTTAGAGATGCTTGCTGTTCTTTCTGCTTCATACTCAGAAGTTGATGATCTCGTTTTCCCTTTTGATCCATTCTCATCATTGTATCAGCATCCATTGCAACTGAACAAGCTTGTGATCTAAGTGAGAAACTGTGATTTCTCATGTGCTGAGACTTCAAATCCACCTCCAATCTTTTGATAACACCAGTAGATAAATCTAGTTCCAACGAACTTGCAGCAGTGTCCTCATAGCTACAACAAGACCCTTTGCTTCCCTCTGCATTAGTATCCTTCCATTTTTCCATCTGTTTCCAATCCAAAACCCCAAAACTGAGCGCCTTTCCTGGGGAATCTTCTTTACTTCTTCGGAGATACCTTGGCGGATCCAACATATCATGCTTCACCAACTCATCCTTGCCCTGACATAAGGGATATCTATCCTCATGAACCTTAGAGGCTCTTTGTTGCCTCACCATACTGATATAATAATCACCTGCAACCTCCTCAAAGCAGTGGCTCTATATTGCCTTCTAGACTTTACCAAATCTTAGTTTCTTCATCCACTTTTACACTAAACACTCTGCAAATAATAAAATATAACATGGTCAAAAAAACAAGATTATCAGAGAACTGAAGCATAATAATTTCACTAGAGAACTCAATGGAGTCACACAACTGAAGTATTCATACTCAATTCTTAGCAAAGCTAAGTCTCTTGAAGAATTGAGGCTCTGGAGGATATCAGTAGATCTCTGAATAGTTCTTAGAAATCAATCACACGGAACGAATGTAACGCAGGAACGAAGCAAAACAACAGATTAACAGATCTAAGTGAAATTTAAGAGAATCAGAAACCTTTGTCAAGAAAATCAGCAAAGGAGAAGAAAGAGAAAGCAAAATTGAATTGGCACTTTCCCTTTTCTTTTTCTCTCACTCCAAACCAAACCAAACCAGAGAAAGAGATGGAAAAAGTGGGAATTAGGGACCACTTACGGAGAAAAACTCAGGCAGATCGGAGAAAGCTGTGAGAGGATAAAGAAGAAAAGCTTGAAGCTTGGTGGCGCGAAATGGATAAGGTAGAAGACGAAGGGAGAGACGAAGCAAATAGTGTTTTTGTAGAGATGATGATTCCGACCGAAGCAAAGTACTTAAAACTGCCACTGAAGTCCAAACACTTGAGTTTCAGTTACTACTACTGCTGAATTTAATTCCTTCTTCTTTATTAATTCCATTTATTATTACTCTCTTCCGTTAAATATCTTGTTTTACTCTAATTTAACTAATTCAAATATTAAAACATTAAAAAAAAAAAAAAAAAAAACAAAGTTGTGTATTTTTTTATGCTGATATAGGATTTCAAGTACAAGAAGATTTGGACAACGTAATGTTTAGTACAAGCATTTTATCAGTGTTCTAAATTTGGTACAATGGTATCTTCTTCCTCTTACATTTTTGTTTTATCTTGTCGTGATAAAATCTGTTGGATGTGATTTGTAAGAAAGCTGACAATGATTTCGCAGGAGAATTTGGTCCGGCTAAGATGCTTGTAATTGTTTTATGTGGGTTATTTAACTTATTTTGCTATCTCTCTCTTTTTCCGCATTATTGAAGAACTGTTTAGCTGAAGAAAAACAATAGAAAGCTAGGGACTTAATTAATTGTTTTCTTCTTTTTTGTAGCTGTTTGCATTGACACTAGATCTAGATTCAAAACGAAAGGTTCGAATATATATTTGCTTTTACATCAATCAAGTGAATCAATTTGAAATGCATTAAAGGAAAGTGTAATTTTGAAATTGGTTTTGATTACTCATCACAAAACAGTGAAAAGTTGGTTTTAGTTGAGTAGATGTCGTTGGCTTATCCGTATAATTAAGTTGGTATGTCTCACTGCTCACTATGCACATGATGTAAGAAAATAGATAAACAAAAACATAGTTCTCATGCTTCTCTTCCCCTCTCAAACATAATACTTAGATTTCTCATAGCTACGAGGGTACATTTATCAAGAACTAAACAATAACAAGAGAAGGAACAAGCAAATGTAGCTATGACACCCGCACATAGATATGTGTACCGACTTCCGAATGAGAAAGTGGCTTGAAATCTTCTTTGTTGTCGTCCAAAACTCTCCTTTGGGTAGATTTGAAGTCGAGGCCACATACTTGGATCACCAGCAGAAGCCAGAATCAAACACTTAGAGTCGCTCTCAAACTAGAAAAATCCAAAATAGTCGAGACAATCAGACATACCACCCCGAGCTAGAATCGCTGCATCCTGCATTGGCCTCCAGTATTGACCATAACTTAGAGAACGCCTTTAATCAGCTCCATATATACCATCTCATTCTCATGCATCCCTCATTTAATTCATGTTTTATAATCCAGCCATAGCTCTTCCTCTTTTTACTTCTTTCTAATTTTTATTTTAAAGTAAAGTGAACGTGAAAGACATATCGTTTAACTGTTTCTCTACCGACATCATTTCCAAATAGGATTACTTTTCATTGTTAATTTAAATTTTAGTGGATCATGCAATTTTTTTTTCTTGTAAGAAAAACCTTTAACAAACAATTTTACGTCGACACAAAAAAGAAAGAAGATACTTTACCTATAGTTAGCTAGCTACTTAGCTTACAATATATGTATATATGCATTAGTTTGTTTATATATAAGCTGGAAAAAAACGAATTTAGAGTACAAATATACGGCAAAATAATTACTTTATTGATGGACATAGTTGTAGCTTTTTTAAAAGAAAAATCCGACAAGGAAATCTCGAGTTTGCTTCATAACAAGAACATAGCATATAATTAGTAGGACCAGTCTCTTCCTCTCAAGACGAAACACTTTTTATAGGCAAAGACTAGCCAAGTCCCCCTATGTCCACTACGACAACGACCTCTCCCAATTCTCTTTAGTAGTTGAATCCACCAAACTAAAGGAAGATGTTGTCTAGTAAAAACGTCGTCGTAGTCGAGGCTTGGAACACCACCACCACAACACAAACGCAAACGCAGACGCCTCACAGACCGTCATTGTTGCACCCAACTTTTTATTGGGGTTACAACTGCCAAGTGCTCTTCTCAGGATGGCCTGGTTCTGACCGTGGGATGTATGCACTGGCACTTATCTTCGTCTTCTTTTTGGCGTTCTTGGCTGAGTGGCTAGCTCGGTGCTCTGACGCAGCCTCCATAAAACCGGGTGCTGATAAGCTTGCAAAGGTTGCTTTCCGTACGGCTATGTACGCCGTTAAGTCCGGGTTTAGCTACCTTGTGATCCTTGCTGTTGTTTCGTTCAACGGTGGCGTTTTCCTAGCCGCGATTTTCGGGCATGCTCTCGGGTTCACCGTTTTTCGTGGACGAGCGTTTCGAAATGTGGGTCGTGTCGACGGGTAGGACTCATGAGTGAAAATATATATCATCAGTACCTTCAAGGCTAAATAACCGAACCAAACGAGAATGGAACTTGTTTTTGGTTTTTGTTGGCGTGATTTGTCATTTGTGTTGTGAAATGTAAAGAAAAAAAGAAAAAAAATACAAACAAAAGAGAGTTGTATTGTGTAATACGTTGCATTTGGTCTGGTGTGTGGAGTAAAGTTTTGTTATTTTGGTTTTCATTTTTTTTTATTTCTTTATAATAATAAACTTTTGACGAATATATAATTACAATTTTCTGATGTCAAAAAAAAAAAAAAATTCATCATTCGAGGAATATACATATGTATATACTTCGGTCAATTCTCCTAAATTTATAGCTCTAAATATGGCAATTTCCCAATAATTACAACACCAACAAAACAAAATTAAAAAAAAACTCTGTTGACTGAAAAGGTCAACCTAAGATTGTAGAAATTTAACATTTTTTAATTAAAAAAAATAGAAATTTCTGGAACAGATAAAATCACTTCTCTCGACTTCCTCAGCTCTCTCGTTTGGATTACCAATGGCGACGATGATCGGATTCGACCTCTCCTGCTTCAAATCAATATCGTTCTCCTCATCATCATCAGACCTCAATTCCCTCAGCTCAAAGCTCTCTTCACTCTCTCTCAAACCCTCCTCTCAACAGCCACGAAAATCAACGGTTATCCGTATGGGCGGCGGTCCGAGAACATTCCCCGGCGGCGTCTCTAAATGGCAGTGGAAAAGGATGCAAGCGAAGAAACAGAAACAGCTACTCAAAGCGAGGTTATGCCGAGAACGCCAGATCTACGAGATGAGGAAACGCGCCGAGCTTAAAGCTGCGGTGGCTGAGCTTGAACGGCCGTGGGAACCCGTTCAGAAACCGCCGAATCTGTTCTCCGTTTGTGCCGATGAGCAAGTCAAGGTCCTCGCGGATCGGTTTCAGAAACCCGGAGGATTCGATCTGTGGACCGATCGAGATGGTCCGCAGCTGTTTGAGAGTGTTGATGATTTGCCTTCCGCTAGGTTTTTTCCTAAAGGCGTTGTTCATAGTGTGAAGCCTTATGGTAGATTAACAAACTCTGTTGATGATGATCCTGATGGTGAAGAGAGTGTGCCAAAAGATGGGAAGCTGCGTGGTCGTAGGGTGAGGAAGAGGGTTGAAATCAAGGGGATGGAGAGAGGTGAAGGAAGTAGTAAGAGGATTGAGAATCGTGTTAATGGTGGGAATTTGAGAAATGGAAGGTCTCAGATATATGAAATGACTTTGCAGAACGATGGGAGATACGAAGTTGGATCTTAGATTAGTTTTGTTGTATTCATCATAATCATTGATGATATGTCTCTGAACATACACCTGTAATAGTTTGATCGTGCATATGCTTTAATCATAGATGTCTCTGTTCAAGTATTAGTTTTGGGCGATGGATCAATGGTTTGAGTGGTCTATAGATTGTTATGAGTGTGCAGATGTGTGTGTGTGTGTCGTGAATCTGTCTATAGGATAGTATCAGTTTCCAGGATGTTAGGTGGTGATAGGGAATGATGTACATTTTACCAATTCGTGTGAGGCTACTGAGATTGTTGTTACATTTGTGTAGTAATCATTTTAGTGGCTATACATGAGTTTAAAGGATGCTTGAACATGATGCAGAACATAAAGCAATTACTTTCTTTTGTATCGGAAGTAGAGAAAGATAACAAAACAATCCTTGTTGCTGTCGACTGGCGGCAATATAAAACAAACAGGACTTGTGAATTTAAAGAGATAAACTCAGAATATCGTTGAAAGCCGCAAAATCTGCCCTTTTACCTCCACATCACAGCTCTTACTTCCCTCTTCTTCACTAGACATGGCTTTCATCTTCATTGTCTCCGTACGAGAAGATGTAGCTGGCGTCTTGGATTTATTAGAGTAAGAAACACGTACACCATCATTGGTGATATCAAACTGCATGTTATCGTCTGATGTCAATACATTTCAATCATCTGAGAAAAGCAGAAGAAGGCGACGATGTTATACATAAATCCGAACTCCTCTGTTTGGAATCATATTTCCTCTGTTTCTTCTTACATCCCTCACTTTCATCTTCACTCCCCAAATAGCTTTTTGGATGTGTGTCTTGTGATGTATGTGTGGTGGTTTTCCAATTGCGTTAAATTTTTGCCAATATGTTTGTGTTGTGTCATGCGTTTAGAAGTAGAAAAGAATTGGTGATCATCATTTATTTCCCTGGATGTATTAGATATGTAGATTTACACAAAACATGTACCAAACATGTATTAGATTAGGATTTACCCCGTGGTACACCACGAGTCCATAATTTAATATATTTGTTTGGTTTATCATTTTCGTAATTAGTTTTTATAGTATAGTTTTATACGTGTTTATTTCATTTGATTTTACATAATTTTATGAATCTGTATTATAAGTAGATTCCTATATATATGTGGTTAACTTGCGCTACACCGCGGAATAATTTTGTCGTAATACAAATTATATTTTAACTTAACCCGTATCAATATTTTATTATAGACAACCCGTAAGAAAAATATAATCATATTTATGTAAACTCAAATCTGTCCAATCATATTTATGTACAATATTATTATATTTTAAAATATTTAGAGTTAAAATATTAATAATACTTTAAATCAAATGTTATAACATTAGGGCATTAGTAAGAGTTTCTGTAATATTTTAAACCTTTCCAAGATATTAAAGTTTATAATAATTTGAAACTTTTTAAAATTATATTTTTCTTAAATTTATAACAGGATTAAACAGAATAATTTTTTTAATTTGGATGCCTAAGAAACCAAATTTCATGCTCATTTGTAGTTGGAAACCTATTAGTCATATTTATAATGGTTTTGAACTCTTATATAAACATTTTCCCTTTATTAATTGAGTTATATACGTCCGTTTTCAAAATTTTAAATTGCAAAATGTGTGGAAAAAAATTTGTATTTTTATTATAAATATTTTTATGTAATAATATACATGGAAAATAAATAAGATTATAGAAATATATTGGAGAGAGATTCAAGTTATTAGAGAGATATTTTAGGAAATTTTTTTGATGTAATAAATATTTGTTTCCAATTTTGAGATTTGCTTGTGATTTAATTACAAAATTAACTTTAAGTTTTGTTATTTATTCAAATGGCAAGGGTTTGATTATGCAAATATTACAAAATAAAAAGTTATAACATAGAATAGATTTTATTACAAAATGTACTTCAAAAATTTTAAGATAGATATGTAGATTTACACAAAACATGTACCACCGCCTAATGGAAATCGAAATAGCTACATGTTGACTTTTCTCTATAAGAAACTGAATTAGGCAAGGTTGGTAAATACTAGTTGAGGGTTTGGCTGGGGAGGTTCTTGTGGGTTTTCAAGCAATCTTATGTCATCGATAAGTTGTGCTTTTGTTACAACTCTCTGAGTTTTGCTAATTGAGAAAATCGGATTATTTTTACCATTCTTTTCGTGATAAGGTAAGCTAATTAAAGTCATGTTGTATGGAGCACTTATTGAGTCATTAGTGCTTGCATGTCATTCCCTACTAAAGTTGGAGAATGCTTGAACAGGAAATGCGACGAAAACACACTTCTCTAACAAGACATCAATCTTACTCGGATTATCTAAAGAAACCGTATAATGCTAATACAAGGTAAGCAAATATCATTATACTGGAGCTATATATACTTTTAGTTTACTTTCCATTGCACATTCTTCCTTATCCTTGTTGTATATTACTATATTATTTTAGTAGCTTTCTGATTATCTCTCTCCTTAATACATGAAATTGAAGTAAATATGATCAGAAGTTTTTGTTTTCGATTGCCGTATCATAGAATTCAGGAGACAAAACTAAAGTTTTTGTTTTCTGATTGCTATATCATGATTAGAAGAGCTGTTTGTACCATTAACTTGGCTATATATTTGATTGCAATTAGTACAAGTCACAAGACGAATAATAAGAATATAGTGATAGCATACAACCCAAAAGCAAGAATTGTTAAGCATGATAGATTCAAAGCTGTAGATAAAAGTGTAAACAGTATAATTTGTTATTCTTCATGTGAATTGTTATGGATGATGGAATGAAATATGACAATAGCAAGCTTCTGACTAATTTTTTTTTTATAAGCATTATCTCGTTTTGCTCACAAAGATATTGATTAAAGCTTTATTTATTCCACCATTCGTGATAAGGATTAATTGGTGATCACTTACTATACTTAAATGGAGAAAATATATATGTTTATGAAATGGCTTAGGTGTATTGGATATCAAAAAGTTTGTCTTTGATGATGCCATAATGGCATGATCTCCACAATTCGCTTTCTTGCTTCGTGTGGTACGTTATCCGCGATATCAATGATTGGGATACATCATGTATCATGCTTAATAGTATCAAAGGAATAGTATCACTTGACATGTATGCAGTAATATCTGATCCAATGGGAATGGTTCCACTTGTTAGATCATCGTGTCTGATATGACTGGTTAGCCATTCTACCGACGTTCAACTTTGCCATCTTTCTGATCTTGATGGTAACGTCCTCTGACTCATCATCAACCATTGCATGGTGCTTCATTTGATTTAGCCATATGTGTTGGCATGTGTCTCCTGTGACCCACTTCTACTGACTACTGTTATAGAGCAGTGCATTACAATGGGAGAGTACTGTACCTATTACCAACTTTTCATGGGGAGCAAAGCACGTGAAATGTATAGAAGAATGTGGCTTAGTGGAGGTTATAGCAATTTCTATCAAATTTCAAATCGTTTAAAGTATTTTTTTTATCTTGTCGCCATGACAATCATGTGAAAGTAGTCACTCTAATAAGCTTTTTGCTTGTCTGAGTTTCAAAAAAATAAAATAATGCAAAAAAATATTAGGACTCTAGAGTCCTAATATTTTGGTAAGTACAAGGCATCTTGTTTAAGTTGTCCATACTCCATAGAAGCAAAGTACTACTAGCTATGAGCTCATGCATGATATCAAAACTTGGCTTAAAAGGGAAACTCTAAGCCTTTAGTAGTTTTTTTCCAATGAAGTCGAGGTCTTCCTAGTTTCAGGCAAATCACGTTTTTCTTTTTTCGTTAAGGTGGTGAGGAAAAAGAACCATTTATAGGAAAATGAGGTTTCATGTGGCAACAACAACTCTCAACATTGTTTTTCTTTAAAGTTCCCTACTATTTGTATATAGACATCATATATACTTGCTATTCTGCGCCAAGTCTTACTAGAAGATTCTCTTCCTCTTATTTTTCTTCTTTCAGTACTGTTTGTTTTTGTTGGTACTGCTTCTTGAAAATTCAGTCAATAGTGATAAGCACTATGGAGAAAGGTTTATCCACTTTCAAAAGCCATAGTGTCACATTTGATACAAGCTTGTATGTCGACTTGTTGAATGCTTATCGGAGCGTATATATACAATCTACACAAGATATGTTTGGATTTTGTTAGCAATTGAAATCCACTAAATTTTAACAACATTCCCATGAATGATCACAAACTTATCATTCATTGGTGTCATGACCTTGACAAAATCATTTTCTTGTAGAAAAATCCATTTCAATCACTGTGCATATGATAGAGCACTATTATCTCTTAATAGTGAGCATTGAACATACTACATAGCTTTAAGCTTTTGCATTTTGTCTAATTTTATGATTAACTCTTAGCTGTAAGAGATAATTTTTTTGCGGCTGAATGTTATTTTGGATTGTAGAAGGAGTAGGAACTTGGAACCGAAGGCCTAAGAGAAGTGAGATCTAATTCGATACAAAGAAGGTCAGTTGAGACTAGAGAGTGATGAGAATAGAGGAAGCATTCGATTTATTAAGCTAAATTAAACATCTCAGATTCTAATGGAGTAGGGGGAGTTAGGTTGAATGCCTTAGAAAGATCATTGTGACAAGATGCAGAATATTGAGAGTTTTGATTCCAAAGAAGAAAAAAGTAAATTGAGTGGGTAGTTTTTACTTGACTTCATATTCTTCATTTTGGTCTGTCAGAATAGGATAACACTTTTGGTGGATATATAATCTTTGTGTTACTACTATACGGTACGTACGTAGTAAGGGAATATATCTTTGTTGTTTCTGCCTGGAAAGGTGAAAAGAATATAAAAACGATCCTGTAAAATTTTGTTGAAGGACAAGTTTTAGGATAAGATTTTGAAGAGCTATGTTCTGTCTTGACATCTCTCTGATACTTCTCTTCTATATATACTTACGAGTTCTTGCAAATACAAGTTTAGGTGACCTTTTACATTACTTACATTTTCGTCTATACGAATACGTCCCTCAACACGCATGTGAAACAAAATAAAGAAAAGTAGAAAATGAAAATTGCCTAAGGCTGTAAATAAAGCAATGTAAAAGAGTGAGAACATGATCTGGGAAACACTGTAGAAGATGATGAGTCAACAACACAAAGGAGCTTAGGCTTATATAAAGAGGACTAAGTTTGCTTCTCCTCCAACAGATAACTTCACACATACACTCCTTAAGAATCAAATCTCTCGTGTGGTGTGTTTTGTCGACTAAAGTTTTGAATACATGGAGCATAAGAAGATCGGTGCAGAACGTCAAGATTCGTACGATGATCAACAGAAATGGGTTTTTGATTCATCTCTCGATAGCAGAGGACGTATTCCTCTTCGAGCTCGAACTGGCGCTTGGAGGGCTGCACTCTTCATCATCGGTACAGAGAACTTTGATTGTATATACTGAGACTATGCTATAAAAGCTCAAAATATAAATCTTTGGTGAAGTCTTTTTTTCTTTTCATCTTCTCTGTGCAGCAATCGAGTTCAGCGAGAGACTGAGTTACTTTGGATTAGCTACGAACTTGGTTGTCTACCTAACAACAATTCTCCACCAAGATCTCAAGACGGCTATAAGAAATGTGAACTACTGGTCAGGTGTCACTACTTTAATGCCACTTCTTGGAGGCTTTGTAGCTGACGCTTATCTCGGCCGTTACGCTACTATCTTGGTTGCAACCACCATTTATCTTATGGTAAGATATATATTCTTACTCATTAACTACTCTAATCCAATTTATATAGAGATTCCATAAACAAGCTTAAATTGTGTCTTGATGTTTAAACAGGGTTTGGTTCTCTTAACAATGTCCTGGTTCATACCGGGCTTGAAACCTTGTCACAAAGAGATGTGCGTTGAACCAAGGGAAGCGCACGAAATAGCCTTCTTCACTGCCATTTACTTGATCTCCATAGGGACTGGAGGTCATAAGCCTTCCCTTGAGAGCTTTGGTGCTGACCAATTCGACGATGATCATGTTGAAGAAAGAAAGATGAAGATGTCTTTCTTTAACTGGTGGAACGTCAGCCTATGTGCTGGTATTCTAACGGCTGTGACGTCTGTTGTCTATATCGAAGACCGGGTTGGTTGGGGTGTTGCTGGCATCATACTAACTGCAATCATGGCTATATCACTTCTCATCTTCCTCTGTGGAAAACCATTCTATCGTCACCGGACACCTTCTGGTAGCCCTTTGACCCCAATGTTACAGGTCTTTGTTGCTGCCATTGCCAAAAGAAATCTACCTTATCCTTCTGATCCTTCTCTGCTTCACGAAGTTTCCAAAACAGAGTTTATAACTGGTCGGCTTCTCTGCCACACAGAGCATCTTAAGTGAGTAGAAGCAAACTCAAAATTTTCATATATGATTTCTTGAGTATCCTAAACTGATTCTGATGTGTGGTTAAAACTTAAAACCTTGCAGATTTCTTGACAAGGCAGCAATAATAGAAGACAACAACCCTCTGGCCTTAGAGAAACAGAGTCCATGGAGACTCGTAACGTTGACAAAAGTAGAAGAAACGAAGCTGATCATCAACGTGATTCCCATATGGCTCTCTACGCTGGCCTTTGGCATCTGTGCGACACAAACTTCGACCTTCTTCATTAAACAAGCAGTCACCATGGACAGACACATCGCTGGCTTCACACTTCCTCCAGCTTCCATGTTCTCTCTCACCGCACTCACACTGATCATCTCAATCACCATCTACGAGAAACTCCTCATTCCCTTGCTAAGACGCATCACACGTAATCAAAGAGGCATCAACATTCTCCAAAGAATCGGGACCGGTATGCTTTTCTCCCTCATCACCATGATCATTGCAGCTCTAGTTGAGAAACAACGATTGAACCGTACCATTAACAACAAGCCGGCCATGAGTGTGATATGGCTAGCTCCTCAGTTCATAATCATCGGCATTGCGGATGCCTTCACACTCGTTGGACTCCAAGAGTACTTCTACGAACAAGTCCCTGATTCCATGAGAAGCTTAGGTATAGCGTTTTACCTAAGTGTGATAGGCGCGGCTAGCTTCTTAAACAATCTCCTGATCACAGCCGTTGATACTCTCGCCGAGGATTTCTCGGGAAAGAGTTGGTTCGGAAAGGACCTGAACAGCAGCCGCTTGGACCGGTTCTACTGGTTTCTCGCCGGTGTAACCGCTGCCAATATATGTGTCTTTATGGTTGTAGCAAAGAGATGCCCTTACAAAAGTGTGCAGCCAACAAGCCAAGGTTCTACTGATTCGTCCGTCTCAGTCGCCTAAATCAATAAGACATGCAATACAAAAGTATATGTCATTAAGTTTTGACATTAAAACAAAAATTAAAGAATGTCGCATTTAAGTTAAAGTTAATATTTTGATATGAAAAAAAAAACCAAAATACAATTTTTTGTACTAGTTCCGTGCTTGTTAGTATAAAATTTCTATTTTCGCACCAAAAAAGTATAAAATTTCTATTTTGATTTTTTTTTTTTGGTTTCACATTGTTTGGTTTGCATAATCTAACTTATTTAGAATACTTATTTGATATTTTCGTACATTTTTTTTTAAGTATGCTAACTTATTACCGATCAAAACCAAAGCATATTTTAAATGTCATAAACTCATAACAAGGTAATAGTAATATATTTTTAAAAAAATAAAGACAACTTGAGAATCGAACAGTTGACGCATATTCCGCGTATCACAGTATCTTTGATGCTTTACCGAAATACCCTTCTCCTTCTCCAAGCAAGATTTAGGGTTTTTCTAAAAGAGTTTACCTTTTCCCTCTCTCTCTCATGTCGATGTCTCCGATCTCCATCGCAATTCAGTTTCCTTCAATTGATGTGACCTTCGATTCCAAATCCTTCAACCCAGAAACGGGTTACTCATAGAAAAGAGTGATAGATAGATATGAATGTTGACGCTAGAGTCGGTGTGGCGGTGGATGGAGCACAGAGTGCTCTTAACACTGCAACCACTGTTCATAGTAGTGTCGTGACGCAAATTAAGCCGCAGGGGCAGCTAGGGGTCGTTGAGAATTTACTCGCTGGAGGTATTGCCGGCGCCTTTAGTAAGACCTGTACCGCTCCTCTTGCTCGCCTCACCATCTTGTTTCAGGTCTGGTTCGAGTCTTGGGTTACCTTTTTTCGTTGGTCAATGTGGGTATCACAGACAATTTGTAAAAATTGGGTCTTTTTGAGCTTGCTGCTTGGTTTTGGTTAGTGAATAAGACAGGTTTTGAGGTTTTTGGATTAGGAATTGATGTGAGGGTTTAAGAACATTTAGTGAGCTCATGAAGTCATGAATAATTTGTTTTGTCCTTTTGGGTTATCACACATTTTGACTTCGTAGCAAAGTTCGAGGCTTTACTTTTTTACAATAATTGCTTGTCTTGAGAGCTTCTTGTCTCTATTGTTTATATTCAGAAGGTTGTTGTCTCTTTCAGTTGCAAGGCATGCAATCAGAAGGTGCTGTGTTAAGCCGTCCAAGCTTATGGTGTGAAGCTTCCCGTGTTATCAATGAGGAAGGATTTAGAGCCTTTTGGAAAGGAAATATGGTTACTGTAGCACACAGGATTCCCTATACTGCAGTAAACTTCTATGCATATGGCGAATACAATAAAGTGAGTTGGATTCCAGTCTTTTCTAATCTGTGTCGTCTGTAACCGTTAACAATGATCTGTCACTCAGCCTCGCAATCCTCTTTTATTTTACAGTTTTTCAATTCAAATCCAGTCGTACAGAGTTTTATAGGAAATACGAGTGGCAACCCGATTGTGCACTTTCTTAGTGGTGGCTTGGCTGGAATGACAGCTGCTTCAGCTACCTATCCCCTCGATCTTGTCAGGACCCGTCTTGCTGCACAGGTAATTGGTTTCCTATCCTTAAATTTTGTTTTTCTTCCTGAATATGATGTTTGAAAGCTTTATTATCCCCTTGATCTAACCAGTTTTTCTTTGTCTTTTCATGGCTTGCATTGCATTATATTTGATCCTTCCCAGAAAAATGCAATGTATTACCAGGGTATTAAGCATGCTTTCCATACCATATACAGAGACGAGGGACTTCTGGGTCTGTATAAAGGACTTGGTCCTACATTGTTGGTATGCTTTGTTTGCTTTCCTATCTTCTCTTGTGGATACTGTGTTGATTGTTAACTTCTTCTTGGTACATCTTTTCTGATGTAGGGTGTTGGGCCAAGTCTTGCTATCAATTTTGCTGCGTATGAGTCTATAAAATCATATTGGCATTCTCATAGGTAAATGTCATCAATAATTGATTTTTTTTCTGTTACTTTTGCACTCCCTACTGAATTTATTTGTTTTTTCCAGATGCTAACTCATCATACATATCTTACTATTTTCTTTGAATCTTTTTTAGGCCAAATGATTCGAAAGTGCTTGTTGGTCTTTGTTGTGGAAGTCTAGCTGGAGCTGTTTCTTCAACAGGTTTACTATTTGACCTGACCTTCTCTCTGCGTTATAGTTTCTAGTTTTGTTCCTAGAGACATGCATATCTGCTTCTTATTATGTTGCATCACATGACACACATTTTGATGCCCATAAACTTTGTAGTTACATATCCGTTGGACCTTGTGAGAAGAAGAATGCAAGTGGAAGGAGCTGGTGGAAGAGCGCGAGTATATAAAAGTGGATTCTTTGGAACATTCAAACAGATATTCAAGTCAGAAGGCATCAGAGGGATATACAGAGGAATAGTGCCTGAATATTACAAAGTGGTTCCTGGCGTTGGTATCCTCTTCATGACAATGGAGGCTTTCAGGATACTCTTAACTTCTCTCCCCAATTGACAACTTCCACTTATACTTCAGAGGAATTTAGTTGTTGCTTATAGAGTTAGTAGAAGAAAGGGACAAACTTGTCTATTCCCCCACTTGGTCATCTTTTCAAACGCTTTGGTAGTAAAATTTATTCTTCTTACTGCCGTGAAGATATAGAGGAAATTTTCCAGTTAGTTGCACTTGGGTGTTAAAAACATTCAAAGGCATCATATTTACACTGTTTCACGTGAGCATATCTATCTGCTGATAATAACATTTGTGTTTTTGTTCTCTCTCTGTTTACCATCATGTTTACACTCTAATGACAGTTATGTAAGTTTTTGTGTTTGATACAAAGATGAGATTTTAACAGTCCTGGAATGTGAACATCGTGTTACTTCAGAAAAAAGATTACTATCCTCAAGAAAATCTTGAAACAATCATCAGTCTTTCCAACAAAGAATGTTTTACAAAGATCAAGAACTCAAATCCAAAAAGACCCACAAAGAAATATCTCATCAAGAACTCTCAAAATCCTAAAACTCTAAGACCTAACTCATCTGTCTTCCCGAAAAAAAAAAAAAACTTTATGAAAAGGATTCATAAGTTACCCCAAATGGCCAATTCAGCTAGAGGTCCTGAGCAAGAAGATACTGAGTTCTTGAGCCGAGTTAGCATCCGGGTTAATGAGATGAAACGACTCCGAGTCAGAGCTTCCAACAACATGCTCGTAATTGGCCCTCATATACATAACCTCATCAGTATCCGAGTCACCCGACTCACCCGACCCGGATCCAGATGGTAACACACCAGCACCAACCGTCATCGACTCCAACCTCTTTAACATCATCCTCGTCTCTTCATTAGCGCTTCTCCGCGCAGCGAAACCTAGCTTTCTCCCGTTACAGAACATCGTCCACACGGGTACGGATCTTAGCAAGCACGACTTCAACTCGGGTCGGGTCGGGCACTCCAAAGCAACACGAACAAGACCCGAACCCATCTCGTGAACCAACTGGCTCGTAGCTATTGAAAGCTCGAGGAGGATGATGGGTTTAACAGAGAGACGGTCGTGTTGAACACAGAACCAGACGTGTCCCTTTCTTCTACCAAATATCGTCCCAATCACCATCGTCTTGGAGGGTCTCTGCGGCACAGTCACGGCGGATAGGTTGTAGTAGTCGGAGGCGGCGGCGGAAGTAGCCTCTGAGGAAGAGGCAGATGAAGAAGCTGAATCTTGAACGTCGATATCGTCTCTCAAAGAAGTGCTGAGACGTTTCTTGGAAGCTCCGGTGGATGATGTTGTTGCTCCGGGGAACGGTACGGTGGATGGATTCGTCGGAGGTGTGATACATGGAAGAAGAAATCGACGGAGTGAGTCGATTTTGGTCATTTTCTTCTTTCTCTCTCTATTGAAAGATGAAATGTGAGATTTTTTTTTTTTTTTCTGAGAGTTTGCAGAGAAAATCTGAAAAACTCTGTTTCTTGTGTTTGCTTTTTATATAAAGGAAGCGCGAAAGAGAGAGAGAGAGAGAGAGAGGGAGAACAAGTGAAGATCCGTTGTGGGCTTTGACTGGGGGTTTGACTGTATTTTACACGTGGAATTTTCTGGATTCGACACGTGGAAAGTGAATCTTTGGATCCTTTGTTTCTTTATTGAAAAAGATTCTATTGTAGATGATAAATAAAAATGTTCACCGGTGAATCGGAAACTCACTCATTGGTTAGTTTTGTTTTGTTATGTTGCTGTGACTTAACCGTACGGTGTTTCTGTATCACAAATTGTGATTCACAATTTACTGCTTTAACGATTTTGGAAGTGACAGAAGAAAAAAGCTTTAAGATAAAAAAGAGTTATGTTGTTGTGCGGATTTCAAGAAATTGGTCAAATAATTTTTTTGTGTTTCACTTTGACAAAAAAGACAATAGATAACACACTTTTTTCATTTAACTGTCGTTTTAAAGTTTTGTTTTTTTTTTTGGCTTAAAAGAAGAATATAATTGTGTACATTTCCAATATGATTTTTGGAACTAAATTGATTACTTTACTGATCCTTTAATATAAAAACCTTACAGTACTAAGGTAAGTCATGATCATATAATTCATGATATCCAGAATGAGAATGTATGTATGTATTTAGAGTTACTACATATATGTAAGAGTATTAGTTTGCATAAAATGTGTCAAACGATATTAGAAAATCTTATGAGAGGAGTAGACTGCTAAATCAGAAGCAAAACATTGCACCCATGTCATCACCATTTTAAATCAGAGATCCATCTCATAGTATATACTATATACTAAGTATGCAGAAGTACTCATATATAGTGGAACAGTAGATTATATAGATTATTAAAGGATATCTATAGTTCACATTTCTCCTCTACAAAGGTAAGTGAAACACATTTTATTTAAATCTTAACAACTCCTCTTCATTAATCCAAACCGCGGTTAACTCCTCGTACTCTATGCGAAGCCATGGTGATTTATGGGACAGTGTAACCTGTAGATAAAACATTAAGACAAAAAAAATGAAGGTAAGTGAAGTCATGTCAAGTTCAAAATATGTATACACATGAGATTTTGAAGAAAATTCTTACGTCCACATCGCTTGCCAGCCTGACGGTTGCGGATGTTACAGCGTTTGGGAACACCTATTGCGATCCCAGGGTTGATTCCAGCTCTCTTGGCTAAAGGAGAGAGCATTACAGCACAAAGGCAACGAGGATTGGTTCTGATAAGAGCACCAACTTTGGCACAGCAAACCGGTGGAACCTTACCCCTCGGGTTCTTTGTAGCAGGCAAACACGGGCTTAGGCTAGCCGCGGCTTGACCAATTGGCATGCGACCACACTCACCAACCGCCTCAGTGTAAGTCAAAGTGATCAGAAGACTCATCACAGCCACTGCAACAAACCTACAACGCTTCATGCTTCTTCTCTTATTCTTGTTCTTCTTCTTGTTTTGTTGAGTGTCTTAATGAGAGTGCTTTGATGATTCTTTTATAGTAAGATGAGTTTAGTGGGGTGGTTGTGTTTTCGTGACGTGTACCTTTAAATTGGATCTTTTCCCATTCTGTAATCATTTGGTTTATGCTTACTTTGATTTAGATTTCACCATCTGTTAAGTGCTTAGTCGTGTGATTTCTTACGTGTTTGTATTTGTTTCTCTCTTTACATTTCTTTCATAAAAACAAGGTTTCAACAACTTTTTGCACTCACTAAATGAACATTCCAATGCCCATTACCTACTTTATTTACATTTGCTTCAATTTTGACACTATAATTATTAACTAGACAAATGCTACAAGGATTTCGAGCTGAGATTTTGTATTATTGGATCTAACAACGGAAAATGTAGTGGAACAGATCGAAAATTAACCAAGTAGGCTATAACAATATATGATTCATCAAATAAGAACCACAAAGAAGAGTTTTGGCTGTGTTCTCACTGACAACCGCTCAATCTTGCCCAATCCACAAACTGCATTCCACCGTAGATGTTATTGGCCAACCGCACACCAACAGTGAAGGCCATAGCTGCCGGAGGCACTTTCTTGGCAAAAGGAGATGCTTCAACCACTCTCTCTAGACCATTGATGATCTGATAACGAGTATTCGAAGAAACACTCAAAAATACACCTGCAATCAATTGCCATTGTTGTGGAGATTAATGATTTAGCAAAGTGAAAGTGAATAAGGTAGAAAAAGCCATATATTATATATACCCCAGAGAGCTGCACTCTTGATTAGTGGTGGTACAGGGATGTTCTCTTCTGATTTATTCATGTTTCTGAGAGAAGAGAATGACAACAAAAATGTAAGCCATATCCAAAAATTTACCCTTTTTTATTGAGCCAGGGGAAAGAGGTGTGTTACCGTTTTGCAGTCATTATCAGATTTGCGATGCCTTGCCCTATGATGCCACATCCAAACCCAACCGCACCATACATTATACCCTGAATAAATGTGAACAAATATTGATCAGCAACGGAAAAATATATGGAGCAATTGACACAGAGATTGTGAAGTTTAATTACCTTGTAGAAGTATGTAGCAAGTCTCTGTTGGGCGGAAAATCTGCATCCTGGTCTTTCAGCTTCAAAAACGCTGCAAAAGTTCCAACATATCAAAATTTAGTAACCAACTTATAAGATGAGAGATGCATGTACTATATGAGAATTGAGTATCTTTTTGAGGGATGTACCTGCTAGGAAGCGCATTATAAGCAAAAGCCATGCGTCCTAAGAAGCCAGCTGATGCAGATGCTTGTCCTATACGAACATAAGGCGCCAACATACCGACTAGAGCAACATTAACCACAGTTCCGACCAATAGATCAGCAACATACAACTCAAACTCCGCCCAGAAATCCTTCCCTCTCTTTTGAACTTCAGCAACAGTAGCACAACAAGAATCAATGACTATCTGAAATAGGCAAACCAAATGCTCATTATTTAATCAATGCAACCATGATAATGTATATCCAAATGTGAATGTACAAGGAGAATCTATTTTCTAAATGAAAAATATGACGATGACAAAAAAAATATGAAAAAATATGACAGGAGTGCCTTACCTCAGCCCCTATTTTAAATAGGAAAGATGGATCAGCCAACATTCTGTTACGTAGCATAGACCATGATCTTACAGCAAACCCAAGCAGCCCAGCTGAGCTCTAAAACCAAAGAAATCCAAACTCAGAACTCTTCTCTAAAACTATTATATCCAGAAGATAACAAAAAGAAAAAGTATTGAAACATGTACCTGCAAATCCAAGTATCTAAGGAGCAGCACTTTGCGGATCCCATAGGTCTTAGCAGCCTCTAACATATCAGATGGAAGAGTAGCTCCCCGAGCTTCAGTCTCTTTCATGACCTCTTCAAATTTCAAAAGAGGTCCAAACTCTTTTTCTTCGTAGTCTTCGCCATCGCCATTGCCTTCTCCTCCATTTCCACCTCCTCCACCATTATTAACTCCCCCATTACCATCATTACCGTTAAAGCCATCACCATCCAAATTCTCAGGCTGATCAGTTCCTAAGTTTCTAACATTTTCTTTCCCTAAGTTGCTATCATCACCTTCTATTTTTGTTAGTTTAGTAGTCGGAACACCACTAGATTGCGGCTCAACAGGAGACTGAGACATATTAACCATCAAAAGCCTCGACCTTTGCCTAGCTGAAACACCTCTAATCCGCAAAACAGGCACTTTCATTGCCTTCACCGTATCTCTAAATACAAAGTCTCGATTACAAATCCCTAACGAAGAGATCTCGTTTCTCACTTTCACAACACTCGAGAATTGATAATTCATTCCACATCCTGCCATTTTCCTCTTCTGTAAACCCCTCTCAAACAGAGATAAATCGACAAATATAAACTCTCTTCAATCAAATCCAAAAAGTTGATGATACAGCTTAGAAGCTTCTTCCAGACAAGCTTCTGCAAAGACAACAAAACTCCCCAAAAATGTATCAAAAAGAATAAACTCGCGAAAACTACACTAAACCGAGGAAATGAAGGGAAAAGAATGAGACCAGCATATAAAAATAATCTCAAAGTTTGAAACTTTAGCCGATGGAGATGAAACCCTAACCTTTGAATCGGGCCAGAAAGAGGAGAGAAATGGTCCCTGCGAAGGAGAAGAACAATGGTGACTGCAAGAGTTGATTAGGGCCACTGGCGCTTATTTTTCTTCGGCTTCACTCTGTATTTATTTCTCTTCAGTCCCTTCTTACACGTGCCGTAACATCTGCACATGTGTGGAAGGGTTTTGTCCTTATTGTTTAATTATTTTCTTACATTGATTTTGTTATTCCGATTGTGAGATACGAACAAAGTACATAAGAATAAACGGATAATATAAGAGGTCAAGAATGAAAGTGCCAACAAAAATTTAGAATTCGCATCATACATAAGCAAACCTCTTCTGAGTTCATTTGTAAACAAAGTCTACTTATACATAAATATTGTATCCAAGACTCATCAAAACAGAGTTTGGTATCAGACTAATGGAAAAACAAAGGACTGGGATCAAGATAGAACAAATCAAATGTTACAACACCCATCATCACACATCATATCCACAACTTCCCTCCAGATTAACCCCAAAAGAATAAGATTACATGAGTTTGCTGTACAAGACAAATACATTTTTCTCTTTTAGAATAATAATAGTCCCATAATAATATAAAGAACACAAGAGAACCCGAACTGAGTGAATGGATTTATGATTGTCTGTTCATCATGGCTAATGATGATCCTTGCATCTGACCACCTGAACTTTTTCTGTGTGATTGCAGATGTTTTAACCTTCTGCTGAGGAAATCGATATATGTCCTGAGTCGATACCTGACTGAGTTTGTAAGAGACAATGGTGGATTCAGAATCAGCATTGGTGCTTCTACTAGAAGAAATACCAGCAACCGCACCGCTTTCGAATATTGGTTTCCAGCATTCTCTATATCTCCCATAACCTCCTTAACCTACAGACAAAGACAGTCACACTAATGGAGTTGAGAAATATTTTATGTACGAGAATGAGAGACAAATTGGTTTAGTTGTTAGTTTTCGATTGTTCTTCATATTCTTTGGGAAAAGGCAAAGGAAACTTACTCCTCCAAGTTTTCCAAGATCAAGGGCTTCTTCGAATATCGTCTCCATTGCATCCGGCATTTTTATATTTCCTGAACCAAATACATGAAAACTCCTTTTAAGATCTTGACTACCTCAAAAACAAGGAAGTTTTTATTTTCCTCGAAGAAGAAACATACCAGGTTCAATACTCTTGGCAAGTTCTTCAGCAAGTTCAATCTCCTGGATAAACTGCCTCTGAATCTGAGAGGATATCTCCTCAGATCCATCATGGCTCAGACCAGTAATTTTATCAGACATGTGGGTATCGTGTTTCAGGCTGCTACTTCTTAGTCTGTTAAAGTCTTGGCTTGGGCTTCCTTCCAAAGCTGAAATTGCCTGAGTATGACATATGTGCAGTGCCTGTTTCCAAATTGCCAGAATCGCCAATTGGATGGAGAAAGCTTCTAAGTGTTTGTCAGATTCAATCTATGAAAAGAATCATGAAAGAATTTACTCAGAAACTCATGATGCTCAGTGAAGGCACGATGATAAGAATTAACTATCTATAAACAAAGTAAGTTTGGTTACCCTTTCATGAACTAATTCTGCAATTGTTGCAGCACATTTTCTTAGAGACCTGATTCTTGTCAGGCTGTGAGTTGATGGCTGTTCAAAAGCATCCCCAAGATCCAGAGACCCATGAGAAGTGCTCGGGGCAGAATTCTGGCTGTCTAGGCTATCAAACCGACTGATGTTGTCGCCAGTAGCACCAATTATTGGCATGGGAGCCGTTGAATTTATGCTTCTGTTGAATAACTCTACAGGAGGAGACGGAGACTTGAATGGGAAATTATACGGCTTCGAAGAACTCAATGAAGATGATGGCATATCCACTGGTGGTCCAGATACGAGAACAAAATCTTGATCCATGGAGTCTTGAGAATCATCTACTGCAGAACTAAATATGTGAGAACCCCAAACAAGAAACTTTTTCATTCTCTAGGATGTCGAAAATAGTTGAGATTCAATTACCTCGTCCTGGAGCAATAAGTGATCTGGAATCAGTCAATTCTGTAGGTTCCCTACGGTTTCTCCTATCCGAATTTATTTGAGTATCAAATCTAAATCTATCGTTTCCCTCTCTTTGGTTGATTCTACTATGTCGGGAAGTATGTTCAGTATATCTTAAAGGACTAGAATCCCCCTCCCGTCTCCCAACTCTGGTATCAACGTTAAATCCAGAGGACGACGTCTTTTTCAAATAGGAAGGGCTCCCGTCAGGTCCACTAGAATCATCATCTAGAAGGAATGGCAAACAGTCTTCTTGAGAACTTTCTTCCATGTTTCTCGAGGGGCTGCTTTCAGAAGAAAGAAAACCGTCCATTGTTCTTAATCCCAATCTACTCCTGCAGCACAGATAATTTCATCAGTACAAATATTTGCATAAAGGAGAGAAAAAGCATTCGTCACGAAAAATGTCAAATCTACCTTGAGAAATCATATGCCTGCCTGTCCGAAAGAAAAGGGTGATTAAAGAACTCTTCAAATGTCAAACGTTCCACTGCGAAAGACAAGATATTTAAGAACGGCTTGTAATCGCATTAAATACACACAAAGAGGACCATAATAAGTGGTATATGAGATGAATAAGCATAGTGTAAGCCACTTTCAAATCACAACTCTAAATTCTGGAACCATGAGTTACTTGGAAAGCTAGAACAATCTAGACTGAAATGACAAAAGTAACAATTTCTGTTTTCAATTATGCTAATCAAACAAATAACTATGGTACATGTTTGAATTGCCAATTAAGCGTGGCCATAATTCTAAATACTTGTACGTTTTTTAGACCAACACACATATGCCAATAGACCCTGAGGCAGCATATGGGTCTCATGCAATATAATTGTAGCCTCCACTAATTCCAGCAGAATTGACTTAAACTGATGCTGACCTGGATTACGGCGCAGTAACTTCTGACACAGATCTATACAGTCCAAACTTAAATCTCTACAGTCCACTGGAAACTGTAACTCGGTTGATCTTATTATGTTTTGAAGCAACTGTGAAGACAAGATGGAGAATGTGTTAGTTTATGCATCAGAAGACAAACACTTGCATACTAAAGAAATCAGTGAGAGACAGAGAAGATACAAAACCTGAATTTGACTGTTTCCTGTAAACGGAGTTCTGCCTGTCACAAGTTGAAATAATATCGCACCAACACTCCAGAGATCTGCCTGTGTATTAAGCTAGATTGTAAGGAGGTCATGTTACGAGAAAAGTATAGGTAGCCTAGTAGGAAAATGGTCTGACCTTTGCATCATACTTTTGAAGTTGCATAATCTCTGGGGCCATATACAATGGTGAACCGCATAAAGTTTCTGCGAGCCCCCTAGGTTGCAGCGATCTGCATTAAGAAAAGTGTGATGTTCAAAATGAGGGAGCTGACATAATAAGCAGAATCCCCCAAGAAAAGAATGAAATTACCTAGAAACTCGACAATATACAATCAAAAGCAGCTGGAGCCCATTTGAAACCTTCTCTAATTCATTCATATTACACTCTTTGATCTAGTAACAAGGGGTGCTGATGACAATACCTTGCAAATCCAAAATCAGCAATCTTCAGATCTGCATCATTTTCATCTGTGGATAGAAGAAGATTCTGTTTCAAAAACGAAAGAACCTTAGATATTAAATTTTAACAAAAGATGGAATCTCCAAGACTGTATCTCTGTTTGGCCAAGGAAACCCTTGGAAAGCATATTCAGTGAAAAAGCAAGACAACAAGTTGAATTGGATACTAACAAATCACCATTCTAAAAAATCCTTTCATCTTTCTGAAAGTTCTATCATTTAACAATAAGCTCAACTAACTTATTAATCTGCATAACAACAACAAAAAGAAAACACCTAGAAGATCATTGAAAGGAATGAGAATCAGACACACCTGAGGCTTTAAATCACGGTGAATAATATTATTGTCACGAAGAACTTGTAAGCCGGCCGCTGTTACATAAAAAGAAAATTGTCTGAGATTAAGAAACATTGTTTTGTCAATCAAAACCAAACAACAAAACAGAGAGAAAGTGGCACTAGAAATAGAATTTACCTAATTGCTGCATGAAATGCTTAGCAGTAGCTTCAGGGACACTTCCACGTTTCTGGACATACACAGACAAGTCACCTCCTTTGCAGTACTCCAACACCAAATGTACTTTCCCGGGAGACTGCATCACATTGCCCAAATAAGAACAAAACCCAAATTTGTTCCACTATACAAGCCTAATTTCATGCATATGATGCAAATATCTTAAATTGAGCAAAGCTAACCTCATCCTCAATTTCTACCTAGAAACAGAGAGAGCCGACAAAAAAAAACGAAACTTTAAATTATATATAAAAAAAACCTTGATCATGTCGATCATACGGATGATATTAGGATGATTGATCCTCCTCAAGATATAAATCTCAGACATGAGACTCTCCTGAAGCTTCTTGTTAAGTCTATCCATGGCGATCTCCTTGATAGCAACCTCAGTGCCGTCAACGCGGTGCCTCGCTTCCCAAACGACCGAGAAAGAACCCGACCCGATTTGCCGACCCACCAAGTAGTCTCCAACGATCCGACCTGTGAACTGAGCCATTTAATTTATCCGATAAACCGGCGCCGAGAATTTAGAGGATCGTAAAGGTTGGAGCTTTAGAAATTGAGCTGAGAGAAGAATCTTTTTGGAATTTTATTTAACGACCCGTCTGGTTGAAAAATTGGATTCGTATTTCGGATAATGAAGAGATAGAGAGAGAGAGAGAGAGAGAGAGGGGTTAATGAAAATTAAAATGTTTTTGAGGATTTATTCTAAGAATCTTCGCACACTAACGTTTACCTCAGTATATGATTAGATCGGGTAATTAATTTAATGATTAATGCTAATTAATGTCATTCTTAAGATTATGTCACGATTTTAGTGGGAAAAGAGGATTTGTTTATGGAATAAAATTAGAGGTTTGATATTTTTTATTTTGTTGCTTTTTATGTTTTTAACGAAGGAGAGATTGAGGCATGAAAACCGTCAATAAAGCGGAGAAAAAAATAACAAAATGAAAACAAAAATTCCAGTTTTGGGGAACCCTGGTTACAAGTTAATACATGGGGAACTTTTTAGGCTTTTACCAAAAAAGCTAAATAAACATTATTGTAAGCTAACTAATTGGGAAATTATTAATATACTGCACGTACCCCACCTCCTTATACTGTTAAAAAAAATGATTTCCACAAAAACGGATACAAATAGTAAAATGACGACTTTCGGTTATATACGATAATGCGGTTTTTAAAAATGGATAATGCGGGTTTTAAAAACGGATAATGGATATCTATTTTTTAATTTGGATGTCCGATATTTAAATATAGATATCCGGTATTTAGATACAAATATATGGTATTTAGATAATATTCGGTATTTTGGTCTAAAATATATGTCATTTCAATATATTTTTTACATATTTACGGATATTCGCAGTTATTTGCGAAGAATAGTTTTTAACAAATATCCAGATTTTCAGATACATACACGATTTCTAAAATCATTAATAATATGGGGAAAATGAAAAGTGAAAAGTATGTAAATATGGGATATCCGCCAATGGATCTCCTCCGGGATGAATTCGCCAAAACAAATCCCACATTCAACATTGAATGGGAACGGGAAATTATGGGGATCAACTAGAATAAAAACGGGATGTTGATCAGGAAGATTTTCAAATCCCAAGTGATCGGGTGAAGAGTTCCAGGGTGGAATTCCCCAAAACATATCCCGCATTCAAGATTGAATGAATACGGGAAAAAATGGGGATCCGCAGGAACAATAATCGGAAATTGATCCGGAACATCAATTCCTGAGTGCTCCGGTGAAGAGTCGACAAGAACGTTCAGTGAGACGTTGTCGTCATCCTCTTCACTGTTGTCTTCAAGTTCTTCATTCTCGGAAACAACAACCGAGGTTTCATCATTGTGTATTATTTTTAGACGAAGAGGAAAAACAAGTGAGAAGAATAAAAAAAAATATAGTTAAAGAAATCAAAATTAGGATAAAGTGTAATCACGTAACTCATACTTAAAAAAATGTAACAAATTAAAGGTCGATAATTGTAAGGTGAGTGCTAACTAACTTTAAGTAAAACATATGTAAAACATAAGTAAAAACTTTATGAAATGCAAGTAAAAACTTTATGAAACATAAGTAAAACTTAGTTTCTTCTTCATACAATAAGTATATTCTATTATATATGACTAACAATCAGTTTATTGGTCGTTGACTCAAATTAATTGTGTCTTTGATAACAAAATAAATAAAAGTTAATACGAGGTCAAGACTAGCAGGTCAAATGATACGAATTGCAATTAGTCGTTGAATCATATTAGTATATATAACGATAAATTAACCATCTGAAATACAAGCAAAACTTAAAAAATGGGTTTGCATCTATTTGTTCTCGTTCTTTCTTCTTATATGCTTTTAACTTTAGGAGCATATGGAATTATAGACGTGAGATTAAATAACATCTACTTTGTTTATCTAATCTTTATATTTGATATTTTTTAATTTGATCGATTTTTTTTCAGAATTTTGATTGTGTGGATACAAACAACCGGTTTTCCAACATCCAATACTGAAACGCCAGAAAATTTAGGTTTGATGGTTAAATTTTTTCAATCGGATATGAAATGTGACAAATAATGTTTTTAGTTAATCATTTATAAATATATGAATTTCTGTTTTTTTAATGTTTAGAAAATTTTTCCAAAAAGAATTAATGGTACCAATTTAAAGACAAAAAAAATGGAACTGAGAACGTTCATCTCGACACGGTCGAGTAATCTGGCCAACATGTAAATCTTCTTCTTTTATCATGCTTTTATTGAAATATTCCAGCATTTATAACAACGACATTAGTTATATAAGGTGGCCTTAAAAGATAATTAAGTAAACGCATAGTTTAGTTATCTTATAGCAGTATGCAAGTATTTTTGAGCTAATATTTACATAAGCAAGTATCTTATCATTAATGATGATGGCCTTATGACATAAGAAGGGGACTCGTCTTTCTTTTTCCCAGGCTATCACTTTCGCGATCAGAACTAATCATCTCTTAGTAAGGAAAAACAATAAGATTAATATCATTATAAGAATGAATAATCAATTATACAACAGATTACGTATAAACATCACTTGCTTTGAGTCAGGCACTATTACGTTCACATTTATTTACCCTAAAAAAATGCAAGAAAATACACCATATATATATTCTCAACAACTAACAATGAGTTGTCGATTTTTAGCTGGAACCAATGCTTAAGTTATAGCATACGTTCAAACTGTGAAAGCCAAACAGAAATCCCATATATCTTTACTGCACTGCCAAAAAGGAATAATAGTTTTTTCTTTTACCAACCTGAGTAATGGATAAAGTAGTCTCATACGTACATATCGATTATTGTTACATTTCTCCAAGTTTGTATAAATCCAAACCAAATTGGAAATAGACCATGTCAAAAACTGAAACGATCGAGCTTACGTGCATGCATGCACTCCTCTTTTCTCATGTTTGAATCTGGTCAAGACCGTGTGAATTATGTCACCTCGGTTGAACGGTAAAACCTATTGGTTTTCAAGTTCAACTGACCGAGTCAATCCATCTTTATACTTATACAAATTAAGATTTATCAGAGTTTGCATCAAAGAAAGCAAGCATCATACGGAATATGTACTTCCTTCTCAAGCTTTTTCCCGGCTGAAAATGAAAACGTTGAATATAGGAACATATAAACTTTGAAGTTTGAATATAGAAACATATGAATGATAAAAGTCTAAGTCATACTAACTTGACACGTTATTTGTCTACAGGCAAACCTCGGCAACAAACTATATATAGACTCAATCGTGGACAACTAAATGTAACGATTTTGCATAAAATGGAGACTTGGACAGTAGTTATCATTGCTATTGCTTGTTGTTTTGGTGTTTTGACATTTCTTGTGACCTTGGCTGGAGCCGGATGCAAAGGTGGGGGTGGTGATAACGGCGGAGGAGGAGGAGGAGGAGGAGGAGGTGATGGAGGAGGAGGAGAGGATGGCGGAGATGTGGAAATTGGGGATGGAGGAAACGGAGGTGGTCTTGGCGGTGATGGATGTAGCGTTGGCGGTGATGGAGGTGGCGGGGGTCATGGAGGGTTTTGGTCCTTTTGGAGTGGTGGTGTTGGAGGGGATGGAGGTGGAGGTGGCTGGGGCGGGGGCGGGGGAGGCTTTGGGGGTGACGGAGGTGGTGGAGGTTTTGGGGCGGGGTGACGGAGGTGGCGGCGGCGGGGGTGGAGGCGGCGGCGGAGGAGGAGGTTGCTGAGCGTCGGTGTTTGATATCAGTTAGAAAAGGTCATGTTTTGTGAAGCATTTTGAGTTTTAGTAGTTTATTTGATGATTATATATATATATATATGTATATAATTTGTTTTTGTGAAGATAATTTGGTTTCCCTATTTTACAGTAGGGATGTATATTAACATTCTTAATGAACCAATATACCATGGTAATATTATCATAGAAACACCAGTGATGATTATGTAGTTTGGATGAATGTGTTTAAGCCAAATTTGAAAACGCATGGAACGGTGCAAATTAATTGGTTCACCGAATATTTTTTCTTAAGTAGTGTATGCCATGCCACAACAAAGAAGAATAGACGAGGTCACAATATGAACAACAACGAATAATCAAATACGGAAAAGTGTTTGGTAAGTTTGAACTATCTGACTCTTGTCTTATTGTCCTATTCCATGACAATGTCTTCACGGGTCAGGACTCCGTCAAGGCGTCACGTTACCATTTCTTTTAGTATTAGATTTACAACCATGTCTACTGAAAATGTTGTAGTATACACATCTTATAGAATATGCGATTTTTATTTTTGTTTATGAAACCAATTAAGCACACCAAATTACTGAAAGCATATATTATTATTTTCATGCCAGAATTTAAGATAGTTGCAAGAATTTTTTTGATGGTTTGATTTTCCTATCAATTTGGAACAATTTGTCAGGATTGTATTTAAAGTAGGATATTTTTAGTTTTTGTAGTTTAAGTTATCCGTTTGGCTATACTTTTGTTCGTTATTAGTGTTTTTAGATTTAGAATAAATCGTTACTAGTATATAAAAAAATATTTAATAAGTTAACTTTTAAAGATAGGTACATACCACTCAGCACGTTCTTGTGTGTTCTTTTAACCAACCTAGCTATCTTTGTGTGATTCTAAATGAACATTAAACATAATGAGAATAGAGACTTTTCCACCTCTTTGGTCCGTCAACTCGTCTAAAGTCAACTAATATCGGTCTGTCACACTAGTAAACATATATACAACTCTCAATTTAATATTTCGAAAGTCAACCACGATTTCATTATATTCCAACACCAAACACAACTATTGTTCTCTCTGAACCACAAAAGAAACTCGGTAAAGATGGCTCCAAGAACACCAAAACAGCGAACCATTCAGCATTTCACGCATATCCATCCATTATTGGAGTTTAACAGCATCGGTGACTTCATCTGCGACGGCTGCAAAACCTACGGCTCAGGTAAGACATATAGATGCGAACCATGCAACTACGATCTTCATGAATATTGCGCAACATGTCCCCTTACCCTCCCAACCTTCATTCATCCTCAGCATACACTCAACCTCGTTGTCCGGAAACAACAGTCCACGCGCCAAAATGACCGTGCGTGCGACATATGCGACGAATCCGTGGAAGGATTGTTCTACAGATGCAAGATATGTGAGTTTGACGTGCATCCGCTCTGCACACAGCTGCCTCAGCACGTCAGGCACGTGCTTCACCCTGCCCATCACTTGGAGTTTCGCCTTGCGGGAGCTAGCCCGTGTATGGTTTGTCACGTCCCGTGTCAATCTTGGAGGTATAGGTGTGAGCTATGTAGATTCGATATTCATATGGAATGTATCTTAGCCGTGTGCAACACGTCACCCTCTGACCAGACCAATGCGTCGGGTACTAAAAGCAGAGGGATAGGTCAACCATCGTCGTCGGCTCAGTGGCAACAACCGCATTATGGTTACCCGTATCCGTATGGACATATGGGACAACAACCTTATTTTAATTATCATCATCCCTATAATAACAATAACTTCAACTACATGAACGGGTTCAATATGAATGCGGGCCAAGTACCAGCGGCTGGGGCGGGTCAAAAGCCGGGTACGAGTAAGGGCTGGAGAATGTTTACTGTAGCATCAAAGCTAACAATGGGAGTTGTTTCTAATGCACTGTTTGGGTTTTCCATTGATAGTCTCATGTCGTAACTTTTTTTTTTTTTTTTTTGCTTTTAATTTCGGTGATGTCCGATAGTACAAAGCCTCGTTGATTATTATTAAAAACATGCAACCATATTTGAAGCCATTAACAAAATATATATTCGCCATATGCACTCGCTTTCTATATGATTACGTTTCTGAACCTTTCATGACAGATAATATTTTAATTTCAAATTAAAGTAGAGTGCATCTAACGGCAGAAAACAAAAATACAAGGCAAAAATATACATCCGGAAAAAAACCATAGAGGAACCAGTCCTTGATTAGAAGCATTGCGCTAAAAAAGAGGCCACATTATATATGCATGTCAGTAATTTAGATATGAAAGTTAAATTTGAAGTATATGAAAAATAATACATACAATATGAAATAAATGGTCTAAAACTTGATAATAATAATAAAAACCACCGACATCAAATGTTGTCAGAAATATCAAAGAGATCTTTAAGATTGAGCTGATAATTCGTTGAGTTAGAGGAGAAATAGAGTAGAGATCATCTAGTAATTAATTAATGTGTTCGCCGATTGACCTCTTGTAGTTAACTCGTCATTTTCTTTTGATGTCTTCAAATCTGAAACATTTGGTGTTTGGATCATTTCCACCATTCCATAAAAACTTTTCTTATGTCAGTTAATTGACACTTGAGCATATTTTTTTTTGTCCACATGGTACAAGATTCTTATTACTCTCTTCCACTCGTACGTGTAGCCTAATCACTTTGCTCTCACACTTAGCCTACAACTTCTCCCTCACGTCGAGATAACCATTACTAATTTTGTCATTTAGCATTTCATTTTTGTCTTTATTTCATTGACTTCCAAAACTTGATGACCATTTTCGTTCTTGACCAATTCTTCGAAACCCCTTTAGATAAGACATCTTGACGAACACTCATAAGTCCAAGTGACCACAACAAGTTTGTCATTTACCCGCATTATATAGTTTCGTTAAAACAATAAGCTCAAATGCGGCCGTAACACTAACACAACTTGGTTAAATCAACGTGAAGTTTGGGTTCAATCAGATTTAACGCGTGTTGTCCTATCAACGACAAAAAAAAAACTCTGTTTGAATGGTGTAAACATTGCTTCTTTAAAGACCACCTTCCCATTCATGCAAAATCTAACCATTACCAAAGAAAAGAAAAAACAAATAAAGACAAAGGAGATGAAGCTAGAAGAAAGACAAGTAATCCAACATAGCGCCCATATCCATCCACTGACGGTGGTTACAGTTGAAGACTTCATATGCAATGGCTGCAACAGCCCCGGCTCTGGGATGACCTACTGCTGCGCAAATTGCGACTACCATCTTCACACCACGTGTCATGATCAGGATCAGCCTCGATATCACATTAAAAGAAGAAGAATGCTTCGCATCTTGAAGTTCATAACGGTTGAGGTTGTCCGCAGTATCATCAATTCTTAGCCATTACCGAACCTATTAAATTTAGTGGTTCGTTTTGAAATGGCACGTCAGTAACGTTGTGCCATTAAGGTCTGGCACCTCTGTTACTTTCTATTCAATAAATTTACTGTGTGTTTACCATCTATAATTGTAGACAACTTATTAAAATGATTACATCCAAACTTCGTAATATGGTTTCCGTATCGAATATAATTGGAGTAGCAATGCATCTTCTGAGTATAAAACATTGAAAACGTGGCAGAACCGATTATCGGAAACTAGTAGCATTACTAAATATTGATCTATGACAAATCGGTAAATGATTCCAATGAGCAAACCAGCTCGAGACTTATATTTCACCGTCCCAGAGTTCTTCAAGACTCTTATAAGGACTCGTCTCATGAACAAATGACATGCCTCTCACCAACCTACCCTGCAACATTGAAACACACGACTTCAATATTTGATAACCCATGTGTGTGACAAAACAATGAATGCTCTTTGACTTATTTGGGCTACAATGTGCAGAGAGTCACTTACCTGTTCAATCTCAGAAAACTTGGTTAACATGTCATCGGGTATAGACCAATCGAAAACATCGAAGTTCTGTTTAATCCTGTCTTCATGGGTGCTTTTGGGAAGAACACTTTGACCGCTTTGGAGACCCCAGCGAAGTGCAACTTGTGCAGGAGTCTTTCCCAGCTTCTCAGCAACACTGCCAAGAATAGGGTTCTTCAGAACATCGCTCTGGAACCACGTTGTTCCTGGAGAACCCAAAGGAGAGTAACCCTACAAAATATCAACTAAAATGTTAATTTCAGAGACAAGTGCCCAGTTTTTATATTTGGATATGGATATGTTCTTCTACATACTGAGAGGTGAACGCCTTTAGATTTGCAGAAATCCCTGAGCACGTTTTGTTGCCATGAAGGGTGACACTCCACCTGGTTAACAGCAGGAGGGACGCGAGCCACCTCCAAGAGATCCGCAAGTTTCTTTGAGGAGAAATTGCTGACACCAATAGCTCGGGCCTTGCCCGCATCAAAGAGTGATTCCATTGCTTTCCATGTGCTAGGAATATCAGTTGGTAAAATGTTCTCTGGTTTAAAGCCACTAGAACCTTTCTTGAGGGTAACAGGCCAATGAATCTTCAAAAGGATCACAACAACTGTTAGTCAATCGAAAAGGTTCTGCAAATTGGTGTAAAACTAAGAAATCAAGTAACAGGAATTTAGATGTTTGAGCAATATCTCACACTAGCCTTGAGACTATAAACAAATGCTGTGATATACATGGTAGATAAGACAACATCTATGAAAAAACCCCACCCGCTTAAAATACCGAAATAGATATCTGACTCTGCAAATTATGTTGAAGAGAAATGCACAGATAATTGGCTTAAGGAAAACAAAACAGGTTTTTCTCATATATCACTTACGAGATACAGATCGACGTAGTCAAGCTGGAGATCCTGTAGAGTACTTTTTAGTGCCTCAGGTACATCTTGAGGATCATGATCTGTACACCTTTCATATGAGCAGGTAACTAGGTTAAAAGCTAACTCTAGACTTGAAAACTGATTTCCAAAAGAAAAATAAATAATCTAAAAGGTATTTAAAACAAAGTGATGCAGAATACCAGAGTTTGGATGTGATGAACATATCCTCACGCTTAACAACTCCATCATCAAACAATTTCTTCAGGACTAACCCAATCTGCAGGAGGAAGAAGTTGGTCGTGGCAAATAAAGACAGGTAGACTCAGTCAGTCACTAAATCACTTCACATCTTTATGTAAATGACAAGAAATTACAGAGAGCGGTGAGCCTATAAGATATAATTGCTAAATTCAAAACAACAGAGATCATCATTAGAATAACACAAGGCAAATGTATGAAAAAATGGGAAATCAGGAATTGTGAACTGAGGAATCCCCAAATGAAGCAAACCAAGATGAGCTGTGTTAATCAAACCCATTGTGATACACAACACAACACATAAGAAAGAACATAACTTTTTAGCTTCAAGTCTGATAAGAAAAATCAAAGCTGGCTCACACAAGTATCAAATTGAACTAAAAAACGACACTCTTCATAAACCAATACAGCTAAACCTATAACTTTCAACACTAATACAAGCACCAGAATCATAATCTCAATGAAATATATATAAGATGAGTTTGGTTTACCTCCTTCTCGTTGCCATAGATTTGAGCACAATCAATGTGGCGATACCCGATCTGCACTAAGTAGAAGAATCATGAGCGATTAAGCTATACGATCAGTGACTAGTCACACAAATGAATTGCAAATCACAAGACGAACCTTAACAGCGGCTTCGACAGTGTTTCCGACGAGACCAGGATCCGCCTGCCACGTTCCGAGACCGACTGATGGTATCTTCGCTCCAGTGTTAAGCTCAAAGTATCTGATTTCGTCGGCCATGATCAGAGCTACAGAAGATGTACAGTAGCAACTGAAAAAATCAACAACACTGAGAGAGACTGCTCTTTGTTAAGGTTTAACGTCACGTGCGAGACTACCGTAGTCCGTAGATATATCAGTTTGGGCCTTTATTAGGCCTTACCGCAGTCCGTATATTTATGCTAATGAAGCTATTTAACCCTTTAAAGGTGAGACTTGCTCAGTTTATTTATTTATTATACATAAACATATAAGAGCATCAGCATTGGTGTAATACCAATCTTGGTCCCTCAATTTTTTTTATAATATTTAGATCATAAGACATTTTAAAATTTTGAGTGTAGGAGCATTGGTGTCTCATGTTATTTGTCCTTCTATTAAATTAATAATATATTAAATCAAGAACTCACCTTCCAGTCCAAATTTAGTGCCCTTAGGTAAACTGCACCACCGACGAGTGCAACATCCCGTAACACCACAATACCAACCAGTCCAGCTTCAGAGCACAAATGTCACATGCATCCACCAAAAATGGCTTTAGTATTAAAGTTTAAAAGGCAGTATTGCAATCTAGGACTCCATTAACTAACAAACGAAGCCAAGTTTAGCAATTAGTTAGTAAACTTAGTTAGGTTTCCTCTTAATATAAATACATGTAATCTTTATAAGAGATCAACAGGACGATATTAATACATGTAATCCTCTTGATATAAATACATGTAATCTTCTGCACCATTGCTACTGCGACACACCCAATAAGAACCTGAATTTAAACATAAGTATAATCAAGAAAACTGAGATGAAATAAAACCTCACACATGTCTTCAGCTTGAAACGTAAAACCAATCTTAACCCCTAAACACATTCAGAGAACATCCAATAATGAGCCAAAACAAAACACATACTAGATCAAAAGACTATACCTTGTCTGCAAGAGGATCAAGGTACGAGCCAACAACAGAATTAATCTTCATCCTCCTAGCCATGTAACCATCTAACTACAAAACCAAGGGTCTATTATAAACAATGTCCTTCTTCCCAATACTAGTAAAACAAAAATCACAAAGAAGAGTTGGACTTGGATTTGCTGCCGTTTTGGTTTGCAGCAGATGACTTGTCCTTTGATTGGCTTTTAGCCATTCCAGTCACTACCTCAAATATAGTAGGAACATCATTGATCATGTTGAACAAGCGCTTCCTGAAATTAAACAAGTTAGTGTACACTCTATCCACATAGAGAAGGAGACCGAAAGAGAAACTGTCATCCATTACCTATCTTCCTTGTGGAAAGAAAACCTCGAGCCGAAGTAAAAGGAAACAGAAAGTAACCAAGCGTCACTGTGAATGGCAATAAGAAAAAGCCATTCTTTTTCAGAGAGCCCATCTCTTGCAAAGTTAATACCAAGAGCTGGCTGTGGAAGCTCAGGAGGCACTTCTTCAGCTGGTAAATTCACTTCTCATTCTTCATTCGGTAACCCATACGAACAAAGATTCTCCTTTTCTGCAAACCAAGATTGCACAATACAAAACCCCAACTTGAATCAAACAACCAGACAAGAAACGAAGTTACTCAAGAGTGAACAATACAAAACCAACTTTAATTAGACTACCATACAAAGACACACTAAATCTAATCAAATACAAAACCCCAACTTGAATCAAACAACCACACAAGAAACCAAGTTTAAAAATCAGAGTGTGCAATATAAACCCGACTCGAATCAAAATACCATACAAATAGACACTAAATCTATACGGCAGACGACAACGACCACACTTCAACGAACACAAACATCGCCGTTTCGCACACGAAGTCCATCGCCGTTTCGCACACGAAGTCGAGAGAGAGAGAGAGAGAGAGAGAATGAGAAATGAACGAGAGACCCCGAAATTTTTTCTTCTCCTCTTACTCTCATCTCCAATTATTCTTTGACACGTGGCAAACGGGACGACTCAAATTTGTCCCGTTTTTAGGTACGTATACAAGATTTAATCCGATTATTGATTTATTTTAAACCAAAAAAACTAGTGGGACTCGGCGTACTAACGCTAATGCCCTTGCTCTAATGGTTGAAAACTTGAAGACACGTCCTAATTAATAACCAGTCATGTAAGAGAACATTTCAACTTAAATTCACATATAATAACAACAATTTGAAACAGAAAAATTTATAACATTAGTGACATTTTCTTCTGTATGATCAGTCAACTCAACCAAAGTCAACTAAATTACTAATTTTTTGTATTTAATAATACCAACTAGAAGTTATTGCATATCTTGCAAATTAAACTCTTGAGTTGATCAGAAGATTAAGCATCAAGATCACACACACACAAAAAAAAGAAAAAAAAAACTTTTGGTTTGCCCCAACCAACCAACCTTTCTCCTAGCTGGGATGTCAAACACGATTCAACATTTCACGCATAACCATCCCTTGACGGAAGTGAACGGTGTTGGCACATACACGTGCAATGGTTGCAAACTGTATGGTGAGGGCAAGACCTATCGGTGCAACGACTGCGACTACGATCTCCATGAATATTGTGCTACATGTCCTCAATTCCTCAGAAACTCATGTCACGGGCCTGATCATGAACTTACCCTGTACAGCGGTCCCACGCACATGACCGAACGTTTGTGCTACGTTTGCCGAGTTTACATCCAAGGGATGTTCTACATTTGCAAGCATTGCAGATTTGAATCTCACCCGCTTTGCACACACGTTCCAATGCATGCCTCGAATCCTGCTGATGCAACGGTAACCAAGGAAAGAAGCCTGCATGATCATGCGGGACAGCCATCGTCGCCACACCATTATGGTCAAGGAAACCCCTATGGTTATGCTATACCATACCCTTATTATGGTGGCCATCAGGATCAGCATCAACTTTCAAAAATGAACACGGGTTCTCAAAAAGCGGATCCCAATCCGGGTTCAAGTACGCCTAAAAAGAAAAAAAGTGGAGTTCTTAATGGCTTCAAGGGTGCACTAGGTATAGGTGCTGGATTAGCAACCAATTTGCTAGTTGCAACAATTACAGGTAGCACCTTGAGTGAAGAAGAGGTTATTCTCTGATTGAATTTATTTACTTGTTTGATTGTTATTGGTGTGTTTTAAGTTTGACGACTTGACGTTGTTTCCCGTTACACTATCGCATGACTGCAAATTGCTCTCTTTTTCAATATTAATGTAAGTTTTGGTATAACATACCAAAGTTTAAGTATTCATACGAAAAACTCTAGACTACAAAAACATAATTACAAATCTAAGTATTCAAGAAGAATCTCATTGTACTAATATACTTACAAATTTTGAAAATTTCTTATATTTTTCTCGATATGAGATTTAGAATATGTCCTCAAAGCTACAAGCCTACAACTTATTGTCACATTGATAAATTCCAACTGGATCCTAATTATTTTGACTGTACATTAATTTTCTTCTAAGATCGAATACTTCTTTGGTCCTTTTTTTTTTTTTCAAGCTCTAATGCTATGTGAATGCAGGAGTTTGGTTGGTATGTTCACAACTATATGCCACATCATATTTCCGGTTTGAAATAACATACAATATATTACAAAATGTATAATATGATTCTTGTAATAAATTCAACAGAAAAACTAATTAATGTGGTCGTAAATTAATGTATCAATGACAACATCCATAAGAAATTAATGTATCAATGACAACATCCATAAGAAATTTGACTATTCCATCAGAATGAGAAACCTCCCATTATTTGACAGAACAAACCAATCAGCTAAAATTCATATCTCACCATCCCATAATTCTTCAAGAGACTTATAAGGGCTCAGTGTCTCATGAACAAAGAAGGAACCATCGATCACTGACCTAGTCTGCATTTTCAATCCATATCAACAACTCTCAGTTCGAGATCAAGCCGAGATATAGCATAGCAACTAACTTTACGCAATGAAATGTTAAGAACGTACCTGTTCAATACCAGAAAACTTAACAAACAAATCATCAGGTATTGACCAGTCGAAAACATCAAAATTCTCTCTCATTCTTCCATCATTGGTACTCTTGGGAAGCACACTGTGGCCCATTTGGAGTCCCCAGCGTAGCGCTACTTGCGCAGGAGATTTTCCGAGCTTTTCCGCGACCATATTCAGTGTCGGGTTCTTCAAAACATCGCTCTTGAGCCCCGTTGTCCCTGGAGAACCCAACGGCGAGTATGCCTGCACAAAACATATTCACTCAATCAATATATAAGGTAGAAAGTAAATGGATTGGTGAGAGATGAGTAGTAATGCTTACACTTAGGTGTACCCCTTTGGATTTGCAGAACTCTCGTAGCTTAGTCTGTTTCCAAGAAGGGTGACATTCGACTTGATTAACAGCAGGAGGAACACGAGCTAACTCCAAGAGATCAGCTAGTTTCTTGGTCGAGAAATTGCTGACACCTATGGCTCTTGCCTTGCCCGAATCATAGAGTGCTTCCATCGCTTTCCATGTGCTAGGAATATCTACAGGCAAAAGATTAATTCCAACGGCACCTTTCTTCATCCGAACAGGCCAGTGCATCTTCAACAATATTCACAAACAACATGTTAATTATGCATTAAGCTTTCGCCATAATGCTATGTAGATCTTGTTTAAGTATATAAACAGGTTTGCACACTTGTTCAACAACATAAGTTGTATAACTATTACAAGGACGTGATGATGTTTACCAGATAAAGGTCGACGTAGTCAAGCTGCAGATCTTGCAGAGTTTTGTTCAATGCCTCCGGGACATCTTGAGGGTCATGATCAGTACACCTTTGACAATTTGTAAATGCAAGATGATTAACGTACATACACTTATTCACAAAAGAGATGCATTAGAAAATCAAAATATACCAGAGCTTGGAGGTGATGAACAACTCCTCACGTTTCACTACATTGTCTTCAAACAATTTTTTCAGAACTGCCCCAATCTGTGAAAGAGAAACAGAGTAAAGTAACTACAAGATTCAAGCGATTGAGAATATAACAAAGAAAGACAAGCCCAATGCACATACTAAAGACTCTTTCCATCAACATTACCAATCAAAATTGAATTTTTTTTATAAATAAACAATATTGCCATAAACACAACAAAGACAAGAAACTTAAAAACTAAAATTGTGTAACAATGTAAGATCAATTCAATATATAAAAAAAGAAAAGAAAAAAAGAATATTTATGTGCCTTTTACCTCTTTTTCGTTGGCATACAGCTGAGCACAATCAATATGACGATAACCAATCTGCAATAAGAATTAAGATTAAACAAAGTATGGATTATAATTAAATCTTTTTCAATAGAAGAAAAAAGTATGGATTCATAAAGCTGGAGAGTATTGGAGTATCTAAAAGAGAATGGGAAGTAAATAAGAACCAAATATCGAAAGAGAAACCTTAACAGCTGCGGCGACTGCATCACCAACGAGGCCAGGAGAGGACTGCCATGTACCGAGACCTACGGAGGGGATCTTAGCGCCGGTGTTGAGCTCAAAGCATTTTATTGGACTGGCCATTATCAGATGTGGTGATGGTGGTTGTTGAATGTACTCACTCAGCATGTCTTCACGTCCACTATTTAAAGGAAAATAAATGAGTGAGAACTCAGAAAGTGTGAAAACGACAGGGGCGTGAGACTCGTGACGAAAATGATTTTTTCGTTTCTTGAATTTTTAACGAGTATAAACCATTACGTGGACAGTGAGAATGTATCTTATTCGTTTATTTAGTAGTGACATGTTTTTTTGTCTACCACATGATATATGGCACCGACGGTCAAACTATTCACAATCGACGGCTGATATGAGAGCTTCATCTTTCACATTTGCCGACATTGTAATTCCCTTGTGAAGAGAACAAATTGGAGAATAATATAAATTCATAAACAGATTTCGATCCAAAACATTACATATTTATTTTCATGTCGCTTATTGGTATTACAGATAGAAAAGGAGGGAAGATATCTTAAATTTCACCGTCCCATAACTCATCAAGGGTCTTATAGAAGCCGTGTGTCTCATGCGCAAACTCAGCAGCTCGGACTAACTTCTCCTGCATGATTTATAGAGTCAGTGTAAAAAACCATGATTTGATGATCTATCATCAACATGAAGGGGTTGAAGAAACAAGAAACTCAAGAAAAAGTTATTTGATTGGTCAAGAAAACAGAGGTAACACTTGCCTGAGGAATGTTAGAGAACTTGACAAACAGATTTTCAGGTATGGACCAGTCAAAAACATCAAGATTCTCCTTGAGCCGAGCCTCGCTCGAGCTCTTTGGTAGAACACTATGACCCATTTGGAGTCCCCAACGGAGAGCCACTTGAGCTGTGCTTCTTCCTAGTTTCTCTGCAACCTCTGTGACAATCGGGTTCTGGAGAACCTTTAGCCTGACTTCTCCCTTAGTTTGGGAACCCAAAGGAGAGTAACCCTATCATCAATCCAAAACCAATTATGGCAGCTTCATTAGTCATTACCTCATACTCACAAAAACATTGTAAATTCAGAACGTGTAAGCATATACTCACAGACAAGTGAACTCCTTTGGATTTGCATAGCTCGTGAAGACCTTGTTGTTGCCAAACTGGGTTACATTCCACTTGGTTAACAGCCGGGGTTACACGTGCCACATCAAGAAGATCTTTGAGCTTCATCGTGGAGAAATTGCTTACACCAATTGCCCGAGCTTTTCCAGAGTCATACAGAGCTTCCATTGCTTTCCATGTACTTGGTATGTCAGGTTTAGTGAGCATCTCAGGTGTTGGCTTAGGTGATTCCTTTTTCAAGCTCACTGGCCAATGTATCTTCAAGTACAAAAGCAAAAAAACACATCAAAATGAAAGAAATAACACAAATCCAAGTTTTTCATTTGCGAACTTATATGTACCAGATATAGATCAACATAGTCAATCTCTAAGTCCTGTAATGTTTTGTCAAGTGCCTTAGGCACATCTTCAGGCAAATGATCGTTGCACCTACAAAACCAAAAGAACATAAACATATGTGTATGCAGACCAGAAAAGGTTTTCCCAAATGAGAGAGTTGGTAGGAAAAGAATACAAACCAGAGCTTGGAAGTGATAAATAACTCCTCACGCTTGACAACACCATCATCAATCAGCTTTTTGAATACAACACCAATCTAACAAATATAGTAACCATAGCATGAATGAGAACAACGAAAACAGGGAGAAAGCAGAACACTTTCACCCAACAGACCACAACATTCATATAAATCGTTCAATGTGATCTCCATTAGGATTCTTGTGCCTTTATGAGCCCACAAAGCTATATAACTTAACACTGTTACCAGTCAAAAATTTCCAAAGGGAATAAAACCATGTTCCATTGCCAAATCAAATATATGGTTCAATATAATTAAAAAGTTATAGACTTTAGAGAAATTGTCAATGTTAAAAATCTTGTCATATAGCCAAATTTTACCTCTTTCTCGTTACCGTAGATAGAAGCACAGTCGATATGTCTGTACCCAATCTAGAATTGACAAGGAGAGGAATGTAAGTGAATTTTTTCATAATCAAAGACATAAGCTTTGAAAATTCGATCCGAAACGGACGGGTAATAATACCTTAATCGCCTGTTCGATAGTTGTACCGACCATGGCGTAGGTTCCTAGGCCGACCGAAGGTAACTTGGCACCAGTGTTCAGCTCGAAGAATCGAATCGGAGCTGCCATCTTTTTCAAAATTCTCTTGGATATTTCTATGCAACAGAAGAAGAAAAGAGAGAAGAAGGTGATGAAATCAAGAAACTAGATGGAGAAGAAAAGACAAATACGCAACTCAGTTTGTTTTCTGCCGCAGTATTGCTTTAAAACGTATGGCCAAATGCCAATGACACGTTTCACTATAGTGCGTTTCTTTCTTTATTTCTGGTAAGGAGCCTTGTCACATATGCACTACATCTACATTAACATAATTATGGCATTTGTTTCTTATAAAAGTGATGTACTGTCAAAGTCCTAAACTAGATAATAATACTAGGAATTTCTTTGGTGTGCATTGTTTTTTTTTCTTCTTCGATAATTAGCATGTCTTTACGATTGTGACATGTTGTTTAGTGCTATTTTATATGATATTATTTTGCTGTTTATGTCATTTTTTGCATATTAATACGAAGATTAACTAGGCAATTTTATCCTAGTTAATTATATCATGCAAACAGAAACTTAAAAATGGATTAATCTTCTAAAATATTGTTATTTGTGCAAGTACAACCCCACGCACCTTAGCTTCTAAGTTACAAAGTGACAAGACCAAGCGATAGCGGTAAATGCTAGTCGTCAGAATTTCGCTACCGGCCCGGGAAGGGGCCAAAAATTTGAAAACAACAACGTAACCTAAAACATTTCACAAAAGTGATCACGAATAAACTAAATATTCATATAAATTTTTATACAATTAGACGAACACACACAAATCATAAAAGCCACGAGACTACTACCCTTTTGGGTTTACATCTCACGATTTTTAGAGAATCAATCTCCCAAACCCAATTATTACATCAGATTTTACTAAACCACACAAAACGGAATTCAAGAACCGTTCTCATCATTCTCACATGCACGCACGCATCGTTAATTAGTTCCTTACAGCAGCGCATATATGTGTGAATCACGTAATAACCTGACGAGAAACTGGTGACTGGACTCCCGTGTAAACAGCACACGTAGTGGTCTTCGACGACGAATTCGTATCGGAAGAAGATCCAAAACCCGATACGTCGACATCGGATCTTGCGAACCGTCCAGAGTCTCCCGGAAGACGAACGTAGTAAGACGAAGAAAGTTGCTGCGACGAGGACTCGTTGCCGTAACGGATTTGCATGACGGCTTTGTAAACCAACGGGATCAGACCCTCCATTATTTCTCTTTATGTGCTATATAGCTAGCGAGACCAAAGAAACAGAACATGTTTGGTTTTTATAGAGCGATCGAGATATTCCACGTGGCGTCTTGTGATTAGTTGCTGCATCCACAAGTTTTCACACGTCATTATATGAGTTTGCAAGGTTAAATATAGAAGCAACCTTTTGAATGTGAAATTTGGCTATACAAGGAGAAGAATCTGATAGCTACATTCAAACTAATATTAAAAAAAACCACGGCTGGTCCAATGGATTTAATTATATATCTTCAACAAAAACTATATGTTAAACAGCTTTTTAATTATATGAAAATCTAAGTTTATCCACATCCAATTTAGATAATGGCATGCAGCTGGAGTGCTGGACTGCTTGATAGTTGTAAACTTACAAATTCTTCTGTCTATTACTTTACTGTATTCTTAGAAATAGACTTTTTATAATGTTCTTATTATTAATAAAGTCTACTAGAGTAGTTACTTAGTTGATTATACGAAACAAAAAAATATTTTATTATGTCAAAATCTTTGAATAATGTGGGAAGTAAATCATAATGAATTTATAAAAGCGGAGGATATGTTTGGATTGTTATAGAAAAAGAATCGTATGATGTCAAAAGATTTGTTAAGTGGTGACGTTTTTGGGGGTAAATAAAATAAGAAATGGTTACGGAATTGTGCCCACTAGATTATTTTTGGTATAGTCAACATATTAAAAGCATTTAGCTATTTGAGATGAATTAAGTAATAAGTTTTGCGTTGAAGAAGCCAATTGAGTAATGATAATATTGACTATTTGTTTTGATATTAATGTTTATCTTCAATCTGCTTGTTGAGCGTACCTGGTATGAGTATGACGACTGTGATTACATACTATAAGACTTAATTTGATTATCTAATAGACTTTTAGGTTGATAGTACCATTTTTAATAAATACGCATAAGACCTCATTATTATGATAATACGGTTAAAATATTATATTCATCTGAAAATCTAAACATGTGAGATACTACTCTTAATTGATAGAAGTGAAGATGAAATGTGTTTGCAAATAACAACATCACGTCAAGAAGTTCTTTACGAGTATAGATAGGAAAATATTGAACATGTTGATTAAAAGAACAAATAATAAAACTGCTAAATGTTGATCAAGGTCAAGGTTGTCCCTCTTTTGCTTTTCATATGGGCCTTAAGTAGTGGTAGTTGAAGCCCAAAAGGTTCGTTGGTCTTTTATAAGTGATAGTTTAGACTTTATATCCACCACTGTCTTTCTTTCTTTTTCCATGAACTATTGTGACAATACTACTAATGTAAATGACGGTAAGGTTAATATATTCTCCAAAAAATTCACATTAAGACTATGGTGATATAAATTTCTACATAATGTGAAAACGAAGATATGCATAAATTTTTCTTAGAAAATTTGCCGTTTTTATTGGTGGTTAAATTAGGTATTACTGTTGATGCATGTTGTCATGCTGATGTTATGTACATGGCACTAAACCTAGAGTTTACTGTATAATAAAAATATGATATGTCAGAGGTTCGAACAATCCAGTTGAGAAAAAATGACACAAGAGATGAATGATAATTCATTTGGTCAGCAATTGAACTTTTAAAACTGATCATATGACTTTTCAATCCCCATGAATTTACTTGTGTTGCATGTTCGAAAGTTAATATAATCCATTATCACTTAAATCGGGATAAATTACCATCATTTTTCTAAATAAATTGGATATATGATTAATTTAGTTTATTAAACTATGTTTTGATTAACTAAATTCTTGATGATATTTCAAAAATCATTTTATGATCGTGAGGATTTACCTAGTTAAAATAGTTTTTAAAGCACTATAGATAGCTCCTATACCCCAAAGAAAGAAAACACAACATACACGTAGGTGTGTAAAGAATGTGTATAAATACTATAAGTCTATAACTACTGTAGATTCACAAGAATAATACGATACAAAATTAATAATTAAAAAACTAATATACGTTCACTTGCGGGTAGCCACTTGGGACAAGCAAACACAAAGATTTTAGATCAGTCAGCTAACTTTTACTAAAATCCAAAGTTCGTATCATCTTTTTTTTCTTCATATATAGAATTCCTACGGTCCAATTAATTAGCATAATAAATTATAACCCCTTGATCGTTTAAAATACTCCACTCGTTTTGGTTTTAATTGATATTTATCACAATCCCTGACCTCCATTATTCTCATTACACCATTCTTGATCTTTTCCGTAATCCATCACCTAATACTAATCATCTAGGGCTCCTCTCTAACCACCCCAAGAAACACAAGGAAGATTAGTTTTTTCCCCCTTCTTTCTTCCTCTAGGGCTTGTTCGTTAACTTCTCAATTGGCCATCTACAATGGAGAAACCTGGTGACTTCTGGATCCCCAAGAAAAGCAACAAAGAATCATCATCTTGGGAAGAGCTGGCTTTCGCGGAGGATGATGCTGCTGGATCTTTATGGCCGCCGAGATCTTACACGTGTAGCTTCTGCCGGAGAGAGTTTAGATCGGCTCAGGCCCTCGGTGGCCACATGAACGTTCACCGAAGAGACAGAGCAAGGCTTAAGCAAGCCGATGACGACCAATACTTATTCTCCAAACCTTCTTCATCTCCGGAGTATCCATCTCATAACGATAGCGATGATATTCGTGAAACATCTTGCTATACTTTGGTTTTTAACTCCAAACCTAACTATTTTAAGAAGACTCAACACTCTTGTGTTATTGATCTTTCTTCTTCTTCTTCTTCTTCTCCTTCTTTACCATATTTGACTCCTTCTTCTAGGGTTTCTTCTGGTTTGCCTGAAAAACAAAATACCTTTTCTTCTTCTCCTTCTTTCCTTGTAGAACCTTCCAACAACTCCAGTTATATTCCCTCTTCTTCTCCATGGTCGTCTCCGAGTACTTTTGTGGACCATAAACGTTGTGATCTATATGCAATTCCGGGTATGGAAGGAGACAAGAAGAGAAAGATCGAAAATGATGTGCCCAAAATCGGGCACAAAGCAAAACTCAGCCTTGGAAACAGCTGCACTACTGATCTCTCGGTGAGCATGAATTTGGTCATCCACCAAAGTTTTCCGATTACTGCTCACGATAGCGATGAAGAGCTCGAGAGGGGTGATATCCGTAAGAGAAGACGAAGGCATGAGAGTCCATCGCAGCCATCTATTTTCATTTCAAGTTTATCTTGTAAGAGTGACATTATTACAAGAAAAGAGGAGATCAAACACAAGGGTGATTGCTTTGAGGATTTAGACCTTGAGCTTAGGCTAGGGACCGATCCACCAAAGGGAATTTGATTGATGAACCGATGAACCTCTACCAAAAGAAAAGGTAAGGAGAAAATATATATATATAAATAGAAACATTTTATATGAGTGTATGTGTATGTGTGTTACTTGGATTTATCGTTCCTTGGTTTTGCGTGTTTTAAATGTACCAGGTATACAGATTTTTGGTTTTACTTCTTTCTTTTTTTGGGGGATAAATTGTATGAAAACTCCATTTTTTTTAAAAACGAAAATTCTAAAGGAAGCACTTAAGGCTTGAGAATTATTTTTCATATACACAATTCGTACTTGATACATTTTCTAAGCATTCCTAGTATACACCCTAATTCACTTTGTACAATATTATTATTGCATGTTTCAATATGTCTTCCCGCGAATGAATCGTATACAATGCTTGCTATATATTGATTTCCCGGTTTATATTCACAGAATGATGAACCAAGTTACGATTAAGTTTTGTTTGTAATGAAATTTCGTTATGCTAGTTTGGATATGAAAATTGGCATATGAACTCTGTAATCTTTGAAATGTAATTATATGAAAAAAACAAAAAAAACTAGCAAAAGTTATGACAATGTCGTGTGTGGCAATCAAATATATATACTGTGTATGCATCTATATATAAACAAGGCCAAAGTATATAGACTCTAACCCAACTTCACCACAGCTATAATGAATCAAGCGTATACTAGAGGTTAGAGCTAGCAAGGAGATCGTTATATATACACTTTAAAATATCTTCTTTGACATCGTACTACTGGAAATGACCAACTCATTTGTCATGAAAATAATTCCGGATCTAAAGTCCGAAATCTCTTGGTTAAAAAGTACAGAAATAAAAAGTATTGACTACGTCTATAACTATCTCAAGCCTCTTGGTGTCTACTGTCTAACCACAATCCAAAATATAATCACATGAAGAAGGAATATTTGTCACAATTTCCGAGAAAGAGAGAGAATGATTGAATAATTGTCTCATAGATCTTTAGTTGCTTATTTTATTACAGGGATTTCGATGGCTCTAGGTTTTAATTAGTATTTTTCTTTTCGATGATGATTAATATTTGCATTATATAACCATATATTCTCATATATATATCTTGATTTTTCTTATAAAAAATAACTAGTTCATTCATATATATCATACTGAACTTATCCATAGACAGCCAGAGAGAGATATCAGATATATATGTTATGTTCTAGTCCCAAATACATAACAGGAAGAGTGTATATATCACTGATTTAGAAAGTCGCAAAAATCGAGTAATTGATGCTTATTTTGCATCAAGTTGCCAATTAGTGTTTGTGTTACTATCAAGGGTTGAGTTAATTTTGTTACATTAATAAAAGGAAATCGTTCTTATGTTTGGAAAGAAAAAATAATTTATCAAAAATTTGATCTAGTCTCTTCGGCAAAAATACAAAAGTCCACGATTACCCAAAAAAAGTGAATTCTAATTTTAAGATTGAACTCCCAACTAAAAAATATAACCAGCTTCATTTTTAATTCCTTGTTGTGAAACGTCGTTATAAAGCTCGTTTCCACATACATTCGCATCTCAGTACGTAACATGATAATTCTGTCAAAATCATATTAAAAAAAAAAATGCATAAGAAAGAGCAGAAAAATCCAAATATGTCGCAACACATATTCCCTTTCGCTTGTTTTGTCTCAATAAACAATATAATAAATAAAATTATATAAATATTTCAACCGATTACAGAGTTCTCTAGTCTCTACCCTAACTTTTTTTAGCTCCATGGGTCACCAACTCTTCTATCGCTTAGACTTAATTAAAAAACTAGTTTATAAAATTTCAAAGTCGTGTCTGTAAACTAGGTTTGGACTATTTCTATCAACAACCCATAATGCATTGGAAGAATCTGCTTATATTATGTATTTCATGAATTAAGATTCTATAATTAAACCCTAGTGCTTGAATTTCACTTTATCTATCTACCATCCATTTTCCATATATGGATATAAACTAAAGGTTTTACATAATTGGAAAAGGTTTACCAAAGTTGCTTCTCTCAGTCCCAATTCTACGTAAGTTATAGGAGAAACTATATATGTGTCTACGGGTATAAGTGTATATGAGCTACTTGTCTTGAGAGTTTTGGTACTAATCTAATACTAGACTTCTAACACTTCTTATTCAGTATTGGTTTCTTAATACTTTTCAAAATTCTATAGTTTTGTACATTTTAAATACAAATTACGGAAACTTCAAAATGTTGGTCCTTGTTGTTGTTTTTATTAGTAGCCATTTGATATCTGGATAATTATATCGTTACTAATGAAAACGGTAATACCCGCTGACTTTGACATTTGGACGGTCGATATGTATATTCTATTCAATATAAATGCAGCCAATATGAATTAACCAACCGGTTGATGATTCGACCAGTTATTTAAAGTAATTAAGCAATTAGCGTAGACTTCAAAGCTATCAACTAATTTTTACTTAGGGTTTGGGTATTAGTTAGATACGCATTTTAGACGAAGTGGCCGTCTCTGAATAGTTTAACAATGCATAGGTGGAAGTGAAGTCTTCCAATAGGGACAGAGCTTTCACATGGGGAATGAATCTCATTCTCTTTAACTATGAGTTATACAATATTTCATAGTTAAATAACTTAAATTATTATTCAAATAGGACAATAGACAAAATACATATACAATATTTGAAGAGAATTTTTGTTTGGATTCTAAGAATTAAGTGTCACGGAAGTTTGGTCGATTCTTAAATAATAATATAGAATCAGTAATACTCTATGAGTTTGCTGGAAAGTAACAAAAATGAAAAAAATAATTGCTACATCAATTATTTCTCATTGCAAGGCCTGTAACATAACAAATAAAAATATTTAAGAGTATATATATCTTATGTAATATATTCCACACGGTCGAACCCAGAGACGTGGTACGTGAAACTAAAATCAAGCCATCAAGAAGGTAAACCATTAATTTCAAGATAGATCAATGATTTAGGGTTTAATTAGTGTGTAGTTTGTGTACAAAAATGCTAATAAAATTAAACTAGTGTGTCGTTTTGTACAAATGCTAATGAAAATAAACCTTACTCTCATTTCGTAAAGGTTAACTGTTTAAAATCAGATGATTTGAGTTTTCACATGGTTCAGTCAATTACCTTGGGTTATTATTTAATTTTCTCTATATTGTAAGGGAACTTGGTTTCATGGTTTGTATTCATTTCATATAGTAAAAAAGTTTTTGAAAAGAAACTCTAGTTTAATTTGCATGTTTACGAATATATAAAACTTGCAACAAGACTTGTTGGTGTCGCAAGCCCCAATCGCCAAATGTGTGTTCGAAATTAACAACTAGACTTCGAATTATAATAATTAACTGAAATATAATTATACACACAATTGTGCATATGTAAGCGAAAGTTCTACAAAGGATCCAGACAACAAGAAAAGACCAAAAATTCTTGGTTGGTCCGCTTTATCAATCTGGTTTACTTTATTTTATTCTCAATTATAAAGACCAGTAGTTGTCCACGACTGAGATAATGTAACTATATATAACATACAAGTCTCATCCTGATTCATCATTACATATTATATTACAACTCTCTTTTCTGATTCCTCATCATTATATATATACAATTCTCATTTAGTCATGTTGGAGTTTCCCTATTTAAGTTACTCTCGTTTCTGGTTTCTTGAATTAAAAGTATATACGTACTTCTAGCAAGATTTTATCCAATTAAGAATATATAGTAACTATGAATGCAAATAATTACCACACTACAGTTTCTGTAGACTGTACTCATATTTTCCGAGAGATACCAACCATGCATCTTTAAACGTGGTTATACATATTGTGGCTTTCTGTATATGAGAAAATAGAGTTTAAGGTTGTTTTGCCTGGTGAAGGTTGGTAAAACAATTAGATCATCACTGTCTCTGAAACATGTGTTTCATGCAATATCTTTAGCTAAAAAGTCCATTCCATATTTTTGTAAAGTTAACGTAAAAATCTTATTTACAATTATTTTATGCGTAACATGGAAGTCTCACTCACAATTATGTATCACTAAATTCTCTCTCTTATAACTTTTGTACAAATTGATTTCTTTTCAACTTTTATATGATTTCTAAATTTGAAAGTAGTATTTGATTGTACATTGTATTATTATTAAGAATACATATGATTATATGAACATTGTAGATATCTTTAACAATACATAAATGAAACATTTATCTCAGTTTAATGCTCCAAATTAATTTTATCATAGTTTTTGTGTGTTTACGTTATTAATTTAGTTACCCTAATTTGACATACTGTAACTAACATTTTTTATACACTTAACACAGTAACCACACAGAAAGAAAAACCATAAACGAAACTACATTCGGAAAGTGTACAGTTATGTCAACAGAATATGTTTTAGTCAAGAGTGTAAAAACTTTTGATTCCATGGAACAAACTTGGATCAAAGGTTTTTATACTCTTGAGTCTTGACTATAACATATAATTACATTTGGGCTTTTCAATTTAATTAGTAGAATACTAGAATCTGTAACAAAACTATTGGGTTACGTTACACTGGCTTCTTTTGTTTATTTAATCGAAATCTTAAAGAAGAAGATAAATACTCAACCATGCTTGGCCCAATTAGATAGGTGTGCAACTGATGAGCATTGTATATCTTTTAGACGTTTTGAATTCAAAAAGACAAAAATTTATGATTGCATCTTAACTAAAAGATGTGTTTTTCAAAAGTTCAAAACCATATATTTCATTAACGAAAATAAAGGAGTAGGAATATTCGATGAACATAGACTTTCTCAATATAATTCGTATCGCAATAAATAAATTTAAATTTTATTTCCGATAACTCATACAGTCGTAATATATTTTGTATAAGGTACAAATTAAAATCCTATCCCACATATTATTAACATAAAAAAAAAGATGGCCATCTTCGATCCGTTTAAGCTCCGCCACAAACCGCCGTCGATCTTTCCGACAACGGCTGTAAAACCTAACAATGTTCTCTCCCTCGTCTTCAAGTTATGCATCTTCATCTCCGTTGCTCTGATCGTCATCTACGTCATCTTCTCCGGTTGCTCCGATTGCCACCACATCACCGGCCACCGACGCTTAGGCCCTCACGTCGACAATGTAAACTTCACTACAGCTTCCTCCTCGACCATCCTCCGGCAGAATCAGTCCTCGGAGGCCACTGATGTCTCCCACATAGTTTTCGGGATTGGTGGCTCCATTCAAACGTGGAGAGATCGCAGCCGTTACTCCGAACTGTGGTGGCGTCCCAACGTCACCCGCGGCTTTGTATGGCTTGACGAGGAACCGCCTCTTAATATGACGTGGCTCTCAACTTCTCCACCGTACCAAGTCTCGGCGGATACCTCCCGGTTCAACTACACTTGTTGGTATAAACTATTTCTACTTCTATATCACTTTATAACAACCAATTTATCTTAGTCAAGTTAGGTCAAAAACCCTAGTTACCAATGTTTAAACACAAATCAAATATATTGTGACAATACCAAAATCTATGCTTTTTTAATCATTAGATTTCCAATTATTTCTTAAGGTTTGGTACAAGATCAGCTATACGAATGGCGAGAATCATCAAAGAGACCTTTGAGCTAGGGTTAACGAACGTGAGATGGTTCGTGATGGGTGATGACGATACCGTCTTCTTTGTGGACAACCTTATAACAGTTCTAAATAAGTATGATCACAATCAAATGTATTACATTGGAGGAAACTCGGAGAGTGTTGAACAAGATATCGTTCACTCGTACGCCATGGCCTACGGTGGCGGAGGTATAGCAATTAGTTATCCTTTGGCGGTCGAGCTTGTAAAGATTCTCGATGGTTGTATCGATCGATATGCATCGTTATATGGATCTGATCAAAAAATTGAAGCTTGCATAAGCGAGATTGGTGTTCCCCTTACCAAGGAACTCGGGTTCCATCAGGTTTATTCAAAATTTTCCTTTTTTGTTTTTCTCATTAATGGAAATTTCACTTATTTAGTACTATATAACTTTTTAGCTTTAAAATTAAGATTCCGGTGAAATATTAAATTTCCGTCTTTTGAATATTCTGTTTTAAAGTTTAAATTGTTCATAGATTTAGATGCTTCACTGCTCAGATTTTTCAGTCCATTTTATTTTTCAACGTAAAAATTTTCCTAAATATTTTGTTTTTTTCTTTTGAATATTTTGTTTTTTTTTTCTGCTCAGATTTTTTTTTCTTTCCTTTGCATGGTAAAATCCAGGTGGACATACGTGGAAACCCGTACGGTTTACTAGCTGCCCATCCGGTGGCTCCTCTGGTTACTCTCCACCACCTCGACTATGTTGACCCAATATTTCCGGCCGCTACCCAAACTGACTCCCTAAGAAGACTCATGTCGGCCTACAAGATGGATCCAAGCCGGATCCTCCAGCACAGTTTTTGCCATGACCCGACTCGGGGCTTGTCTATCTCCGTTTCTTGGGGATACACCATCCAGATTTATCCTTCTTTGGTCACAGCTAAGGAACTTGAGACGCCGTTTCTTACGTTCAAGTCGTGGCGAACGTCGAGCTTGGAGCCTTTCTCGTTTGATACCCGACCCATCAGCGAAGATCCGTGCGAGAAACCCATTATTTATTTCTTTGACCGGGTTTATGAGGTCGGGTCGGGTCAGACTCTTACGACGTATAGGAAACATGATGAAGAAGGCGAGACGCAATGTGATTCGCCAGATTATTCTCGTGCCAACTTGGTCGAGTACATAGACGTTTCCGCTACTACGTGGATGCCGGATCTATGGAAAATGGTAAGTAAAATATTTTCGCCTATATGGAAACTTTAAAATATATGCATTATTTTATAACATGAAAGACTAGACATGGGTAATCGTTAAAAATATAGGAAACTGTCCCTTGGGGGAGACCCGATTAGTAAAAGTTAGACAGAAAAAGAATACTAAACATACAAAGTTTTATAAAATGAAATAACTGATAAATAGTTATGATATGATCTCTGTACATACACTAATTTTAGTGACCACTCTTATAGGGTATATTCATCATTTAATCCTGATTTATACAGTGTGTTTTTAATATTTGTGTATTTGATTTGTAGTTGAAAAATATAGATGATCTTTTCATATTTGATTGGGTTTTACAGGCACCACGTAGACAGTATTGTGAAATTGTCAACAATGAAGAAGACTCAGGAAACGTAATCAGAGTCAAGTTACGGCATTTCAATCCTTTCGAAAGTGTATCTCTTCAGACGGAGAGCGAAAAATGAATGGAAGGTTTCAAGAGGATCGAGAAGAGCAACAATTTTGTCTCATTCGTTTATGTAAGTATTTCACTAATTGAAAATTATAACTTGGCTAAAGTAAAAACTATACAGATTCTTAGTTTCTGAGCATCCTCATTGCAAGGGTTATAAGGATTTTTCTTCACAAATCTTACCTTAAGATTTGTGCAAGAACCCTTGCAATGAGGATGACCTTAAGCATATCAATATAATTATAGTTTTATCTTCCTTTTTTTGCCTATAATTATAGTTTTATCTAGACATGTAACACATATGTTTTTTCAAGATATACATAGGGTAGAGCTGGTTTTAGGCCAAGTAAAAGAAGAAAAAAATTGGTCTTGGGGCCTATAGATGTTTTTTGTAACAGATTGTTAGAATTGATGATATCAGGCAGAGCCGCTCTGACTCTTGAAATTGATGTTGAGGAGATAAGTTCGATATATAACAAAGAAACAAAAAAAAAAAAGATTGGTCTTGGGACCTAGATGATATCTTATATATATCATAGGGAACAATTTGTTTTTGTGACAGATAAAGTTCAATAATATATAACCAAGAACAAAACTGTACACAGAGAATTGTTTGACATTTGGGGTCAAATTAGAAGAAAAAACCAAAAACAAAGTGTAAACGGAATACAGATCAGTACACTAAAATCAAAGATATATATTAAAGATGTCTATCTCTATGGTACTGAAGACTCCTGCTCTCTATTTCACCTTCTTCCTAGCAAACCACACGTCGGTGGCAAACTCTTTTTTTTCGAACCACAAGAAGAACAAGGAGAGAAGACTTTAGTTAGCATCCGTATAATGACATCCAACGCAAACCAAAAAACAAAAAGAAAAAACTCAGAGTAGATCAGAAGAGAATATTCACAATGGTTGACTTACACAAAAAAATCAACGATTATATCTAGTCAGTCAGAAACTTCCAAAGATTAGTAGTGTGGACCTCTTTCGAGTCTATATCTTTTTGACCAGTTTGTGCATTTGTCACATGGGGTTCCAAATCTGTCATTAAGGTCGTTTCCAGTTTCAGCCCACCATCTACCCTCATTCATTATTCTAGATAAACACTCATGAAAAGTATAAAATGCACTACCCTACACTATTAAATTATATGGTACTATGAGATGGCATAACCAAAACAAAAATGTAAACAATGTATAAGATTTACAAGTTTAACTTAGATTTAAAAAGTGCCATATAATATACGCACCATTTAATTTCCATCTACTCTATTAGGAACTTTCTTTTTCATTTCATCAAGAAAAAAGAAGAGTGAGGGAAGGAACAGGAACTTTGAGAACCACTGAAGCGTTATGTGTCCACAAACATTCCCAAATTAGATTCTTACATCTGATTGGTGGTAGTACGTGTTTTCCAATATCTTTTTTTTCACATAATGTTGAAACTGGTTGTATTTGGTTGGCTTATTAGACGACCATGTCCGTGAGTCTGTGACTGTGACTTATTAGACGACTGTGAGACAGTGAGAGTCTGTCTCAGTGACAAGAGAAAAACAAATATCAGTGACTGTGACTTACTACCGCCTCTTTCTCGGTTCAGGTTAATGCAGAGTTAGCAGGGTATTTCCAGAGCTCTCGGGGGTTAAGACAAGGTTGTTCTTTGTCTCCCTACCTATTTGTCATTTGTATGGACGTTCTCTCGAAGCTACTCGACAAGGCTGCGGGAGTGGGGCAGTTCGGTTTCCATCCTCGTTGTAAGGAGCTTGGCTTGACTCACCTGAGTTTTGCCGACGATTTGATGGTGCTTTCTGACGGTAAAACAAGATCAATTGAGGGAATTGTGGAGGTGTTTGATCAGTTTGCTAAGGTCTCGGGCTTAAAAATAAGTATGGAGAAGTCGACTTTATATATGGCTGGTGTTTCAACCACTACTCGCCAGCAATTTGCGAACCAATTTCTCTTCACTGTGGGTCAGCTTCCGGTTCGGTACTTGGGGCTGCCTTTGGTTACTAAACGCCTCACCGTAGCAGATTACACACCTTTACTAGAGCAGATAAGACAACGGATCAGTTCTTGGACAGCAAGGTATCTCTCTTTTGCAGGCCGTTTTAATCTTATAAGCTCTGTTTTGTGGAGTGTTTGTAACTTCTGGTTGGGAGCTTTCCGTCTCCCTCGTGCTTGTATTAATGACATTGAGACCCTTTGCTCAGCTTTCCTCTGGTCGGGCCCCGAAATGAATGTCAACAAGGCGAAGATCAAATGGGATCAAGTGTGTTTGCCAAGGAAAGAAGGAGGACTTGGCCTTCGCAATCTTAAAGAAGCAAATGACGTGTGTTGCCTTAAGTTGGTATGGCGAATCATTTCTCATGGAAATTCTCTCTGGGCTAAATGGGTTGAAAAATATTTGCTGAAAGGGGACTGTTTTTGGATTGCCAAAGAAGCTGCTAGTTTAGGCTCATGGATTTGGAGGAAACTTCTAAAATACAGAGACTTAGCAAAAAATTATACAAAGGTAGAAGTGGGCTGTGGAGAGCAAACATCTTTCTGGTTTGACAAATGGTCTTCTCTTGGTCGATTGCATGAACTCATGGGGGATAGAGGTATGATCGATATGGGGATCAAGAGAAATATGACTGTGGCAGCGGCTTGGTCCTCCCGCCGCCGCCGTCGACATCGGCAGGACACTCTCAATCTCATTGAGGAGGCTCTCCTCTCTCAGTTTCATCGTCGTACCACACATGATGATATTGTTTTGTGGCGGGGTAAGAATGACGACTTCTCGAACAAATTCTCTACAAAGGATACTTGGAACCATATGCGGACGACTTCAAATATTGTAGCTTGGCATCGGGGTATTTGGTTTAGCCATGCGACGCCAAAATATAGTTTCTGCACTTGGCTTGCTGTCCATGATCGATTGGCTACAGGGGCTAGAATGCTGCGATGGAACAGAGGAGAAACCGGGGTCTGCGTTTTTTGTCGATTGCACCTTGAAACCAGAGATCATCTTTTTTTTGATTGCATCTATACTTCTGAAGTCTGGGCTGTTCTAGCTAAAGGAGTATTCAAAGCTCGATATACCAAAGTGTGGAATGAGATCATTGCTTTTGTTTCAAGTTCTCAGTTGGACCGTTTAGAGGGATTTCTTGTTCGCTATGTCTTTCAAGCTACTGCTCACACCATTTGGCGGGAGAGAAATGGTCGTCGCCATGGTGAAAGCCCGCACACTACAGCCAACTTGATTAGGATGGTAGATCGACAGGTCCGCAATCAGCTCACGACAATTCAACGGATGGGTGATAGAAGATACGAGAAAGGGTTACAAGCTTGGTTTCTTTCTAGGCGTTAAGTCTCCTTTGTAAAAACAAAATTTCAGTTTTTTTTCGATTTCAAGCTGCACTAGTTGTAAAAACGATATTTTTCTTTGAATATAATTTAACATTAGATTCAAAAAAAAAGAAAAACAAATATCATGGAGGCAATGGTACATACAGCCCAGAGTCAAATCAAAATCTTAAATTAGCGCTAATGACTCAATTACACGTGACAGCTTGTGCTGATGTGATTTCTGATGTCATTCATATATTAGGAGAGATTCTAGTTAAAGATCAAATTTACAAGCATAATTAATTCATAATGATTCTATAATCTTAATTAATATTTTCTTCAGTTATGACTTCATAGTATATTTTAATCTCAAATAGAAAATAAACTAGTCACTGTTATTATAGATACCGTCGAATCTTCCATCAGTACCATAAAAACTAGTTAATTAAATACTAGTAGTGCCTAAATAAAACCTTTTTTTTCTTAATTACATCACACAACTTACAAACATAAATATAGATTTAAATATTGGGTCATGGAGTATAAAAATGAATTAATTAAAAAAAAAAAACACAAAGAGAGGGAGAGTTAATCAAACATTAATCTTGGAAGTTGGAACACATATCACCTAACATTGATGACAATTTCTCAATCAGAGCATACCCCCACAAAGAAAAAATAAAATCATTTTTATTTCTAGAAACAATTAAAGAAAAGAATGAAAAAATGTAAAATAAAGAGTGAAGACTTTTCCACTCTCTTGCACACCATAAATAATGTCTCTCTCTTTCCACTAAACTTAAAATATCTAAAGAAGAAGAAACAACACCAGAGAGCAGAGAGAGCAAGAAGAGAAAAAAGAGAGAGAGCTAGTAGTTAGTAGTAGTAGCCATGTTCTTGAACCTTTTCACCATCTTCTTGTTCAGCTTCTTTTATCAATCACTAAAAGCTTCTTCTCAGACTCTCAATTTCGCTTACAACAATGGTTTTAACCCACCGACGGATATATCCATACAAGGGATCACCACCGTCACACCCAACGGTCTCCTGAAGCTAACCAACACTACCGTTCAAAAAACCGGTCATGCTTTCTATACCAAACCAATCCGGTTCAAAGATTCTCCCAACGGCACCGTTTCTTCCTTCTCCACGACGTTCGTCTTCGCTATTCACTCTCAGATCCCTATACTCAGCGGCCATGGCATCGCTTTCGTCGTCGCTCCTAACCCAAGCATTCCTTTTGGTAATCCAAGCCAATACTTGGGTCTTTTCAACATCACGAACAACGGTAATGACACAAATCATATCTTTGCTGTGGAATTGGATACGATCTTGAGTACAGAGTTCAATGATACCAACGATAACCATGTTGGTATCGATATCAATAGTTTAAAGTCGGAGAATAGTAAACCAGCTGGGTGGTGGAACGAGAAAGGCCAGTTCAAGAATCTCACTTTGATCAGTCGTAAGCCGATGCAGGTTTGGGTCGATTACGATGGTCCTACTCATAAAATCGATGTCACGATGGCTCCGTTCAACGAGGATAAACCTCTGAAGCCGCTTGTTTCGGCTGTTAGAGATCTTTCTTCTGTTCTTCTCCAAGACATGTATGTTGGGTTTTCCTCTGCGACAGGTTCTGTTCTGTCGGAACATTTTGTTCTCGGGTGGAGTTTCGGGTTGAACGAAAAGGCTCCACCTTTGGCTTTATCGAGACTCCCGAAGCTTCCTCGGTTCGTGCCTAAGAAGATCGCCGAGTTCTACAAGATCGGGATGCCTTTGATTTCCCTGTTTTTGATTTTCTCGTTCATCTTCCTCGTTTGCTACTTCGTGAGGAGGAAGAGAAAATTCGCGGAGGAGCTCGACGACTGGGAAAAAGAGTTTGGGAAGAACAGATTCAGGTTCAAGGACTTGTACTACGCGACCAAAGGGTTCAAAGAGAAGGATCTTCTTGGATCCGGTGGGTTTGGGAGTGTTTACAAAGGACTGATGCCGGATACGAAGTTAGAGATCGCTGTTAAAAAAGTCTCGCACGAGTCTCGACAAGGGATGAAAGAGTTTGTGGCGGAGATCGTCAGTATTGGTCGGATGAGTCACCGGAATTTAGTTCCTCTCTTGGGTTACTGTCGTAGGAGAGGTGAGCTTCTTCTTGTGTATGACTACATGCCCAATGGAAGCTTAGACAAGTATTTGTACAACACTCCCGAGGTAACGCTCAACTGGAAACAGAGGATTAAGGTTATTCTAGGCGTTGCCTCTGGCTTATTCTATCTCCATGAGGAATGGGAACAAGTGGTGATTCACCGTGACGTCAAAGCTAGCAACGTCTTGCTAGACGGAGAGCTCAACGGGAGACTCGGGGATTTCGGTTTGGCTCGGTTGTATGATCACGGGTCGGATCCTCAGACCACGCACGTTGTTGGAACATTGGGATACTTAGCTCCTGAACACACTCGGACAGGACGTGCCACGACTGCTACCGATGTTTTCGCGTTTGGGGCCTTCTTACTAGAAGTCGCTTGCGGTAGACGTCCCATCGAGATCCAGCATGAGACAGACGAGACGTTCTTGCTCGTGGATTGGGTTTTCGGGTTATGGAACAAGGGTAATATCTTGGCTGCTAAAGATCTGAATATGGGTTCAGAATATGACGAGAAAGAGGTCGAAATGGTTCTGAAGCTAGGTCTCTTGTGCTCTCACTCCGACCCAAGGGCTAGACCAACTATGAGACAAGTGCTACATTATCTAAGAGGAGATGCAAAGTTACCAGATTTGTCTCCGTTGGACTTATCCGGGAGTGGGATGATGTTTGGCGTTCATGACGGGTTTAGTGAATTAGGAATGTCGTATTCCTCCTCCGTCTTTAAAGGGTTTACCGGTGGATCTTCCATAGCTGATTCTCAACTTTCGGGAGGGAGATGATTAAGATGTTTTGAAGTTATATGAATGTTATCTATATGTCGATAGTGAGGTTTTGAATATTTGAACCTTTTTGTGTGTTTTGCATTTTGATATGTAGAGACTGATGAGATATGAGACTATTGTATATATACTTCAGCATATTTTGAAGTTACTACCTAAAGAATATAATGGCCACATGATAACATATGAACGAGTAAAACGATTATGGTACAAGATTGCCAAGTAGATCAGTGCGACAGAAGTCGAATTTTCTAACTAAGATGATTCATGTTTTAATGTGAATAAGTATTGACATTGTTTTAGAAAAGGTATACTTCTAGAAGTTTAGTCCTCTAACATGGTTTTTTATGAAGATGTAATTAAAGAAGACCCCAGCTTCGGTGGAACATCTTGGCTCCTAAGTGATTCATGTTCTAATGTGAATAAGTATTGCTACATTGTTTTAGAAAGGTATACTTCTGAAAATTTAATCCTCTAACATGTTTTTTTTTATGAAGATGTAATTAAAGAAGACCCCAGCTTCGGTGGGAAAAAAAAAGTACCTCCTTAAATATCGTAGAAGAAACCAATTAGTGAAAAAAGATGAAAATATTAGGGAAACTTGTCATATTGGAAGATATGCCAAATTTGTATAGTCAAATGAATAGCTTACATTTGGGAAGCGTGTAGATTCAAGAGAATTTAATGAAGAATGATCTAAGTCTAACTCCTCACCAATAAAACGGTATCTCTTATCTGTTGAAACTTAAATATTAGGTGTAGAATCTTTTTAGACTTTAGGAAAAAGGAAGTCTCATGTGCCTCACATGTGAATGTGATTGATACCTTCTATTCTAACTACGCATGTATTTGTGTATATATAGTACATTCGCACACACAAGGAGTTAGAAGGACGTGACCGAGCTATTATCCATCATTGTGCGGAGGAATAATGGCGTCTAGACCAGGTTTTCTCACGGACTGGCCATGGACTCCTCTTGGAAGCTTTAAGGTCTCTTTCATTGCCTCTTTTGATTTATAACATCTTCAAATACATCCATTTATTGTTTTTTTGTTGTAGTTATATATCACCCATTTAATGATCATGATGTTTGTAAAAAATATGGATAAATATCGCAGTACTTGCTGTTAGCGCCGCTGGTTATCGACAGCATATACTCATATGCAACCATGAGAGATCACGAGAAACTTTTGATAGTGGCCATGACAGTGTGGAGGATTGTTCATAGCCAAGTATGGATAAGTTTATCCCGGTACCAAACTGCAAAAGGAACCAAGCGAATCTTGAACAAGTCCATAGAGTTTGACCAAGTCGACCGTGAACGAACTTGGGACGATCAGGTCATCTTCAACTCTCTCATTGTTTACTTAACCAAAGTGTACGTCTTAGGGACCAATACCCTTCCCTTCTGGCGAACCGATGGACTGATCTTAGTCGCTCTTCTCCATGCTGGTCCGGTCGAGTTCATATACTACTGGTTTCACCGAGCCCTTCACCACCACTTCCTCTACTCTCGCTACCATTCTCACCACCATTCATCCATTGTCACCGAGCCGATCACTTGTACGTACATGATATTTCTGTTGCAAAAAAAAAAAAACTAATGGTTTCTGTTACGGTTTCATTGCTAGATTGGTATTGTGATTTTAGGTATATTTAAAATATACTTTCATAACAAAATATCAAATATCACATGAATTGGCAAAATTATGTTCAGTATCTTACATATTTATTATTCATACATGTGCGACAAATTCTAAAACCCCGGGTCTTGATTGCAGCGGTGGTACATCCGTTTGCAGAGCATATCGGATATACGTTAATCTTGGGGATACCTCTAATAACGACTTTGCTGTGTGGGACGATCTCGGTCGTCTCCATTATCGTATACATAACTTACGTAGATTTTATGAACAATATGGGTCACTGCAACTTCGAGCTCATTCCAAGATTCCTCTTCTCTCTTTTACCTCCTCTCAAGTTCCTCTGCTACACTCCCTCGTAAGTGATTAAATCCACTAAATAGTAATGAACTATTACATCGATTATTTTGCCTTCTTTTGAACGCGTTACATTTCTATGTTGTGATACTATTTTAACATTTTTTCAATGTCATGTTCAAAAGAACAAGCGTTTGACTTTTTGCTTTTACAATCTACAAATGAATATTAACGAAAACATTACAAGTTCTGGTTACTGAACATGAAAGCATTGTGACTAAAGATTGAAAAAATTTGAGACTAAGTATATGATATATTTGTAGGTTTCACTCGCTCCACCATACGCAATTCAGGACGAACTACTCTCTATTCATGCCAATGTACGACTACATCTATGGGACAACCGACGAGTGCAGTGACTCATTGTACGAGACATCGTTGGAGAAAGAAGAAGATAAGCCTGACGCGATTCATCTGACACATCTAACATCAGTCGACTCTATATATCATCTCCGTCTAGGCTTCGCTTCCTTCTCCTCGCACCCGCTCTCTTCCCGGTTTTACCTATTCCTCATGAAGCCCTTCACTCTTATCCTCTCCTTCATCCTCACTTCCTTCTCTTCTCGAACATTTGTCTTCGAGAGAAACCGCTTCCGTGATCTCACGCTTCACACCCACCTTCTTCCCAAGTTCTCCTCTCATGTACATATTTCTTCTCTTTTAGGATTCTAAGACATCAAACAATTTCAGGTCTTGTAATAAATTTTATTGTCCAATCAACAGTACATGTCACCGCAGCAGAAAGAATATATCAACAAAATGATAGAGTCGGCTATTCTTGAAGCGGAGAAGAAGGGTGTGAAAGTAATGAGTTTGGGGCTATTGAACCAGGCATGCAATTTATACATTAATTGGTTCTTCTTATGTTTTGCAAGTTTTATCGAGAAATAGGCTTATATATAATAAAGTATTAATATACGCAGGGAGAAGAGTTAAATGGGTATGGAGAAATGTACGTAAGGAAGCATCCAAAGCTAAAGATAAAGATCGTGGACGGAAACAGTCTTGCAGCTAAGGTGGTGCTTCATAGCATTCCTGTTGGGACCAAAGAGGTTCTCTTTAGAGGCCAAATCACAAAAGTTGCTCGTGCCATTGTCTTTTCTCTTTGCCAAAATGCCATCAAGGTACCTAAATTTTTTTATAAATGTTAAAGATATATGGAACGAAGGTTCTCTAGCTAATTTGCGCGTGAGAATAGGATCGAACGTAAATAAAGTCAATGGAGTTTCCATATATAAACGTTATGCAACTATGGCTCTATTGCTTTGATAGGTGCTATTTGAGACGTAAACAATGTCACGTGGCCTACTTTAAGACGTCCAAAACAATTTTTGACATCTCAGATTATGATTTGGTTTGAGCTTGCTCAAGATATGTACGTTTTCAAAGCGTGTAAGAAAATTAGTTCATATATGTTGTCATACTCAATAGGTGATGGTGTTACGCAAGGAAGAGCATTCCATGCTGGCCGAATTCTTGGACGATAGTTGTAAGGAAAATCTGGTGCTCACAACAAATTACTATCCAATGGTATTCGTAAATTACAAAATGAGATTAAAGTAAAAGTAACATATTCCAAGATTACATACATATGTAGCGTATGATGTAGATTTGGTTGGTAGGAGATGGGCTAAGCACAAAAGAGCAGAAGATGGCAAAAGAAGGAACTCTCTTTCTTCCTTTCTCTCAATTTCCTCCTACCAACCTACGCAAAGACTGTGTTTACCATACCACTCCGGCTATGATCATCCCTCACTCTGCCCAAAACATTGATTCTTGTGAGGTACGTATAAATTCTCACTTCAGTAAAATAATCTCTATAGTTTTGTGGGTTAGACGTTATAACCATATGCATGCTCTAAAAGTAAATTTCAAACACAATTAGAACATTTTCGTATCGTGTCAAGTGTTTGTATTTTATGAAGATATATTATAACTTGTACGTTATAACACATTTGTGTCTATAGAATTGGCTGGAGAGGAGAGTGATGAGTGCATGGAGAGTTGGTGGGATAGTACACTCGCTTGAAGGGTGGGAGGAACACGAGTGCGGTCTTGACAATTCAATCCTTAACTCTCATAGGGTTTGGGAAGCTGCTCTTCTAAATGGTTTCCAACCTCTACCTCTGCCATCTTTTGAGACCTAATTGTTTAATTTTCATTCTAATTGGCAATAGTTTTTTAAGTACTGTAGCTTTTGATAATCCATTAAACCAATAATATAAGATCTTATCTAGTATTTATAAATCATAAAACCAACAACGTCATTTTTATTAAAAAAATGATGTTGATTCACATCATTTTTCTAAAAAATTTTAAAATGAAATATTGATTACACATGATTTTGTTTAGATTTTCAACTCTCTCAAAATCTATGAAACAATAGACCCTGTTTTTAGTGTTAAAACTTGGAAAGTTTTCATGGACATCTTTTGGCAAAACAAACTCAATTACATTGAATCCCAATTAATAATGCTTTAATCTTAAAGCGGATGGCAATCACAATTACAACAACAACAACAACAACAAACTAACTCAAGAATTGAGGTTAACTCTCAGATCACTCTTCAAGATCTTCGTTGCAGCAAAATCAGTCGTGATGGTTCACTCCCAATGAGTGCTCTGACTAGTAACACTCTCACTGGTTCAAATATGATTCCCAACCTTCTCTCTCAAGTTTCTCTCCTTTGACCATGTTCTCATCTCGCATGTCTTTCTGGTACTGACTCATCCTGAACAACCAAACAAAACCCACAAATCTCATTTATGACAAGGTTCAGTAGTTCTTGTTCCATCTGACTCTATGTAACAAAAGAAAAGATAAGAAAGATAACCTTGAGACAAGATCAGTATCAGAGATTCCCAACATCCGGACTGCAAGCAAGGCTGCGTTGGTCGCATTATTTATTGCAACTGTTGCAACAGGAACACCTCTAGGCATCTTTGGCAACAAAAAAGGAAAAATGGAAAGGTTTCAGAATCGCAGACCTAAATCGTTTCAAATGGTGCAAAAACATTAATAGCTGAAGTTAATTATGATGCAATGAAAGTATACCTGAACGATGGAGAGAAGTGAATCAACTCCATCCAAACGGGTAGCACGGACAGGGACACCAATCACAGGCAAAGGAGTGAGTGACGCAACCATACCTAATTTCCAAGAAAATCCAATACTTTATGGTAACAATCTTGTGGAGGGCCAAGATGAGTTCATGTTAAAGACATACCTGGTAAGTGAGCAGCACCACCAGCACCTGCAATGATAACTTGAACGCCTCGGCTATGAGCTGAGGTTGCATATGTAAACATCATCTCCGGGGTGCGATGAGCAGAAACTATCTTTACCTGTAAGCAAATGATACCATATTGTACCATTCAGGATTCACTAGTTGAGGCAATGAATTTTGTTGTGATAAAACATAAAGAAGAAACTCTTCATATTTTATAGGAGAAGCTGCTTCCGAAAATGAGGTCACTATCTATGTGAACAAATATTTGGCAATGCGTATCTTTGATTACAGAGTGAGTACTATACATAAGGCCTGACATACTGGACTATATTTGAGCTTCTTCACAATTAGTTTACCAAATCACAAATTTCATGTTTCTTATATCCGTCTTCAGTGGATTATGATGACCTCATGTAAGTCGTGCCAAATTCAATTATGTGAGCAGATCTTAAAATTTACCTCATGTGTCACACCAAACAGGTCCAGAATTTTGGCAGCATCCTTCATAACAGGAAGATCCGAGTCAGAACCCATTATGATACCAACACGAGGTGTCTCTACAATGTATAAACAACAAGCAACAAAATTCCACTCAGGTACTTTGAAAATTCATGAAGAGTTCAACAATGACGGTAGCTTCACAAAAAAATTATACAACAGATTTTGGCAAGTTAAGTTTTAAGGTATTTGGAAACTAAAAGCCAATAAAATATAGATACCAAATGATGTTACGGAAACTGACCATCTACTTGGTGGCTTTGCTCACTTAGTATACTATGTAACCTTTGTTCCAAAACACCCATAGACCTCCCAACAAGAGTGATGTGACCCATCTTCCTCTGCTTTCTCATTTCTGACAATAAGAGTTCATCATACAAGCTTTATGAGTAATCAAGGTCGTTCACAAAAACTGGCATCAAACCACAAGAAAACTGCAAGGGAACAACAATCTAACCTGGCTTGTCATACCAATGAATAGATGCACCTGGAGTACACATAGCCCTTGCAATAAGCTGATGAGCCAATTTGAAACCAGCTTCTCCCTGAAATTTGAAAAATTGAAATCAAAAGCCACTACATGTTCATTAAACAGATAAAAAGATAATACAATGGGTATTATTATCAAGAATAATTCAAACGATAAAGTAAAGCAAACATCAATTACATCATCTTCTCCCAAAATATTGTACATAATCGATGCCGGAGTTCTCATTGATGGATCACCGAGTGGAAGACCAACCACAGCCCGCAAGTGTTGTTCAAACTGGGAAGTATAACAGCACTCGATCGTTTGATGGCCACTGTTGTGTGGTCTAGGTGCAACTTCGTTTAGCAGGATCTGGGAGGAACTAAAACTCTGATAAGTTAAAAATGAAAATAGAAAAGGTAGAGTGCCTAAAATGTATGAAAATACCTGACTATCCTCTGTCAAGAACAGCTCAACTGCAAAAACACCAGCGCCTTCTAAAGAACCAACAGCCTTTTGGGCAACATCGGTTGCAAGTTTGTTGATCTTCCAAGGCACATCTGCAGGTGCTTTAACTATATGGCATATGTTATCCCTAGAGTGATATTTCAAGGTGGATTAGTATAAAGTCAATATACCCTACCTTTCATCTTATAAATAATTTTTAGTCGAGCTTTCGAGTTACCTGTGAATGGTTTCAACAACGGGATAACAAACCATAGAACCATCTTTTCCCCTAGCCACAATAACAGCTAACTCCTGAAATATGTAACCGATTATACAAGTCAGAGCTCAGTAAGTTACTAAAGCAAACAAATTTTATCATCGTTTACCTTCACAAAAGGAGCCCATTTCTCAACATACAAGCCACGACTGAAACCTCCAAGAGCTGGAAAAGAGGAAAAAATATTTTTTGAAATATTAAAGCTAAAGGAGGAAAACAAAGTTTACACTGTAGAGATAAAAGGTATGTCATTAGGATAGCTATTACAAACATAGGTGTGAGGGCTTAATACCAACTTAAGATAAAAGCCAGGGATTGTCTCAACACTATTGCTAGTTTGACAGGAGAGCATTATTGTTCATGTAACACACAATTTTCTTGTTTCAACATTGAATGTGGCATAGTACACGATTTAACTGGTTCAACTGTTACTAGAAACAGTGAAACCACATTACATATGGCAAGTTAAGGGTTTACCCATTACAGCAGAAGAAAGCTCATCTTGGTTGTTGGCAACTGCATTTCCACGTCCATCATAAGCCAATCGTTTGCTCTTGATCATAAGAGGGTAACCAAACAGTTCACCTGCTCTTCTTGCTCCTTCAATATCGCCTATCTGACGTGGCGAAATTTAGGGGTTAATATATATGACAGACTCCTCATGATTCATGGAGAACTTCATTAGTGATTCTTTCAACAAGCATAATCAAGAGCCTAACCTCCATAAATTCTGGAAGTGGGATGCCATGATGAGAGAAATGAACTTTTTGCATGTATTTATCCTGGAAGATCAAACAGCCTCATATAAATCACATTGCTGGGAAAACTTCAAGTATTCATAACATAGGTATTTTGTTTACTAAATAGGAAAAAAAATCTATTTGATGAAAATATTTTGAGAGGCTAGGAAACCTGTATTATCCTGATAGTAGAAGCTTTCGGTTGGCAATCCACTCCTTGTTTCTCAAGCTTCTCTAATGTTTCCACGTCAACATGTTCAATTTCTACAGTCAAGACTCCACATCTAACTACGTCAATACACAAAAATAACCATCAATAATGACAATCAAAATTGAGAACCTGGAGCATTCGAAAAACAAAACAAAAAAAAGAGACCTTTTTGCAAATTCTTCTACTGTAGCACTGTCATCAAAGCTATCAACCATGTGACCGTACGACAATGAACTTGCTGAACAATTTTTTGAAGGATCTAAAATCATCACTTTGATAGCCATTTGAGAAGCAGCTTGGCAAAGCATACGACCCAGTTGTCCACCCCCAAGAACTCCAACAATTTTCTCAGAAACACCATGGGCATGTTTATTCTCGTTATTTTCACTGTCAAAGAGAAAAGAAAAATATCATTAGAAATTCCTTCCCCAATGTTATTAATTTCAAATCTTCGTGTCTAGTAACAGAGAAACGAGCAGGGAAGCACAGCTATTTTCTTTACAATTAGCTTCATTGCAATTAGTGTGATGCAATCTTAACCACAACAGCTATGAAATTTCTCAAGTCCATGACACTTGCAAGAAAAGAGAAAGTTTTCTTCATTTGCAAAGATTAATACATGCAAGTTTAATTGATCTGTTGTTCAAATAAAACGACATCCAACTTACAGCTTAATTGATCGACTCTTATCTATCTTTCTAACCACCATAATCACAATAGACAAGAAAATAATAAGAATCACGAACATACACATACTTAAAAATAATGGTTATGATATTATACTCAAAACACATAAGATTTGCAACATATTAAGCGTATATCGCAACTAAAAGATGCTGTGTAGCCAAAATTCAAAATACAGGGGACATAAGATACCTGATAGGAGATGCCTCATGGGAGCTACAAGGCACCGCTGAAGCGCTGCAGGCTAACACCGGATTCAATTTCCCAGATGAAGAAGTGGGAAGCTTTTGTGAATTTGCCATTGTCAAACTCTGGGACAACAACGTTCTGCTCTCTGGAAAAGGCTTAACGCTGTAGGTAAAGCGAGAAGTATGGAGGACTGGAGTTGTATTCCCAGCGAAAAGAGCAGCAGCTGAGCTTTGCTTCAGAAGCAACATCTACAATACAATGCAAAAGAAACTTTGGAACAATTACATACAGAACATAACGCTTTTAGCACCGTTCATAAGTAAACTATGGTAAATCAAACTAGAGGATAAACTCAATCAAACCCAAGTTAGTGTTCATAGCTAAACCAATGAAAATGGCATAAGAGGCTCATGTGAACAGATTCAAGTAGCACTCTTAGAGTCAATAATGAACGAAGCACGAACAGTTCAATAGCTAAAAGTAATACAGCCACAAAAAAATGGAATTGTGCCACTAGAATGGCTTCAAATTGAGAAGAAGACAAACCTGGTGTCGAGTGGTGACAGAAGCGGCTAGACAAAGAGAAGCGTAGAGAAAGTTAGATTTTTATAAAGCAAGTTCGATAATAGTGGTGGAAAAAAGAAAGCTTATTCCTTTGTAAACGAGCCAATAATATTACCTTCGGAAGATGAAAAATTCAGTGGCGCCGGCGAGGAGAGAGAGAGAGAGAGGATTCGGTCTGACGGGGAGGGAGAAAAGGTTTTTGTGAGGTTTTCTCCTAGCGGTGAGTAAACCGGAGAAGCGTAATCCTCTGTATAATTTCACTCGGTTAAGAAAATCAGACCGGGTATAATCGGTTCGAGCCTATCTCGTTTATTAAGCTCCGCAAATTTGATTTGGTCTCACCAAAGCTCGGATTAGTAGCAGACGGCAAGGAGGAGGTGGGAATAAAATGCCGGTGAGAGTCGTGGAAAGCAACACGCCTGCTCAAGTTCCAGGTTTTTAACGCTTCTTCGGTTTGATCCTATTCTTGATTTTATGGTTCTTACTCATTCATTGAAATTGTTGTCACTTAGGAACCGATCCTGGGAATCGATCACAACTTCCGCCTAGTTCACTTCTTGGCGCTGGCCAGGTAAAACGATTTATAAATGAACAAAAATTTTGATTTTGCATGAATCTTTCTAGGATTGTAATGGGATGATAAATTTTAATACTTGGATTCACGAGCTGTTCTCTTTGTTTAACAAATTGACTTTATAATTGTCTGACCATAGAAAAAGGTTGTGGGAATATTGTAGGACTAGAAGGAACTCTGATTCTTGTATTTATGCTTGTGCATCTCTGGTTATGTGTGCACACTCTTTTTTTATGAACATAGCCTTAAGTGTAAGCAGAATCTGAGTATACCTACCTTTATATATAGATAAAGACATTGTCTTTAGGTATTCTTGTCTTTGGGTATTCTTATCTGTAAATTTGAAATTCGATGTTCTGAATACTTGAAATCGCTAGAATTGCTTATTTTCTGTTGGTTCAGTCGATCGACTGTAGTAGTTTACAAACTCTGCTTCATAATTGCTTGTTACTATACTGAATGTAAATTTTGTGGGTGTGTAACTATTGCAATACATGAAGGAAATTTATAATATCCATCTTGTTTTAGGCTTTGAGCTACTTAGAAAAGCAAAAGGAAAAAAAAACTTAAAGATCTTGTGCATCTGTTGTTTAGACTAGACAAATCATCATTCATATGCAGGCACCAAACATTATGGGGCCATATACTTTCTTCCAATTAAATCTGCAACTTATACCAATGTTTTAGTTGGTTAAAGATTGTAGAGTACTGCTGATTTGTTTTTATATGATGTAGAACTTGGCTTTGACTGGCTTGATATATTTTTTCATGTTGACTTGTATGCTAAATCCAAGTGCACTAATGAGTTATATCTAGTAGGATTTGTAGAACATGTATTGGCTTGAAACATAAAGATGAGGGCTTTTGAGTTGTGGCATACATACATGTTTTTATGCTGCAGGCATTTTCTGGTACGCAAAATGTCTCTAATCAACAGAAGGAGGAAGCTTGGAGAGTTAACGTTCAGATACAGGGAGTCGACCTTGAACATGGCTATCTTTGTGGCACCATGGAAGCTCTAAACGTCCCCATGGCCGACACTCCTGTGAGCTCCTACGGTCTTACTCGTTTGTTGTCTCATTTTACTGCCCCTTGGAATACAATCACAGGAATGATTCTTGACTGTTGTTATGTGTGTCAGGTCATAACATTCTGGGAAGGGGAAATCGTTGATGGAAAGAATTATACCTTTTACACTGGAAAATGGGAAGCCACGTATGTCACAACCCCTTTTTCTAGAAGATTTTAAACTGATGATTTCTTGTAGTAATTTTTTTTTTTTGAATTTGTTCTGTCACAGGAGGGAAGATGATATGAGACATTGGTCAAAGTTCCCATCTTTTTCGCCTCTTCAGGTAACACACAGGTAACTTGCTTGTAGAGTCAGTAACATCTCTTAAGCGATTTTCCGGACTTAATCCTGCAGGGAATATTTGAGGCTGATGGTGGCAGGCAATTGGATCTTCAAGATTACCCTTATATATTTATGGTACAACTCTCATTTGATCCTATCAATTCTTATCATCACAGTTTCTCTCCAAGGATCCCATATAACTCCTGCAACTCCGGTTTATTTTCTGGTGGTGCAGAGATGGAAAGAGCAATACTTTGTAAATGTTGGCACAGATTGTGGACTAACAATAGCAGGATTTTACTACGTATGCTTCTCCTGCAGTGACGGATCCATCAGTGGTTTCTATTATGATCCAAACAGCAGGTTAGTCCAAGATCTTCCTCATGTTTGTTTACAAACTAGAATCTGTTGTTTTGAGTTATAGAAAATTTGGTATTTTTTGGTTTGTTTTGGCCAGTCCGTTTCAGAAACTGGAGCTTAAAACAGTAAACGAAGGAAGATCTGGTTTCAGTTTTTCTTCTTACGAGTTGCAATGATGAAAAAGCCAAAGGCAGCCATCAGACAGCGCCATATGATGCTCCCGTGGGCACATGTAAGGCACGTGATCCAGTAGACGTGTCAATTATTATTATAAGATTATTTAGTAGGATATTTCTTTTTTTTGCTTAGGTAGCAGACCAAACCAGTGAGAACTAAACTACTCTTTTGTCATTATGGTACAAGCTGATATTCTAAGTCATATCACATTTTCAATCACCAAATCTCTCAAAAATATTACCAAATTGTTTGAAATTGCTCTTAAGTACTTGTATGAAGCCAAGTAAAGTAAAAAAAAAATACTACTAAAGATGAATATTTTATTATAACTATATAAAAAAAAAAAATTGATAAATAGTAAACAGACCTCATCCAAATCCCATAAAATCGTTATGGGGCAATAGTAAAAAAAGATTACAAAATCGTATGGAGCGAAAGCTAAAAATATGGAAAAACCAAAAACGGTCCCGTGAAAGGAGATGGGTCACCTCTCCAACACTCAAGATGCTTTTCGCCGTGTAATACACAAAGCATGCATAGACGAGATCAACGGATTCAAAATGGTCCGTGGAGTACACGTTCTTACGTCGAGCGTCGTACACTTGATGATTAAATTTACATAATAAAAAAGTTGTAGTTTCCAGATTTTACGACCCTCCGAAAGGGGAAAGAGCATAAAGAGAAACAAAACAACAATTATCTTTGAAACTCTCTCTTTATCTCTCTTAGATCTATGCCTGAAGTGGAAGTAGATAACAACGAAGACGAAGCCTTCCGAGATTAACAGGTTTCAGTTTCCTCAATTTTTTTCCTCATCTTGTTTTATTATTACTACCTTTTTTTCCAAATATTAGATCTCTGTGTTTTGGAAAAACTAGTGTTTAACTTCGAGGTCAAACTTATACTTATGCTTCTTCTCAAGTTTCTTAAGATACTGTTTGATGATTTGATTAGCAACGTATGTGTATTCACAGTTGCAAAGGATGATTGAAGTATTGTTTTGATCATTGAGTTTTACAAAACTCTTTTCTAAAGTTGAAGATCAATAAACTCGATAAGTGTGTTTGATGATTAAAGATCCATTCATCGTATGTTTATCTTAATCTGTGTTGTTGTTTTCATGGTTTCTTACGCAGGGTCCATCACATGATCATCAGTAGTAGTAGAAATGTGTTGAAAATGGAAACAGTTGAACTGAGCAAGAAGAGGAAGTTTCAGACAGATCAATCCGAGTTATCATTATTACCTCTGTCCAAGCACGTTTGTTTCGCCAATGTTGCTTGTTCTGAAAATACCAATGGTAGCTCGGAGATTGATACAGAGTGTTCAATGTCATATGTGAACTCAACAGCTTCTATGGAATGTAACAACGAGGTTGAGATGAAAGAGGAATCAACTGGATCGTGCGGGGGAGACAAGATGACCTGTTTCGATAGCCATCTTGATTTCATCTATGGTACTCAGAAAACAGAGGATTACTCAGAGAAAGACATTGAAAACATTCTCTATCTCGATGACGATGACGAAGAAGCTAAAGGATGTAGTAATGCTGCCAAGTTTGTTCTGTCATCTGGGAGATGGACTATTAACCAAGGTAAAAAACCGGTTTTTGGTTTGACCATATTGAATCACTTGAACCGGGAATTCACTAACTTGGTTTCATCATGTGTGCAGCAGATTCTACTCTACACGACACACAGAAGCCTACAATTGATCAAGAATTTGAACAATACTTCTCAACGCTAATGCTGTGACTAAATGATGTTTAGGACTCAAGACATATATGAAGAGATGTACATAGAGAGCTGTACTCGTTCTGTTTTGATTCTTGTCAAACCTTTAAAATGTTCAACTCAAAAGTAATTAGAGAGCTTCTTTTAAATGTTTGTAATTTTGTAAACAGCTTACAAATAAACCAGAGTCTTTTTTTTGTTCAAGCTCTATAGTTTTCCAACTTTCAAGATTTTGATTAGCTGCAGAGACAAAACTTTATCTACTTATGTCTGAATCAGATATAAATTTTAGAATCACAAAATCATATCTTTCAATAAATCTCGTATATTATGAAAATGACTCGAGAGAAGAACAACAAGCATATATGCAAGGGGCAATTTATAATGTTGATGACATCTATTTTTATGGGCCGATACTTATGGCCCATTGGTTGTTACTTAGTCCACAACAGGCCCGATACAAAAATAAAACCCGATTACTTGTTTAGTTTTTCGTGAAAGTTTATCATTTTCTTCATACAGAAAAACCTTAAAATTAGTTATAAATATTTTCACACGTAAAGTCTAACATCTATTTATATGATTTCGTTTCATATGTATTAATTAATCATAGTATCGAAACCAAACGTAAATTAGAGATTTGAAGTATGATGGAAGCAAAACATGCTTCCACGACCTTTGGTTTTAGTATTAGCATACATGGCTTTATCATAATTTTAGTACTTAGAAGTTTTGGGTAAATTAATTGAAAAAATGTTGTAGTTGAACGTGAAGAGATTGATGTCTTGCAAAGAGAAACACGTCTGAGACACTTTCCCCCATAATTCCCGATTTGCCCATCCTTCCATAATCATCATCATCTCCCAATTCTTTTGAAAATCCAAATAAAAATCTCAAATTCTAATCAATCTCTGGAGATTTCGAATTCGCTGGTTTGAGTTTCGACGGAGATGATGGAAGATAGAAATGGAGGAAACAGATTGGATCGGAAGAAGACAATGACGATGAACTGGGAAGGATTAGGAGATTTCGAAGAAGACGAAGACGACGATAGGTTCTTCGAAACTCATGATCGTCTCTCTTCTGCTCTAGCTTTCGACATTGCTGCTTCTTCTTCCGACGAGGACGAAGACGAGGATTTCGACGATTGTCGCCTTTCGTTTTCCTCCGCCGTCTCTTCCTTAACCACCGCCTCTAGGAAGTTCCGTACGCCGGCGATGTCGCCTGATTACGATATCTGGATGGCTGCTCCGGGATCGATTTCCGAGCGGCGTCGCCGTCTTCTCCATGGGATGGGGCTTGTTAGCAATAAGGATATGGTCGGTGCTGTTTCGATTCGTCGTGTTGTTTCTAATGCTAGTACTAGTAATGGTGATGATAAGATGAAGATGAAGATGAAGATGAAGAATAAGATTACGAATAATGGTGAGGTTGATGGTGTGGAGAATGGTTTTCACGGTGAATCATCGGAGATTCTGGATCACGATCATGACCATGTTCCTGTTATGCTTGCTCGGTCGAGATCGGAATCAGATATTGAGAGATTTTTCATTGAGAAACGGAGGAAAGATGAGATTTTAGGGAAAATCTCCAAGCAGCGCCTTACGAGAACCTATTCCACAATTGGAGCTACGCGGACAAGGGTTTGTCAGTACCAAACTCCCATCAGACAATCCCCTGCGGTTTGTCGAAATGGGAAGGCTCCCCGCGGTGGTGGCTCAGAGGCGTTGACATCGGTAATGTCGAATGCGAGGGTTGGTGCGTTCTTCTTGATTAAGAATCTTGACACAGGGAAGGAGTTTATAGTGAATGAGTATGATGAAGATGGAATGTGGAATAGGCTTAGTGATTTGCAGACAGGAAAGCAATTAACTTTGGAGGAATTTGAGAAATGTGTTGGCTATTCACCTGTGGTTAAAGAGCTTATGCGTAGAGAGAATGTGAATAGGATTAACTACGAACCTATAATGGATCTTCGCAAGTTCAATTCCTATCTTTCAAAGAGCGTGAGGCTGAGCAAGAGAAGAGGGGCTGCGTTGTTGAAGAACATTAAAGGTGTTGCTCATTCTATGAGTTTACGGGCTGCGGATAAAGATGTAAGCGATGGAAGCAGTGATAGTCCTAGAACAGGGAAAGATCATAAACACGGTAAAGCTAATGAGTGGGTGAAAGTGAGGCAAACAGGAAAGTCGTATAAAGAATTGAGTGCTTTGCATATGTGTCAAGAGATTCAAGCTCATGAGGGTGCGGTCTGGACAATCAAGTTTAGTCCAGATGCTCATTATCTTGCGAGCGGAGGAGCGGACAGAGTCATTCATGTGTGGGAGGTCCAAGAATGTGAACTAATGTCTATGAATGAAGGGAGTCTCACTCCCATTCATCCCTCACTTTGTGACTCTGGGGAGAGATCATTGGCTGGAAATGAGATAACTATGGTAGAAAAGAAAAAGAAAGGAAAAGGCTCATCGGGAAGAAGAAATAATCAGATTCCGGATTACGTCCATGTTCCTGAAACAGTCTTCTCCTTTTCTGATAAGCCTGTTTGCTCTTTGAAGGGTCATTTGGATGCTATTTTGGATTTGTCATGGTCCAAATCTCAGCTTCTCCTTTCATCTTCCATGGACAAAACAGTCAGGTTATGGGATCTAGAAACCAAAACATGCCTCAAATTGTTTGCCCACAATGACTTCGGTGAGACACATCTTTTGTATCCGGTCTTCACATCTAGCTATAATTTGCTGCATACCCTTTTGACCTTATTGTCCTATTGATTCAACAGTGACATGTATTCAGTTCAGTCCAGTGGATGAAAATTATTTCTTAAGTGGATCACTTGACGCAAAGATAAGGATATGGAGCATACAAGATCGACATGTTGTGGAATGGAGTGATCTTCATGAAATGGTCACTGCTGCTTGTTACACTCCAGATGGTCAGGTATTTCCTCTGTTTCTTGCAGTAGTCAGCAAAATCCAATCCATGCCGGTTCTTTAATGATGGAAATTTCTGTTTTTTCCTACTGAAGGGTGCTTTTATCGGGTCACATAAAGGAATTTGCCGTGCTTATGATACTGAAGGTTCTTCCTAAGCTCTTTCTGATACAAACATAACTTCCTAGTTGAATACTCCTTTTCATTTCTATGCGTTTTTTCTTCTTCTGTAGAACAGATTGTAAGCTGAACCAAACTAACCAGATTGATGTTCAGAGCAACAAAAAATCACAAGCGAGAAGGAAGATCACCAGTTTTCAGGTTCGTTTCCTGAAAAACCAAAACTCCACCTTAAGATAAACACCATTAACTGTTAACAACTTGATGCATTATATAGTTTTCCCCGGTGAATCCATCCGAAGTTCTTGTCACATCTGCTGATTCACGGATTCGAATTTTAGACGGTTCTGAAGTTATTCATAAATTCAAAGGTGAATTCTCTACAGGCATTGGCTGATTGAATCGATGAGCTAACAACAACAAAAACAAAAACTGATACTTTTGTTGACAGGCTTTAGAAACACGTGCAGCCAACTCTCTGCTTCATATAGCCAGGACGGGAAATACATAATCTGTGCGAGCGAAGACTCTCAGGTTTATTTGTGGAAGAACGACAGTCACCGAACAAGATCAACAGTCACGACACAATCTCACGAACACTTTCACTGCAAAGATGTCTCAGCCGCTGTTCCTTGGCACGGTCATGTTAGAGGCGAGCCACCACCTGTTCAGGTTCACTCTAAACGCCACTCAAAGCGCATATCCACTTCGAGCCAGCCTTCATCCTCCACAGACTCACCAACAAGTGATGACACCTCGGCAACGGCACCAACTACATCTAAGCGCAATAAAAAACCGGGGTTACCTCCAATGCCTAAGAAAGCCGCTATGCAGAGTCCGCAGCAACCAGAGGAAGAAGCGGGACCTGAGCTGGGAAGCAGCGAGTCGTTTCGGTCGAGTATGAACAGTTCGGAGCAGCATTCGTCAAGGTTTGGGGAATCTCCATCGATAAACACATCGTCAAGGTTATCTTCATGGTCGTGGTTCGACAGTGGTGGCCACGGTCCACAAACTATACATCCAACGGCATGGGGGATGGTGATTGTAACGGCTACTGTTCATGGCGAGATCAGATCTTATCAAAATTTTGGCTTACCGAGACGAATCGGTCGGCAAACGACACTCTTTTGATTTTAAAAAGGAAGGAACCGGTCTCTATTTTCTTGATTTTGTATCTTTGTTGCTTGTAGAGTACGTAAAGAAACTGTCTCATAGTGTTGAGAACCTCTCCCGACGTTGAAAATATTTTGTATTTGTATCATATCAACACAAACAAAAACTTGTGAAGTTCTCCAGATAGAAATCAAAAACAATTTACTCCACTTTTTTTTCTCTAGATAACAATGGGATACACCAAAAAAGAGCCAAAAGTAAACTGAAAGTTTTGTTAATTAACATGTAAATAAATCTACAAGCAAGACGAAGCTACATCATCCAGAAATTTAACGATGACCACCGCCACCAGAAGAGTCTCAACCGGAAAAGGCGATGTTGTCATGATGCTGATGTTGTGATGACCGTCATTGTTATATCATGATGATTGATGATGATGATGATGAAGCTGGCCAGTGCTGCAGGTCAGACTTGGAATATGTTTATTCCCTTTTGACTATTTTCCATGTCAACAGCATCGGACAGATTCTTCTTTTTCCCCCAATTTCTGCAACCAGAGACGACACAACATGCTAGAAGAAACACAGCAAAGCAAGCTAGGACTATAAATGTAATGAAAGGAACATCCATCTTTTGAGAGAAGAAGATTAGGTTTTGGGTTTAAAGGGAAGGAAGTGCAGGTATTATATTTAACTCAATCTAGAAAAAATAAATATATTTATAATTTGGTAAATTTTGAGACTGGATTCATTAATGCTAAAGTCTAGTTGCATTAGGAAACCTAATTATATTTGGGGAAAAAAAACCTTGACAAATGACTTGTTGTAGGAATCGAAAGTCTTATTTAGATTTAGGTTGATTATAAATTAAAAAAAAAATAATATAGAAAATATATAAAAGTTTCAATATTTTAGTGTAATAACTTTTAAATTTTAATAAAATTTTATATTTCTTTAATAATTCAAAACTTACAGCTGTATATTTTTTAGCAGTTTGCTTGTCTTATTGATTGTTTTTTTTTTTGGTCGAATTCTTATCTTATTGATTAGTAAACACTAAAGATTTTGATTATTTTTTATTAATTTGTTTGCCAAATGTATCAAGTTTTGAAATAAAGTTTTCAAAAAGGTTAAATTGGAAAATCAATGTATGTACATATATAGTAAAATTAAATCAATGTATATTTGCATTTTTAATATCTTTTTCATCAATCAATCACTTAAGAGATAGTGAGTACTACATAGGAACGAACAAGAACTATGAAATCATAATTGCGAAAGTGACCGAATGGGTTATTTTCGAGAAGCCCCAATCACACGTACACGTACTGATGTACTTGTGAGTTTATGATAACAATGTTGATAAATATTACTTCCACACGTCAAGATTGTCACCAAAAACTTCGAAGTGATAATATATGATAAGTTAGTACATCATATAACAAAGTTGGAGTTATTAACAAATCAAATTCCGGATTCATGATTTTTTTGAATTTTCCAAGTTTTAGCTGTTTGACAAATTCCTGGTACCTAAAGACAATAATTACCAGGGTAGAGTGTAGTCAAAAATCATAATATAGTATAGGAATTGAATAATGAGTGTGGTTTATTTACAATCAACCAGATTCTATAAAAATATATATATATGAAGTTATCATAAGAAACAAAACCGTGTGGTACAAGTCCTCTTGTTTGATCAATTATTGTATGATATGGCATTGTTGATCAATTATTGAAGGGTAAGTTTGTTCCAAATACAAAACAAAACAAAAAGTGCTAATCAAAAAATAATAGAAAATGAGAAGGTGACAGCTCATCGTCTTCAACTTTAAAATTTTTGTTTTTGCAGTTGTGTTGGCCTAAGTAATCAATCACATGATTCTTTTGTTCAAAGTTGGTCGTAAATCAATAGCTGTATTCACTGCATTTACACCACACACATGCCTCAGATCGATCGAGTAAGCCTTTTGGATTTAGTTGTCTTTCGTGTGGTTCTCGAGTCTCAACTCTTGTATATATACTTGCAACAAGTTCCGAATTAAAAATAAATTATTTACTAGCTAGTCGGGTAAAACAGCTTAAACAAGCTCATAGTTTTCTAAACCAGAAAGCTTATACTACGATAATCCAAAATATATAACTCTGACGTTTATAGAAAAATAATTACTTTATACCTATAAGCTACATATAATAATTATGCTGTTATTTAAAGTGAAAACTCTTATATAAGTAAGTAGATTAACAGTTAGCCCAAAAAAAAAAAAAAGTATGTAGATTAACAGTTAAAAATTTCTTGATATTCATTACAGAGGTATGATTATTTCCTAACCATAAAGTTTACAAAAATATATAATTATATTGAGTATATGACTATCATATTTGACAAATTGCGGTAAACCTAAACTTCTATAGTCAGAAAAAGTGCATTGTTTAGTTCCGGTTGACGCATGAGAAAACATTTGATTCAAATTGAATACGTAACGTAACTGTATGTATATTCTTAGATATTGTAATGAAAATTTAACATGAAAAAAATTGCCAAAAAAGAAAAAGAAAAAAAATGGGAAGCACGTAAAAGTGGAACAACGCGTTGGCTTTTTTCTCACCCTATATATAAAGAGCATTGTTGCCTCTAATCTTTCTCTCCTTCCCTTTTCTTCTTCTGCCTTTGTCCTCTCACCACTTTGTCCTCTGCGTTTTCATTAGCTCTTCATTTGTCTTAGATCAGGTTCGATGATATATACAGATCCTTCTTGATCTTTTCTTTTCTTTTCTTTTTGTGTTGCTATTCTCGCATTTCTCATGATTTGAGGATTTGTTCTTTTATTTTTATGGATACTTTAGGCTACATGCATTTATGCAAGCTTGAAGAAATTCTTGTAATCTATTAGTCTTCATAGTTTATATGATGAAAAAACTACATTGTACATAGGCTTTGTTAATTTGTTATAGAGGTTCTCTAGTGTCAAAATGCGTCAAGATTGATATTACCTATAAGGTTTTAGTTTTAAAATACTTTTTGAATTTCATAGATCAAATTCAGTGAATATTTTAATTGTACTAATAAGATTATACAAGTCGTTGGTGTGACATCAGCCAATCAAACATATAATTCTTATCCCCAAACATATGGAGAGTTAAACTTGCACACTTTGTTCCCACTACTTGTTTTGTCTGAATCTATATTTCCTCCTCTTTCTTTGATTAAGCATCATTGTCACTGAGTCTAAGATTCTCCCTTTATATAAAGATTCTCGAGGAGTGAGTAAAACCAACGATAAGCATCCCTCATCGACTACAAATGGAGATTGAGTGCCCAAAATATGATACCCTTTTGTTTGGTAAGGTCTCTAATTCCTCTGTTTTTTCTTTGTTCTCCTGCAATTTTCCTCTGTTTTGTTATCTAACAAAATCTATATCTTTGTGGGAAATATTTAGATCTTGATGATACCCTTTATCCATTGAGCTCTGGGATTTCTAAAGAATGTGGACAGAACATCAAAGGTGACTTTTGTTTTTTGTCCGAAAGTAATTTCTTGTTTTGCAAGTCACTACGTTTTCTTTAAAATTTGGTTGTGTTTTTTTTGGTAGATTACATGGTGGAGAAGCTTGGAATTGACAAGAATAAGATCCTGGAGTTATCTAATTCACTATACAAGAATTATGGAACTACCATGGCCGGTCTTCGAGTAAATTTACTTCTCTATTTTGTACTTGAATTAATACATATGGCTTAATTCTTAACCGTGTTTAATCATATTTATTCTCAGGCTATAGGTTATGACTTCGATTACGACGAGTATCACAGGTATAATATATATATATACAAAAACCATTGGGATAGTGTCATATTTATTATTCTAAATTGTCTTATTGTTTCCTAACAGTTTTGTACACGGGAGACTACCTTATGAGAACATCAAACCAGATCCCATTTTGAGAAGTCTCTTACTTAGCCTGCCTCTTCGCAAGATCGTAATGATTCTTCTTAACTTAATCATTCCTATAAAAAAAATATATCATCAAAAGTCTTAAATTTCTCATATATACGTATCTGTCACAATTCTTTCAGATCTTCACGAACGCAGATAAGTTACACGCAGCAAGAGCCCTAGAGAGGCTAGGGTTAGAGGACTGTTTCCAAGGAATACTTTGCTTTGAATCATTGAATTCTACTAGTCTTGACAACGTCAGTGAGGACAAGACAGAGATATTCGACATCATCGGATACTTATCCGATCATGAACAGCCAGTTACCGGTATACCTAAGACACCTATTGTCTGCAAACCATCTGAATCCGCCATAGCAAAGGCTCTTGATATCGCCAACATCGACCGTCAAAGAACCGTTAGTGCCTCTTAGAGCTTCTTCATAAAATCTTTAAGACCCATTTGTTTGTTTTGATAAAATATCTGTTTCTTGTAGTTGTTCTTCGATGACAGTGTTCGAAACATTCAGGCTGGTAAACGCATTGGTCTGGATACTGTTCTGGTAAGTTTTGAGAAAAAACGTATAGTGAAGGGCCGAGAATATAACAGTGGAGTGATGATGTGAATTGTGAATTGTTTGGTGTAGGTGGGAACTTCACAGAGAGTGAAATTTGCAGATTATGCGTTAGAAAACATTCATAACCTTAAGGAGGCTTTGCCGGAGCTCTGGGAATCGGAGGCTAAGCCTGAAAATGTTAGTTACTCCGGCAAACTTGCCGTTGAAACTCCGGTGATAGCCTAATAATTTAACCAGTCCCGGTTATTTGAAAGATTCCAGCAGAAAATTTAGTTTTTCTTTTTGGAGTAATCTGTGTTGTAGTAGTATTGTAAATAGCCTTTTTCCTTCTGGCTCATATTATGAGTTTAATAAAAATATAAAAAATCAGAGTCAGATGGGTCGAACTATAAATTTCAAATTACACGAAACGCTGGGCTAATGGCTTTGGCCCAATATAAAGTCAGGCCCGTTTAAAATTCAAAATAATCCAAAAGATAAGGTGACGTGGAGAAGAAAATCGGAAATTCGATATCTCCTCAGCTCCTCACTCTCTCTCTCTCTCTCTCGACTACAATCATCTGATTCTGAGCTATCAAACTCTTCAGTCAATGGCGATGATGACGACAACGACGACGAAAACATTCTTCTATACACAAATTCCTGCTAACAGTCACAAATCCGGAGCTGTAGCTTCTTCTTTTGTCTCAGTTCCTCATTCTTCGTCTCTTCAATTTCGCTCGCTTGTTTCGGATTCAACTTCAATTAGTGCTCAAAGTAAATTAACCGGGAAGCTCAGAAGAGTGTCGGTTGTTGTTTCCGCAGCCGCAACATCTGAACCTCTCACCGTACTCGTTACCGGTGCCGGTGGAAGAACAGGTTCACTCTCTCTCTCTCTTTCTCTCTCACTCACTCTCTTAGATCATAAAAATTGCTGTTCTAAGAAGATTTTTTTTAGATTCTCTCTACAATGTGGTACTGTGCAATTCTGTAAGAACACTGTTCAATGTTGATGGTGAACGTGACAGGGCAAATTGTGTACAAGAAATTGAAGGAGAGGTCGGATCAGTTTGTGGCGAGGGGTTTAGTGAGGACGAAGGAGAGCAAGGAGAAGATCAATGGAGAGGATGAGGTGTTCATTGGGGATATCAGAGATCCTGAAGCTATTGCTCCTGCTGTTGAAGGAATTGATGCTTTGGTCATTCTTACAAGCGCTGTACCGCAGATGAAACCCGGTTTTGATCCTAGTAAAGGAGGGAGACCTGAGTTCTACTTTGAAGATGGAGCTTATCCGGAACAGGTGAGAACTATATTACTAGTGTTGTGTGTTCTTGTGGATTTCTTAATTCTCCTTGGTTTTTGATAATTGATTTTTTTTGGCAGGTTGATTGGATTGGTCAGAAGAATCAGATAGATGCTGGTTTGTATTCATCATCTCTTTAATTTTTTTGTATGTGTGTTTCAACCAAGGTGCGTAACTGTTTATGATGATCCATCTTTGTTTGCTGAAACAGCCAAGGCTGCGGGAGTTAAGCAGATTGTTTTGGTTGGGTCGATGGGAGGAACTAACATCAATCACCCTCTCAATAGTATTGGCAATGCCAACATTCTGGTGAGACTCGTCGTTCTCTGTTTTCTTCAACCCAGAAAGACAAGTTTCACAGCAGATGTTCACAGTCTTTCTGCATTTTGTAGGTTTGGAAGAGAAAGGCTGAGCAATACTTGGCAGATTCTGGTATTCCATACACCATCATCAGGTACCTTTAATTGTTTACTTGATCACTTATATCCGATACAAATTGCATTGGCGGAATTCTCATCTTGCAATATTTCTCTTGGATTCAGGGCGGGAGGTCTGCAGGACAAGGAAGGTGGCATTCGTGAATTACTCGTGGGAAAAGATGACGAGCTTCTCGAGACAGAAACAAGAACAATTGCAAGACCTGATGTTGCAGAAGTCTGCGTTCAGGTGGGTTCATTATGATCAAAAGGGATTTCATAAACTGAATGATCCATCAACAGTCACCATATTTTTAAATCCAGTTTTGCTTCTCCTAATCCATGGTGTGTTCTATTCGAGCAGGCGTTGCAACTTGAGGAGGCAAAATTCAAAGCACTTGACCTGGCCTCAAAGCCCGAGGGAACAGGCACCCCAACAAAGGATTTCAAGGCCCTTTTCACTCAAGTAACCACTAAGTTCTGATCTGTTCTCTTTGTCCTCATAGCAGAGTCCTAGGATTGACACTGAGAGGGTTGAGTTCATTATGTGTCTGAACCGGCTCTTTCTATTTCTCATGAGTTCTTGCTTTTGAAATATATTTAGAGATCATCAAAACTCTCAAATAGCATTGAGGGACCACAACTAATAACTAAGAGCTCAGATTCCAAGCAGAAGAGCTTTCCAGAAATAGTAAAACCTCTTATTTCAATGTAGCCTTGGTCCTAGTGTGTACATCGTAGAAGTAAAAACCTTCTCTTTAAACCATAGTTCATCTAAGCTTCCTCTAATACGTGTTACAATCTAGATAATTTAACTCTGCTAGCAATATACAAAATCTCTGATCATCCCTAGCTACAAGAATACTGTTAGGAGAACCTAGCTGAGAAACCAACAAATATCCATCTAGAAAGTTATAAATAGGGACTTACATCAATATCATCTTTTAACAAGTTCTTCGGGATGTCACTGACTTTCATCTGCAAAAGAGATGACACAGTCTCAGTACAATGCCTAGAAAACATAAGATAGCATTTCGAAAGCAATGTGAATATGAATCCGAGCTGTACCTGTAATGCTGTATCTAGGAATTACAGGAGAGAAAAAAACAAGATATGGTTCTTTCTTATGTTGACGGGAGTTATCGGTCAAGCCTTGGAAACTGGTTTCCATACAGAAAGAGCCATGACGGTTCTTCCTTTCCACCCTTGCAAGAGCCACTTGTTATCTTGATCGATCACAAAATCCTTATGGTAGAATGTGTGGACCTTTTGCAGCGCTGTCTTCATAATGCTTGAGTCAAATGGAACTTGTACCAACCCTGACCTCATAGCACGGACGTGCCACTGCTTGTATGTCTCAGGCCTCTCCACTCTTTCCCAACCTTCGCAAGCAATTACATTCAATGCCTCTCTCCCAAAGACCTCCATCTCAAGGAGCATCCTCCCTTCGTCTTCCCCTGGCACAATTGTCTCAAGCATGTCGAAAATCGAGGAGAAATGAAAGAGAGCTTCGCGAAACCGTGTCACAAAGAACGGTGCATTGTATGCACCATTCACAATGCCAAACACAAAAAGATCGGGATTGATCTTCCCGATCAAATTGAGAACAGTGTCTCTACAGCTTTCTACTTTGACCGACTCATCATGCAAATTCTCAGCTCGGTACAGGCAATTAACTATAGTAACCTCATCTCTGTCTATATCGAGATCTTCAAGTTGAATTGCATCCCACTTCTTAGCAATTGCTTTATACTCAAATGGCACGCCAAAGTGTTTGGCATACGCTGCTAACCTTTGACCAGTTTCTTCAACCCGCTGTGCTGGACGAAACCCAGGCTGCGGAAACTCAATCCCGGTGATCCTAACCTTTGGTGATCCATACTTCGAAAACCGGTGAATAAGAGTTGGCCATTGGAAACCATAGAGGATACCAAAATCTATAACATGAACCCGCGGAGATTTATCAACAAGATCGCGTATGGTCTTATTGGTTATGAAATAAGAGAGCTTCCTAAAAGGACAACACGCAAGAAAAAGCTGGTGAGCCTTCAAGACAGCTGCAGCGGATCTCGGTTTACTCACAATCCCTTTATAAATCTGGCTTCCGGTACCCGCTAACCTCGCCTCAAGACCATTAGCAAAACAATGAGCCAATCTCTGGTTCCCATCACCAAACTGTGTAGAATGCAGCCTAATCTGTTGCAACAACTGACCCGCACACCTGCGATCATCAGCTGCAACAGCTTGAGCACAATGTATCAATAAACTTCTCAAATCCACAACTTCTTTTTTCCCATTTTGCCCTCCTCCTCCTCTCCCTCGTCCTCGTCCTCGTCCTCTGGGTCGTCTCTTCCCGCCTTGAGCCACTGAAGCTTTCTTCTTCTCCACTCCATTCTTCAGAACTTCACGCAACGCATCAAACTCCTTCATGCTCTCTTCTCCAGGAACGTGAACCAAGATCTTATCTACAACATCTGACCTCAAAATATCCTCACCAAACACAGCAGGTAGTTTACTACTCCTCTCTTCTTCCACACAAGTCTCATCACGGCTAGAGTTCTTCCTTCCTCTGCTCATACAACTCTCCTCTTTAAAATTCACAATCAACTCGTTTTGTTGAGGAAAAAACCTACTAGTTTCTTCAATCCCACGCCTGAACAACCATACAGATTGATGACTCTCCCGATTCGAATCAGAATACAAAGTATTCTTCGACGACTCGTCAATCCCATCTCCGTAGATAGTACTAGTAGTAACCAAACCATTAGATTGCGGAACACTTAGAAGCGATGAACGACCACTCTGAGGATTTCGAAAGTCTAAAGTAAAACCACCACTCAGTGGCTTGTTTCCACCATCCCCAAAGCCAATACAATCTCCGCCGGTGTAGTTACCTGGAACCACACGGTCAAGATTCTCACCAGCGAACGAAGAAGCCAAGTTTCGTTCAGGAGATGGAGGATACTTCTTACCAATAGCTTCGTAAAGCGATCTCTCAGCAGCCTCGAGATCTAGAGACTCTTGGAGCATGCAGACTTTATCATCCATGTCTTCCTCATTCAACATCTGACTAATGTATCCTAAAACAGCATCGGAGAAATCGAAATCATTAGCCGGGTCTTCTTCTTCCTCCATTTCCCGAATAAAAACCGAATTCTCCGGCGGAGCTGCGAGGACAGTGTTCCTACGATCGGAAGAGAGATTGAAATTGAAACCGTCGTAGAGTGTCACCGGAGTGAAGGTATGATTCGGGAGCAACGAAGTGGATTGATCAGGTAAACCGGGTAAACGATTCCGATTAATCGCACCAGAAATCCCGGTTAGACCTGGTTCAGTAATCATGTTCTCTAGATTGAGAGATTATTAAAGGAAGAAGATGATTAAGGAAGAAGGAGAGACGAGGTTTAGACTTTAGAGGGGTGGAGAGGGGACCGAGAAAAGGAATCGGAATAAATGCGTTTTCATTTTTTATATAAATAATTACAATTTTAAAAGGGGAAATAATTGAAAAAAAAAGTTTATTTTAAAAAGGTCTAATCTCCGAGGTAGGGAATAGCAAATCACAGCCGTTGGATCTATTATGCGTTTTTGTGGGGACCTGTCGTCGTCGTGCTTTTCATCAAATTTGTTTTTGACAATTAGCTAAAATGTTTCTTTTCTTATATCGGTTCATTACTCGCCACGTGTCGTCATTACAGTAAGTTAAAGCTTACATAACTGTTTTTTAAATATGCAAATTAGTAAGTAGTAGTACACTATATATAGTTTTTTTCTGAGTTAGTGGTAAGTACAGATATATAATGAGATTTATCTATAGTTTTTTCCCCCAAGTTGGATAGTTGGATGTACTAAAATCAAACCTTAATTAGTTTTATTTTTCTTTCTTTCTAGAACCTTAAAATTTTTTGACAAATCATTTTCTTAATTAAGATTAGGGGACTAGTTAACTAATAAGAGAGCCCCCTGGACATTTCCCCCCAAGACCACAATGGCTATGAACTTCGTTCCCAACTTCTACGATATCAACATGCTCGCCTAAGAAACGTAAAAGACCGGATGGATCAACTAGTGTTATGTAAAATAGCACAATGAAATACCTTATATACATATTGGTTGAGTGCATACGAAATCACGTGTATTGTTTGCATATCATTGTCTATATATAATATATGATATATCTCTTGTAATCTTGTTATGACATTTCGTTATCTTGCTTTTTCTTAGCCACTTTGTATGTTTTAATCCATTAAAACCAAACAAAACGTTATTCATTTCGTCTTAGCTAAGTTTGTTTCTTACAAATACACCGTGCGACGTCTAGATCTATGTAAGTCCATTATTATTTTTCACCGCAACACTATATGTCTATATATATATAACACATCTATTGGTAGATTCCAGGAGTTTACTGACGACTACCAACGTAACTTTAATGTTTCACGAGTTACCAACTAATATTTTGGACCATTTAAAGTTGTCATAGACTTATAGACCCAAACGAGAGAGGCAGCTCCATGCGCGCCAACATCGCCATGGATGAAAACCCCTTGGTAAAACTAGAGAAGAAAAGAGACTTTAGTTTCAAATCTTTTCCATGTTCTTCAAATGTTGGCTATATTAATGTATGAATACCATAGCTGGTCCTCATAGAAAGCTTGGAGCCCATGATCTTTTCAACACTGATATTTATTATTGAGTAAACATTTGTATACTCTTCCTGTTAACTGTTTTTTTCCTGTTAAATTGATCATCGAAACAAAATTTCTTGTTTTAAATAACTCAAATCATTTGGATAAAAATTATTTTCATAGTTACATAACACAATTCTAAAATTGTATGTGTTATCTTTTATCTTTTACTTGATAATTTCACCATTTCACGTTTATAAACGGAAAACCAAATTTTACATTATTTTTTTGGAAGCGTTCGAATAGTGATCTCAATTATTGTAAACAGTAAACACAGAGAGAGAGAGAGAGAGAGAGAGAGAGAGAGCTGTTGTAAACTCACCTATCCAGTGCCCTTAAAACTTACAACTCACATGGAACCCTTATAGAGAACTTGTGTAACAACAACAATTATATCCAGAGACACTCCACATGCACATGCTCGTGCTCATGTAATACGATAACTCTCAAAGAAGCTTGTCATTCAACTATTGCGGCCCTATCTCACCCAAATTTAATACAAAAACTTTATTATCGTTCAGAAATTAAAATTCACAAACAATACTATATTTATTTGTATGTCGACCTTAGTCTAACCACATGCTCTTAATGTGATGCTCTCTATTCGTTTGGTTCATTTATATGATATGTTCATAAGAAAATGTACATGTATATGTTTTTCCTTTTTTCTTTTTATAAGCATACACATACACACATGTATTTAATTATGTTAACATGCGTTATGACTAAAGAAACTATAGTATACATGCGTGCATGCCTAGATAAATGGCAAATAAAATACTATAAGCTATATACTTCGTAAAGAGGAAAGACAAACATACGTAATTGTGTTTGGCATTTGTTTTTGTTTTGATTCGAACTTTTTGGCTTTCTCGGTTCTCAAGTATGAATACCGAAATTGTTCTTTGGGTTATAATCGGTTAGGTTTTGGATGAACTATAACCAATAACCATGTCCCGATTTTTATATAATTCATATAAAATTGATGCAATTTCAGTTTACTCTATCAGCTGCATGAAGACAATGTCACCGTTTAGCTTAAAACAGAAAAGATCGATTCGGTTAAGTCTTGAAGTAATAAACCACAGTAAAACCGGTGAGAGGGATATCAATTAATTACCTCAAAACCCTGTAAATCTAGAAAATTACAGAAAAGCAACTTAATTTTACTGTAAAATTAAAAAAACCCAACCAGCCTCATCAGTCCCCATAAATACCCTTGGTCCTTCCCGCTTTCTCTCAGTACTATCCAATACACTTCTCTCTCTCTCCCCCCCCCCCCCCTCTAATAATGACGGCGACTGCGTTTGGGATCTGCTTGTGGTTGGCCGTTACGGCTTCTTTTCTCTTAACAGCTTCAGACGCCAAAATCGCCGGCGTTTATAGCGGTGGACCATGGCAGAACGCACACGCCACTTTCTACGGTGGTAGTGACGCCTCTGGAACCATGGGTATTACCATATTCACCGTTTTTAATTTCATTTCATACGTAACTATAAATTATGATTCCTAACTTGTTAATTTTTTTTATAAAGTTCCTGACTTTTTCTTGTGCTCTGTTTTTGTGGGTTTTGTTAGGCGGCGCGTGTGGGTACGGGAACTTGTACAGCCAAGGATACGGTGTGAACACGGCGGCCTTGAGCACTGCTCTGTTCAACAACGGGTATAGCTGCGGTGCTTGCTTCGAGATCAAGTGTACCGACGACCCGAGATGGTGTGTGCCGGGAAACCCCTCGATTCTTGTGACGGCGACGAACTTTTGTCCGCCGAATTTTGCTCAGGCGAGTGACAACGGAGGATGGTGCAATCCGCCGCGTGAGCACTTTGATCTAGCTATGCCTATGTTCCTCAAGATCGGTCTTTACCGTGCAGGCATTGTCCCCGTCTCCTATCGCAGGTCTCTCTCTCTCTCTGATTTTTTTTGTTTTTTTGTTTTTACCGATTTGGTTTCGCCGGCGATTATAATTTGGTGAATCGATAAGAATTTAACAGTAAATAGGTACGGTGAAGAATTCTAACTAGCCAGTATATATAGTCACAGCTGATATTTACATAAACACGCGTATGGATGTTGATAATAGTAACTTTTGCTAATCTAGATTATGTAAAATGAGATTAATGTTTTAAAGGGAACTAGTCTTTTGGTTGTGTGAAACATAAGAGGATTTAGTGTTTGATTTATTACTTGCTACTATAATATGGTAGATAATTAGTATAATCTTTTACAAACTTAATTAAGACACCTTTTTCATGTGAAATAGAAAATTTTTAAGATTTCTTATTGAGCTAGATAGTAATAAATAATAATAGTCGAAAATAAAAATAAAAACGCTTGAAGTGGTATTTTGATTGTATGTTTTTTTATTAATAAAGTGAAAAGATATTTGTACCGACTACCGAACATGTTATTATGAACTATCTGTGTGTTTTGTTTTCCTCTAGGTTTCTACTTTCTAGCACTTTTTAAGATAACGGCCTATGAGTTTCAGAGTTCAGAAACTGAGACCATCGCTCTCAATAGTATTATTATTATTATCTCAATATTTCTATTTGTTTTTTTTTTTAACTCTGAAACATTTTTATTTTTTCAAAATTATCTTTTTGGGAAAAGAAGCAGGACACAGTAACCCAGAGATCCATCTCCCTCTTTCTTTACCTCTTTGTCTTGTTGTTAATAATTGTTCTGTTTCCTCTGAAGGGTACCTTGTCGGAAGGTAGGAGGGATAAGATTCACAGTAAACGGGTTCAGATACTTCAACCTCGTTCTGGTAACTAACGTTGCCGGTGCCGGAGATATCAACGGAGTTAGCGTAAAGGGATCAAAGACAGATTGGGTGAGAATGAGTAGGAACTGGGGACAGAACTGGCAGTCCAACGCCGTCCTTATTGGCCAATCACTCTCTTTCAGAGTCACCGCTTCTGACCGACGTTCCTCTACCTCGTGGAACGTTGCTCCTCCCTCGTGGCAGTTTGGTCAGACTTTCTCCGGCAAAAACTTCCGAGTCTGACTGAAGTCTCTCTCAAACCACACCACACACACACACCCAAAAGAATCAAAATCTTTTTTCTTTTTTTTTTTCTCCAATACTTAAAAGAGAGATGTTGTTATTTTTATATTTTTAATATGGCTCAGACATTTTCCAGCCCTGGGGTTCTCCCTTTAATTTTCTCGGGAAAATTTTCCGGTGGCTTCGGGAAATTATTTTAGTTTTATTTCGTTGGTGGCATCTTCTTCTGCTTAGCTAATAAAAAGCCAGAGAGAGTGTAAACAAAACAGTCTGTGATTTGAGTCTGATGGACCTTGTAATGGGCCCTTGGGCCAAGTTATTTATAAAAATCTTAAATTCGGATTTCGTTCACTATTCGTGTGGGACTCTTGTTTGTTTGTCTCAGCGTAAAGAACAACCGACTGAATTTTGCATTATTTGGCCCAGACAAAAAAATACAACGGTTATAGAGTGAATAAGGTGTAGTTAAAAGACGATTTTGCTTGGTTACAGTTTCCTGCACTTATTTGCTATTGTGAGTGTTATCTCTAATACATGTGCTGATCGATGTAGGTGCATCCGTGCATGTTATATATAATGCTCTCTATCCCTTTACCGTTCCTTTGTTTATTGTTTGGCATTGTTATTGTACCTTATGTATGTTTGTTGATACTCAATAAGGATTCATGTTCAGAGTGCAAGTTTAAATGTTAACGATTTTATACTATCTACTTAATGAATATTGAGTGTTCATGACTACTTTATGAACGCAAACTTGTATGAAGCTCAAGTTAGAAAATACATGTCATGAAATGAGAATTCATCATTCATTATACATCATACATCATACATGATGCACGACATTTGATCTAACTCATGCTCATTAATTATCATGATCAGGCTCTTATAAAATTATTATTATATATCATATTTCTTTTACTTTAGTTATTTCATTAATTTCTTACCCTCATTACCTTGTCGTTTGTCATAAAAACATTTATGCTTCAATTCGAGTTAACAAATTAACCAGGTTCGATTAGACGACGATATCAGCAAGGAACGAAGCAACTATTATTTTTTTGTTCTGTTACAAAAAAAAAAACTATTATTTTTTTGTTTATATTAATAAGAACAAGTCAGTTCTCATAATGGTTTGTCGACAGAAAAACAAAATGGCTGCCCCGTTAAAAGCATGCATGACCCAAACAAAAACTACAACATGTCCATAATAACCTCTGAAGAAGCTATACCTTATTAGAAGAAAGAGTTGGTAAACTTCTAGTCACATGTTATTCACCGTACTCAGCTATGACCACAACCTAGCTAGTTTCTCGACCCAAACTCATCAAATTCCACATACCATACAATAGTTACAAAGTTAAATGAAGATCGATAACTTAGCACACTATATCAGAGTAGTTCTCGAGGCAAAACAAGAATGGGCGGATAAATATCCAATTGGTTCAATACACCTAATCTCCCTAGCTGACATTTCTAAGCTTATTAGAGAATGCCCAATTTATACCATCCAAAATAAGAAAATGAAAAAAACTAGCTTATCTACCCAAAAAAATAAAATAATAGTTAATTTCGCAAACACTAGAGACAAATTCTATTTTTCAAAAAATAAAAGAAAATTCCCATAAAAAGAAAATTCCATGTAAGAAGAACGGATCCAAATGAAAAAATATTACTATTATATATCTCATAGTTGTATAAAGAAAAAGTTTGATAAATAGTTAATAAATAAATAAATAAATAAAAAGAGAAAAAAAAAAAGAAAAAAAAAAGCGGGAGGGGATGGAGCGGAGCACATGAGGTAAAAGGCAAGAAGATGGCAGAGGGAAGATCAGAGAAAGGATCTGCCCTCTATTTTGACAACTCATATGTCATGTCTTTTCATTTCTCTTTTTTTATCTTTTTTTTTTATCTTTTCTTTTTTTTTCTTAGACACTCTTTTCTCTGATTCCATCAGCATTTAATTTTTTAATTTTTTTTTACTGTCTTTGCTCTGTTTCACATTCTATATTTTATACTCTTCTAGACTTCTTCTAGTGTTTCATTAAATCATTCTTTTTCCTTCCAAGAATCAAAAAAAAATTATACAGTAATATTTACATATCATTACTACTTAGGTCGCGACTCATGACTCATGAGAGACATGCAATAATATGAAGGATGGTTAATGTATGTGGATCCATTACAAATATTTATTGGATGTTGACCAGAGATTAAATGGGCAAAATTATCGGATCAATTGTTGAGGTCCTAAGTTTACAAAACTATCCACCATTAGGGAGACCAATTCACATCAGAGACTAGATTCGATAACTTATGTGTTCATAATCTCGGATCGTGTATTGCTAGCAATTCTGGAAAAGAAAGTGCATATGGTTAATCATAGTGGTCTTACTTACCGATTCGCAACTGGAAAACATGTCCCTAACTCGAACACTAAAAGTTCTATCAAAATTTTGAAAGTAAAAACACAATATATTGGCAAACAAACGGTTCAAGTAAATCAATCATATATAGTACACATCCATGTAAATTCTTTTTTTTTTTTTGCATCATATTACAAAGCAGGCCCATCCAAGGCCCACCACTAGTCTCCTATCAAACATACTTTTCTTGTCTTTGGTTTGTATAAATCAACCTACCATGTTGGCTGTTCTCTCATCTGTCTAATATATGTAAAAAGATCACTACCACATAGTATAGTTTCTTTGATAGTGTTATTTTGTGAGTAACGTATGTATTAAGTTTGATCAGCATCTTTAAAAAAATTGATAATCAGTGACCAACCTTTTCATTTTTTGAGTCATGTACACACTTAAAGTTTTATATCTTTATTTAGATGATTTAGAAAACCAAAATCATGCAATAAAGAAACGTGGATTGTTAATTAGTTGAATTTTGCAGATACTTTTAAAGTAGTTAAAAGAAAGAAAAAAAAGAGTTTTCCAGCTTAAAATAACTATTTTGCAAATTTCTTATTATTTAAAAAACAAAACAGAGAATAATAGTACTGAGTAGTATTGACTTAACTTAATAGTGTTGAGTAATTGCTACAACGATTTCGAAATTCCTTCCTTTTGAACTATACATTTGAGCAACTCTCTCTGAAAATGTCCAAAGGAATTATTAGTATAATAGTAATACACAATATGGCTATTTAAAACAATAACTTCACTATTAGAATGGGGTTGCCAAATTTGTTGAAAGGTAAAAGATACTCGAGGGGGGATGATAATGATAGAGGGAGTGAGAGAGAGGGAGAGTGAGACTTAGCTAGTAGAGGCAATAATAATAAAAGAGTGAAAGTTGTGTCTGCCTGATTATAGGAGTCTGAGAGAATACTAACATACGCGCATGTACAGAAAACTGTGGGTGCGCATGGTAGCAAGAAAAAACCGAAGGTGAGTGAGAGAGGGAGAGTGAGTAGTGGTAGTCGGATGTGATGGAACAAAGGGAAAAAGTATGTATTGGTAGGCCTCTCACTCTCTATTAGGGTGAGAAAGGGGACCATTTACACACTTACAATGCTTTTCCCCCTTCAGAAAGATACCATTCCCATTTTCTCATACGTGTTCTCTTCCCTAATTACTCTCTCACTCATACGTCTAATCCCAATTTTAAACCAATAGAAAACTCATATCAAGAACATACATAAATCGTCTATATACATTCAAGAACATACTTGATCTTTGCACAAAACCAAAAAATTTCATTACTAACTTTACTAATGTATTATAGAACCAAAAACACATAGTTATAGTTACATGTGATGTTAATATATTATCTTTCGCATTTTCATTAGTTTTTTGCGAAAATATTCATTTTCTATGTTTTACCTTAGTAATATACTGTTTTAAGATATAAAGCTTGGAATATAAAAACCTAATTAAGGAACCTAACTGTTAATCATTTTATGGTATTATAATTGTGTTTATCCTTGTGGCTTTAGTGGAAATTTTAACTCAAATTGGAGAAAAACCTTCTAAAATGTTTTGAGTGGATCAAAAAGTTTTATATAAATGGAGCTTTATTTTTTTCTCTGGTTCTTCTATCATTGTTCGAAGTGACGATTAACAATTTTAAATAAGTTATTAATTTTCTGTTACAAAAAAAAAACAATTTTAAATAAGTTTTTTCTGAAATATCAAACTACAAAATTAATATAAAGAGATATAAAAACACAAATATTTTCAGCCACTAAAGTACAACTCACTTTTTGGCGATTTTTTTGGCTTCTAAACTGAAAGCATCTAATATCAATATTCGATTTTGTAACTTAAGATTATAATTGGATTGAAATGAAATATTGAGATCCCAATGTGATATGATTTTTGACGCACAAACAAATAAATAGATAAATAAATAAATAAATATTGGTGTAAGTAATGTAATGGCAACAAACAACGAACTTATGGAATTACAACTTTTTACCTCCACGCGCCACTGTCAGAGTTTTGTTTTTCCCCCACTTGTGTGAAAAAAGGGAAAAACGTCTGTGTCTCAGTCGGTAAACTTTTTTTTTCCTCTTTTATTTATTTATTTTATTTTATTTTATATAAAAAACAATAATTTTGCCGTCTCTGTGGTCTAATCGTGTACGTTCGTCGCCTGGTTTTAAAAGCCTCTCTCACTTTGGTCTTTTCGTTTTTCTCTCTTCCATTTTTTTCTCCAACTAGAAAAAACACAAAAAAAAAAAAAAAAGTGAAAGAAACCAAGCAAATCTCTGTGTGTGTGTGTGTGTGTGATGGAAGTTGCTTTAGAGTTTGGGATTGTCTTCCTTTTCAATATTATTTGGTGAGCACTTCATTTTTTTTTAATAATTATTTTACTCTTTACATAATTCAACTCTCTTATCTTCTTCTTAACAGGGGTATGCTAATAGTGTGTTTTGGGGTCAGCATTAATTTCCCCTGTTTCGTTTCCAGACGATTACTTTTGTATAGTTATGAACTGATCATTCCCTAGTTTTTGCTTATAACCCTTTCTCAAAGTTTTGTCATTTTCATTTTCTTGGAGATTCTTGGTTTCGTTCAGAGTTTTAGACTTTCTGATCCCAAAATTGGAGTTTCTAAGTTTAGAAAGTTAGTGTCAGATCTTGTAGATGTGTGCTTTTGGTCTTGTAAGAGGTTAAAAATTTGTGGTAATTTATTTATGAAAAATAATGGTTGGTTTTGAAATTGGAGCAGATGAAGAAGGATGGTGAGATGGGAAGAAGTGATGTCAGGAGGAGTAGGAGATGAAAGAGAGGCAACGTTGGAGTGGTGAAGAAGATGCATTGTTACGTGCTTATGTTAGACAGTTTGGTCCGAGAGAATGGCATCTTGTGTCTGAGCGTATGAACAGACCTTTGAACCGTGACGCCAAGTCTTGTTTGGAGCGATGGAAGAATTATCTTAAGCCAGGGATCAAGAAAGGTTCTTTGACTGAGGAAGAGCAGAGGCTTGTCATCCGTCTTCAGGAGAAACACGGCAACAAGTGGAAGAAGATTGCTTCGGAGGTTCCCGGGAGGACTGCCAAGCGTTTAGGCAAGTGGTGGGAAGTCTTCAAGGAGAAGCAACAGAGAGAAGAGAAAGAGAGTAACAAGAGAGTTGAGCCTATTGACGAGAGCAAGTACGATCGGATTCTTGAGAGTTTCGCTGAGAAGCTTGTCAAAGAGCGTTCTAACGTTGTCCCTGCTGCTGCTGCCGCCGCTGCCACTGTGGTGATGGCTAATTCTAATGGAGGGTTTCTACATTCTGATCAGCAAGTTCAGCCTCCTAACCCGGTGATCCCTCCTTGGTTAGCTAATCCTAACAATGGGAACAATGTTGTCGTAAGACCTCCATCCGTGACTTTAACTTTATCTCCTTCCACCCTGGCTGCAGCCGCACCTCAACCGCCAATCCCGTGGCTGCAGCAGCAGCAGCCCGAGAGAGCAGAGAGCGGTCCAGGGGGACTTGTGTTAGGGAGTATGATGCCGTCTTGTAGCGGGAGTAGCGAGGGTGTGTTCTTGTCAGAGCTTGTGGAATGTTGTAGAGAGTTGGAGGAAGGGCATAGAGCTTGGGCGGACCATAAGAAGGAGGCCGCATGGAGGCTAAGGCGGCTGGAGCTGCAGCTTGAGTCAGAGAAGACGTGTAGACAAAGGGAGAAGATGGAGGAGATTGAGGCTAAGATGAAAGCTCTGAGGGAAGAGCAGAAGAGCGCAATGGAGAAGATCGAAGGAGAGTACAGAGAACAGCTCGTTGGTTTGAGGAGAGACGCTGAGGCCAAAGACCAGAAACTGGCAGATCAATGGACCTCTAAACATATTAGACTCACCAAATTTCTTGAACAGAACATGGGTTGCAGATTAGACCGCCCTTAAACTGCTTCCTAAGCTCTTTGTTGTCATGTAATGTAAGCTTTTTGTTTTGGTTTTCTTTTTTTTCTTTCTTTGATCATTTGGTGTCTCCAGTGTTTAGTCAGACTTCTGGGTTCTTTAACTCAGCTTTGTATTTGTTTCTTGGCTTCTCTCATCTTACCTTTGTTCCACTTTACCACTTCTGTTTTATGTATGGCTTTGTTTTCTCAAGCTTGGTGTTGAACTTAGTCAGCTGCAACACTTTTCCATCGTTTATAAATAAATTTGATACTAGTATATAAGTTTTACATATGTATATTAAACTAGGTTACGTAGAACGGTAGAAGATTGGAAACAAATTGTTACATAATTATAACGAAAGAGGAAGAGGTGTGTACTTATTCACCCAAAAACACAGTTGCATTAGACTTTAACCATACTACAAACAGATTACCATAAATCCTTGAAAATGTATTTGGCATGAATTCCAAAACATAAAAGAACAAAAACAAAGAGCAGAATAATGGAAGATTAATAACCCAGCTTGAGGAATGGTCGGATAAACCCCGGCGGTGCTTCGTCTCTGAAAAATGATCAACTTCGAACTCAGAAGCATTTCCTGTGAACAATTGATGGACCTGACTCGTCGTACTCTGCCTTTGCGATCCACATCTGCACAAGTTAAAACATCGTTTGAGTTAGTATAACAAGAGAGATGAGAATTAAAATTTAGGCAGTTTTAGATGAAGGAATGATGGGACTGTGTGTACCTGCTGGAAGGTACTGAGGGAGGCCAAGATGGAGCCTCCAATCCAGACAGAGTACTTCCTCTCCGGAGGGGCAACAACTTTGATCTTCATGCTGCTTGGAGCCAAAGCAGTGATCTCTTTGCTCATTCTGTCGGCGATTCCCGGGAACATTGTAGTTCCACCACTGAGCACAATGTTGCCGTACAAGTCCTTTCTGATGTCGACATCACACTTCATTATGGAGTTATAGGTGGTTTCATGGATACCAGCATTCTCCATACCAATCATAGATGGCTGGTAAAGAACCTCAGGGCAACGGAATCGCTCAGATCCAATGGTGATCACTTGCCCATCAGGTAGCTCATAGTTCTTCTCAACAGCTGAGCTTGTTTTGGCTGTCTCGAGCTCCTGCTCGTAGTCAAGAGCAATGTAGCAAAGCTTCTCCTTAATGTCTCTGACAATTTCACGCTCTGCTGTGGTGGTGAAAGAGTAACCACGCTCGGTTAGGATCTTCATCAGCGCATCAGTGAGGTCACGACCAGCAAGATCAAGACGAAGGATCGCATGTGGAAGGGCATAACCCTCATAGATAGGAACAGTGTGGCTCACACCATCTCCAGAGTCGAGCACAATACCTACACATCCATAATTTGAAAGGCTTTACACTTTGAAGGGCAAAATGTACAAAGAATCAAGCTTTATACCATAAGAACACAAGAGGGATTCACTCACCGGTTGTACGACCACTAGCGTAAAGAGAAAGAACAGCCTGAATAGCCACATACATAGCCGGGGCATTAAAAGTCTCAAACATGATCTGAGTCATCTTCTCACGATTAGCTTTGGGGTTAAGCGGGGCCTCAGTGAGTAGGATTGGATGCTCCTCAGGAGCAACACGTAGCTCATTGTAGAAAGTGTGATGCCAAATCTTCTCCATGTCATCCCAATTGTTAACAATGCCATGCTCAATCGGGTACTTGAGAGTTAGAATACCACGTTTCGACTGAGCCTCATCGCCAACGTAAGCATCCTTTTGCCCCATCCCAACCATCACTCCGGTGTGACGAGGACGACCCACAATACTAGGAAACACAGCTCGAGGCGCATCATCCCCAGCAAAACCAGCCTACTCAATACAAAAGCAACATAACCTTAAAACAATAACCAAAGGCTACATTTTCCAAACAAGGATCATCAACAAGGTGAAAAAAAACAGAGAGAAAGAATAAATGACACACCTTAACCATTCCAGTTCCATTGTCGCAAACAAGAGGTTGAATGTCTTCACCATCAGCCATTTCTTCTACCTTTCTACATACCAAAACACATAAGATTTTTTTAAAGATACAAATTTTTAATCACCAATTCAGATATGAGGAAACAACAATACAAAGGCCAATCCTTTTTCCAACGACAAATCAATAGAAAAAAAGAAAAATCAAACCTTAAATGAAGAAGAACAACAAGGATATTATAGATCCTTCCCCAGAATCAAGTTACAATATTATAAAATTCAACCAGAAAATAATTGTTTAAAAAAAAAAAAAAACATTTGAAAACATTAGTCGCGGTTGAGAGAATTGTTCGATTAAACAAATAACACAAAAATGGTGAGATGAACATACGCATGATTAAAATCGATTAAGCACAAGGATGATAGTAATAAGACCCAGATCCAATCAAACAACAACGACGATATGTATGCAAAATCGATGATTTGGTATATTAAAAAACAAAATTAACATAATTCTTGGGAGTTTTCGAAAATCAGAGTAAAGGGTCTCAAAAATTACCTGAAAAATTACGAAAAAAAGAAAACTTGGAATCGGCTGGAGAATGGAAGGGAAGAAGAAGAAACAGAAAGAAAAAAAAGGCAAAGGAAGGAAGGAGAAGAGGAGGAAGGAACGAATGGAGAAGAGTTAAAAAAAAACTAAAAACGGGTCCAAAGGCTTCGACTTCGGCTCACCTTGTTTTCCGGTTCTAAATACTTCATTTCAAATCCAATCCCCCAAAACTAAATATATTTTCTGAAATGACTTTTTTACCCCTTTAGCTTTTCCAAAGTTTAACACTTATCAAATAACCCAAAACACACACAGCTTTTACCACATTTTACTCTCACAAACCAGTAAATATTTATTACATAAAGTATATTTTCATATTTAGTAACTCATATGATTAAGTTTTTGATAAGATTTTGACAAATGTAACAAATTATAAATTTTGAAATAAAACTTTCAAATTTAGATTTTGACAGGTGTAAGTGAAAAATTTTAAATCTAAAATATATACTTAGATTCAAAGGAAATGCAAAGAATTATCTCTTTTCTTTTAAATGAATTTAAATAAATTATGCAATCAATTCCTAATCTTAGAAAGATCATGGAAAAATTCAATTTATTTTAATATACAATTAACTAAAATTTCTGAAAGTAAAAGAATTAATTTTTAAATAGAATAAAAAATGGAAATTAATATAGTAAAATACTAAATTAATAATAATTCAATTACTATTTGGTAAATATATACCAAAAAATGAAATAACACCCACAATAAAGAATTTATTAAATTATTTTACAATACAAAACTTTATGATTTGAAATTAGTAAATAACATAACTGTGAATCATGATATATATATATATATGTCACTCACTGAATCATATTTTAACACATGTAAACCTTGAAATTTTTTTTTTTGGATAAATTTTGTATGTGTTAATGGGTCGAGAAAATTTGACATGTATAAAAATAAATATTTGCAAACATAGAACAAAAATTATTTAAAAAATAAAAAATAAAAAAACCAAAAAAAAATATAAGAAAATTAAAGAATCAAAATATGTAATTAGTGTTTTTTTAAGTTTTCTATTGGGGATGTTTTGATAGCTTATTCAAATGTTATTTTATATCTAGCATATCAGGATAATTAACACAAATTTATTGTTATAGTTTAGCCCTTATTGGTAAAAATGATGAATAGGAATAGCAGTAACTCCTATGTTTCGGGTGAAATTTTTTCATGGGCCTAGTAACCCAAAGTAGACATTACTTCCTAATGGGCCTATCATATATGTTTAGTCCATTGAACTCAATATTATATATATATATATATATTTGCTTTTAAATTTTTGTATGTTTTGTAAACTATTGCAACTTTTGTTTGTGAATTGTGACGAATACGTGATAACAACAACATTTGCAACTATGTTAATAACGCCCAGCATATAATTTGGCGTATAAGCATTTTTACTTCCACTAAGAACTCTAAATTCTCCAACATGCTCACATTGAATCAATTTGGTAATGGAACTATCAATAATGAACATTTTGTTTTTGGATTTAGACCTGTAATTAATTTAACATTGCTGATAAGAGAAGAGTTTATAAGGTTTATACAATTATTATGCCTTTGGTGTGGAGTAGCGAGGCCTTTAAGCTGTAACTAAACGAGACATTCCAACACAGAAGAATAAGAAAGTTAAAGAGAATTTTCAGCTTTCACAAATGAAGAGAAGTACTCTTCCATCAATACTTCTTTAGAGATCGATGGTTCCAACTTCCAAGCGTACGTGTACCTAACGTCATTTTCACCATCGCCAACAATTAGTTTCAAAGGTCATCACTGACACTTTTTAATGTTCCATGCTCGTCATATACATAACCTATGCTTTCGTAATTTGGTACCAGTAAGTACATGCGATTTTTATGTTTTTAAAGTGAAAATAAATATCATGAAATTCAACAATAATGTCTATTTTAAAAGAAAAATAATAGAAAAACAAAAACAAATAGAGAAGAAAACTTTCTTACATTCAGCTATATATCGTTCTTCTCAATTTTCACTCTTCGACATTCCAATTTTGTATTGTATTTCAGTATTTTGTAGCCTAGTAGTTTTGTTACTACTAGCTACAATACTTAGTATGAGTTTTTTTATTTATTTTATATACATACATGATATGACTGCGTGTATCTATAGTATATACTGTGTTAATATGGTTTTTAATTCTTATCCAAATGTTTTAGAAAAAAAAATCATAAAAATATATTATTCCTATTTGAATTTTCTTATGTGTATAAGAAAGTAATTAGATATATATCTAAACAGGACGCATATCTCATAGAAGTAATAAATTCTCTAAAACAAGTTGGGTCTCCTTATAAATTATACTCACAAGTTATTAGCAATATTAATAAGAAGAGTAATTAGGTGGTAATTAACAAATACTATGCCAAAAAATTAATAAAGTCTTAACGGCAACAAATATTTTTATTCAGGAGGAAGCAGAAAAAGCGCACATGGAGTTTGGAAACGTAAAGGCAGACGTCAATTTTGGTGCTTAACTTGCGAGAAGCAGAAAGGCATCGAGCCATCATTTTTTTACTTTATTCGACGATATATATTATGATTATAATTACGATGATAAATGTATATATAATACGATAATAACGGTAAGGTCTTTCCCTACCTTCTGAATGAATCAGAGGGTTTTGGTTACGTTATGTATGCCTTTAGACTCTCTCTCCCTCCTTCTTACCAGTTACCACAACCAACAATAATACCACAATAAACTCGCTCCAATCTTTACGACTCTCTAAATAAACAAACCTGACAAAAGATAAAAAACAAATAAAAGCTGACAATTTTCTTGATTTATATTCTTTACCACGTTGGATCTATCTACATCCATCAATCATTATTTCTTCTTCTTCTCATTCTTCTCATTCTCTCTTCTCTCTATCTCTTCTCTCTCTCTTCTCTCTAGCTAGAACAAGAGTTGTGCATTTCTTGATGAGTATATCGGAGACGATCTTGATGAGAGAGGAAGAGGTAACGTTAGGTGGTGTTACGGAGACGAGAGAAGATCACGAACGTTCGGACAAGAAATCTGTGTTGGACATTTGTCGGAAAAGGAAGAGATCATCCGATGATGAAGGAGAAGAAGTTGTGGAGGAAGATAATGACGGATTCAAAACACCGACCCGTCCGGAGAATAGAATCCCTAAGGTCAGAGAATGTCCACCGGCGCCGAGGAAACGGGAGTATTCTTATTCGTCGGAGATTATTAGAGCTAAAGCGATGTATTGCCGGAGACGGTTGAGTTTCTTGCCGGAAGATGACGTGTCCTCGTTTATAACGGATTTGCAGTGGAGGACGACCACTATGACGATCAAGAAATAAAGATTAAAGACGAGACAAATAAATATATTTTTAACCTTTTTAGGTTTTTTTTTGTTTTTTTTTATTTTCTATGAACCATATTTTTAGGTCACGTTTGGAAAATATCTGAATTTTTTTCTCTTTCTTTCACAAATAGACAAAACAAAACAAAAATACTCGATTAGATTAATGGTGTTTTGTTATAAAGAGTTTCGGATCATATAGAGATTTTTTCGTTTCAAGATGATGATTGATTATTTGTCCATTGTTAGTTTTTTCTTCTTTTTTAATATGGATGATTCTCTTATGTGTTTTATATTATTTTTTAACTGTGGTTAGTAAAAGGATACACAATTAGCTATGTTGACGAAACTGAAATATTGTTTCTTCATGATCTTTTATATAAAACTCCAATATTACTAGTATGACACGAGGGTTCAACATTAGTTAAGTGTAATATTCAATACGTATCAGTCAACCAGCAAGCTTGTGAAATGGGTAAGCTACATTGTACAGAGAATTGTTGACAATTGTATAATGTACACTTGTTTACTAATATTCATTCACTCACAAACGAAGGAAGATGACATCGTAAAGTTAAAGAGTACGCAAAAGAGAGTGAGAGAGAGAGAGAAGAAAAGTGAAAAAAAGGGAGAGAAACATGAAGAAGAAGACAGGACAGGACAAGAAAAGAGAGATTGGGATACATATATAGAATTTTTGTAAACGCTTTTAGGGGTCGAGACCTTATTTAAGTTCATTCGACTTGTAAAGTTGGCAACATCCAATGCTAATTTACTAGAAAAAGGCTACAAGATATAACTCCTCCTTAAGCTTCTTCCTTTTTCTTATGGATCTTCAAAATCCTCTTTTCTTTTCTCAATATTTTTATTTCTTTCTTTTGTTGCCGTTATGTTCGTTTCGTCTGTGTTACTCTCTTTATTTCTTTTTATTATGTGGCTTTCGGTTTTGTTGACCTGTCTCTTAATTTGTTAATTAATTGACCATTAATTATTATAATTTGATTGCAGCTTCAATGAAACGTTATGTGGTATCTCACTCAACAACAACGAAAAATAATAGTACGGGAAAGATTCATACCAAAAAGAGAGAGTACGTATAATATGGTAAGGAGATTGTAATTAAAGTTCACACGAAAATATAAACTAGAATATTCATTCGAAATATATTGTTTTCTTACAACAGTCTTCCATCAAATTTTTTATCATGAGATCATCTGAAACAATAGATTTTGTAATCGGCTCTTTTTATACAATATAACAATAGCTACTATATATATATATTGAACGGAAATGGAACCATCTGATTCTCAGAGTCTAGCCATCAACCATTCTTGCTTCACTACTATGCTTTAAGTTTATACTTAGTGATTTTTCTTTGTAATCATAAAAATAGTCCATATTATTGTATGTAGGATTATTCACTGAAAGCTTAGGTAAGAAAAAGATTTGATGAGGTCTTTGATGGTTTTAGAGAAGATATGACAAATGCATTAAGCTCAGTAGCTCACTAAAATAAACCAAACGATTATATAATGATCCCTAACTTATATTGAATTTGTTATAAAAGTAATGACAAGGGGACGATATATATATCCATGGTGCTTGATTTTAGCTAGAGAAGCATTTTCAAATGTAAAGCTGGCTTATATGGTACTTCAGATTTTTATTTGTTGTCTGAAAACCTATGTCTGCTGACACCCAAACTCATCCAATTAATGCATGGTCAAATAATGCATGATATATATATATTCGGATCGGAAGGAAACAAACAAAGTTGCAAGGTTTATGAAACAACAAATAGATTAAATAAATCATTGTGAAAAGTGTGAAAACTGAATATAACACTGGACCAATGACCTAATTTCCATATTGATGATGATCATCCATGATTATTCCCACAAAAGAAATGGTTGGTAAATATTTAGGATTACGATTATGAATCTTAACTCAGTCATCTTCCTACGTAGCTTGAGACATCTTCTTACGGAGGTTAGCTTGAGGCATCTTCTCACGGTTAGCTACCTTTCGGGTTAAGCGGTTCCACATATATAAAATTATATATGTGGAGTTCGTAAGTTGTGACATGCGAGATATCCATATTTCTTACTTTTACTGTTCTTAGTTTACATACGTTAGTGTATATAAATCCCCTAATAAGAGTTTAAGCTAAAAAACTAAGAAAAATTAAGAAAAACAGAAAAATGTCTCTGGTACTTAGACCATCCACAATGGGAGAGACCCATTGTGGGTTCTTTACAATATTTATATTATAAATTTTGAAACTTTTGAGATGAAGAGTTTGTGATGGGGTTTTTAAATTTATTGTGCTACAATGGTAAGAACTTTTAGGTTCTTTAAATTTTATTTTAAATTTTATTATTTTATTATTTCTTAAACTTTTTTCTAAAACTTTTCTCCCAATTTCACAAAACACAAACAATCATCACACAGATTATAAAACTCTTCTCTATGAACTCCTTCCAGTGATGAATGATGATCAAATAATGTGAAGATGTCAACAACTGCAAAAAGTAGCAGTCACCATTCTACAAGAGAGTTCGGTAGTTTATTCCACATGGACAGTTGATCTCAACCCAGTGTCTCAACCACAAACGCTTCACCCACTTTATCCACCTTCACACCTTTACAGTCTTTCTGTTGCTCCTCTTGTACTACCTCATCTTGTGCCTGCAGCAGCGCAATAAAACAACCATTGAACTTCTTGAATTGATTGTGTCTTAAACTTACACATAAAGACAATACAAAGTTCAAAATACTATAAGACAATACCTTAATCGTAAACTAACACATAAAGACAATAAAAAGTCTCCTTAAACATTAGAACATACATAAGCCGAAATAAAATACAAAGAACAAACACAAGCAACATACAAACAGAAACATGTTTCTAAACATCCAACAAAAACATGTTTCTAAACATCCAACAAAAACATGTTTGATATCTCTATGCATGATCCCGGAACAAGAAGGCCCATTCAACACTATATCATTCAACACATTCACAACAGACACATTCAACACTATCATCACGGATTCTGAAACAGTTTCAGTGCCCATACTCAGTGGAAGAAGACAAGGGACTCACCAACTTCAGACCAAAAAACAAACGAAAAAACATTTTGACATATATATTGTAGGGGGTTACAAAGACCCACTAACAAGGGACTGTATCGTGATTAGATGAACACAAAATTAGATATAAATACATGTTTGAAGAATCTAGTGCAGTTGGTATACCAAATCCCTAATTCAGAACGAGACACCCTAATTTGTGCTATAACTGGGTAGTAATGCAAATTGAGCTTAATCAAATCAAATTTCAGAGAATTAAAGAATCTAAGGTCGGATTGAAGAAGCTACCTTCTCCACCGAATTCTCCTTTGGCGCTTTGGTGAAGATCCGATTAATTCCCCTTTCCTCCACAGAATTGACGCCACTTCTTCCTTTCTAGGAGCAGGAAGCCCAGGAGGCGGTTTGGTGAAGAGCCGAAGAGGCCAATACGAGAGCTACAAAAACTGGCGTTCATCTTCCCGACGAAATCGCTTCGACCTCGGCCGCTAGTACCATCGATCGAAAGAGACAGAGAAAAGAGAAGAGAGAAGAGAGAAGAGAGAAATGAAACGAAAAAGTTTTTGTCGTTTGGGTTTTTTTTTCCTTAAATATTTTATACATTAGCCACTCACAAACGGCCACGTCACCGTCTCTTCAGCCAACTCAAGCCTCTCAATAGAGAGACGGTTCTCTCTAATTTACCCAATTTATGATTTAATTTTAATGTCAAAAACCTAAAGAGCTGGTGTTAAATACCCTCGTTGTGGTTGCTCTTAAACTGTCACCGTGAAAGAGGGTCTTGTCTGATTTCGTCGAGGTGTATATAAAAGACATCTTTTAGTTTTTTTATAACTTTTCTTATCTTAAAATTTTACCAAAAGCCTACCAATAATGGTGGTCTAAAACAAGTTTTTAGCAATAAAATTAGGTGGTAATAATTGATAAATACGAGTTAGAGACGAAAAATGAAAGTCATAACGGCAGATACTGTAACTGTATATACGTATTAATACTGACGCTTATACATAACTGTGCGATACTACCAAAAAAAAAAATACATAACCGTGCCAACAACGTAACATTGATTGTTGGGCCTGTGTCAAATATAAATAGGTATAAGTTTGAATTGGCTCATTTTATTAAGCCCATATTATAGCAAAACAGGCCCAATTAGTAGAAAACTTAGGGTTTCCTTTTTGTCGCCGCATATATAAAATTCCTTTCTTTTCTGGCCAAAGTTTCGTTGTTTTGCAGCGGCTGCTTCTCCTCCATTGCAGGTACGGGATTCTGATGCAAACTCTCTCTTCTTCGTTTTCATTGTTTAAGATTTTTAAAATTGATTTCTGAATCTAGACTCTGTGAACCATTGAGTTTATTGCAGGTAAAGATGACAACTCCAGCAGTGAAGACCGGTTTGTTCGTTGGATTGAACAAAGGACATGTCGTCACTAGACGTGAGCTAGCTCCTCTTCCTAATTCTCGTAAAGGGGTATCATTCTAACTTCCCTCTGATTACAAAGTTGATTGCTTTCTAATATAGGGCTTTGTGGGTTAGCTCCATTTTTTGGATTTACCGAGATGAGCTTAGAAATGCGTCACTATATTGTTTAGTGTTGATTTGATTCTTTAGTATGTCATTTTACTGGAACTGTTTGAGTCTTGAGCTGAGAAATGGTGATGTTTTGAGCATTGAGTACACTGTTAGATAGTCTTTGATTCTCTAAGTTCACGAAAGTTTCATTTTGATTTCTTTGGGATTCATTTCTCAAGAGTTCTGTTTCGACATTTTTTGTTTTTTTATAGAAAACGAGCAAGAGGACATTGTTCATCAGATCTCTGATCAGGGAAGTAGCTGGGTTTGCTCCTTATGAGAAGAGAATCACTGAGCTTCTTAAGGTTGGCAAGGACAAGCGTGCTCTTAAGGTTGCTAAGAGGAAGTTGGGTACCCACAAGAGAGCCAAGAGGAAGAGAGAGGAGATGTCTGGTGTTCTCCGTAAGATGAGGTATAATAATAACTTGAGTTTTATTTCCATTCCTCACTCATTCTCAATATAGTTTATCAATTTGCATACATATTCTTTTGGATTAAGGAGACTGTTGCATCCTTTTCATATCTAGCAATTGATTTTTAGCTGACTTGTTTGTTTTTGTCTGCTATTCGCAGGTCTGGTGGTGGTGGTGTTACTGAGAAGAAGAAGTAAACATCTTAGTCTTGTCTGTTATGGGATATTTGTTTCTTTTGGAACTCAAGTTTTGGCTTCTGTATGCCCAAAAAGCGTTTATGTGTTGTGCTTTGTTAGGGATGTGGATTAATCTTGTTTCACTCTGTTCCGTTTTTATGATGAAGCTTATTAAACTTACTATTACGTTTATGCAAATGCTTTGATTTGCTCTGTTCGATTAGGTGATACCCATTACAAAAGCAATCTCATTCGGGCCTGTAATGAATTCGTCAGAACAAGTGAGCAAATAACACTTGATTTAGTACAATACCTTATTCAGAGATGAGCCATACTCGTTCCAACATTACTCGATCCTAGATTTAGCAATTTTCCTGTTTGTTGTGTATGATAATCTAGAATTGAGAAATGTTGGACATCCACCATTATTTCAATAATCGTTGTAAGCTTTTTATGTAATCGTAAGGAGTTTTGAGATTTACTTCGAGTTGTCGATGTTGTTAAGAACTCCCATAAAGTGATTGTAAATTTCTGATAACATCTCTAAAGGTCCATCTATTTATCAGCTTACAAGTTGCAACAACGTAAAGAAACATGGGTTTTGTAAAATTTGTTATCGGATGTTTTTACTGCATTGCTGGAATATATAAACTCGGATTTACATGATGTCAAACAATAAATATAAGTTTCTCTGTTTTAGGATTTTCTGATTGCCTGAAATATAATATGATAGTTATATAAAAGAACAGAATGAATTATTGTACTGCATTATGCATGCACGGTTGTATATGAGTATAGATGTACGCTTGTGTACTTTTTCATAAAGTGTATGGCTAATAAGGAATCTCTGGTCTGAAAATGAAGAACGTGTGTGGTTGATGACAACGTCAGGAAGAAACGTCACAAGGCAATACTACTAAGAGATTATAATCCCTTCACCACTTTAGCCACATGTATGATCCTTATATGCACATCGATCAATTTTCCAACACCTAAAAGATGATAGAGACTCTAGATCCTTTATGTATATATGCACATATCTTCTGTATTTTATTTTCGATTATATGTGAGGCAACTTGGATTGACGCGAAACTTTTAGAGAATTGATGATGCTTTCAAAGTAAAACCAAAAATAATATGATTACAATTTGTTTAAATGTGAATAATTTATAACTAATAACTGATTAGTTCATATGTTCAACACCGGTGGTGGAGAATGAAATCAATGAATTCAATTTAAAATCTTTTGGTAAAAAAAAAAAAAGAAGAAGAACTTTTTGTTGTTCAAAGGTTGATTAAAAGGTCTATAATTTTTTCTGTTACGTACAAAATGAAAAGTCCATGTTACAGTTTCAATCATAAAATATCTATGAGAAACTTGTGGCATTTGCATATTACATATGTTATTGTCCAAGCCGCCATGATTTGCTCTTATCTACAAAACACGAAATATTAGTAACTCCACTACAACAACATTAAAGCAAGCGCGGCAAAAAACAAGATTTTGGACTTTTTTTACTTGCAAATGCCGAATGGGTTATTTGTTTTGTTTTCTTTTTGTTGTGTTTATTTAAATTATATGTATATCAGTGGCTACTGGCTAGTGTGTTGTCTAGACCAACAGATACGCCTGATGGCCCAAATCGATGTGACACTGTAGTGAACCATTTAGTTATGCGGTCAAATAATGGCCAAAATCGTCGAACATATGGCCAAAAATTTTGTACCACATATTATTACCCTAGCTAGTATCGAACACGGTAAGACCCTAGGGGACCTAGTGTAAGTCTTAAGATTATAAATAACAGTTAAGCGAGAGCGTGATTATAACATATGTACGTTAATTGACTAGCAAGAAATTTTTACCACATATGCTTATAAAATTTGTACCTATACCATCTAAAAATTTCGACAAATATGCATAAAAAAGTGTTTGTATACATGGAAAAAAATACAAATGAAATTATTTATGGGAAAAATGTTATTTAAATCCCGAACTTACAAATTTGGCTATTTTAATCTTGGACTTCCACGGTGGCCATTAAAATCATAGACTTCTCGTTGACGTTAATTTTAATTACTATTTTATGTTGACTGAGCCAGATTGAGCATTTTGTCAAATCAAATTCTCTAACAGATGAGTTAACAGCCGTTTAGGATCGTTAATCGATCTCTGTTAAGTCGAAAAATGAGAATCACAAAGACAAGCGACATCGATTTGAGGATTTAGGCATTTCGTTTAAGGCAGCACAACGTCACTTGTCCTTGTGATTCTCATTTTCGATCGATTAACGATCCTAAACGGTTGTTAACTCCTCTATTAGAGAATTTTATTTGACGACAAGTTCAATCTGGCTCAGTCAACAGAAGATGGTAAACTAAAAATAACATCAACGAGAAGTTTATGATTTTAATGGCCACCGTTGAAATCGAGGATTAAAATAGCCAAAATTTGTAAATTCAGGATTTAAATAACATTTTTCTCAATTATTTATACTCTTTATTTGTAGTCCCAGGGAAGTAAGTGAAAAACACATGCTGTAAAAGTGAAAGCTGCAGTAGAAGTAAGTAGTACACAAATATGCTGGTCGTCGTCTATATATGCCTAGACCTTCGCATGAATCCATACATGGATGTGCCTACATATTGTAGTATATAGTTATACACAGAAATACATACATATGATTAGGAGACAAGATTCTAACTTGGACTTCTGAGCCTACAGAAGCCTATCTATCTTGATTTATGCCTAGCTCATTGATCACTTGACACGTCATATCATTAATATTGACGAGTGATAAAATAAACATGTCTAGGTTAGTATAAATTCAATATAATAGAACTAAATTTCAAGAAAAAAAAAACTGATTTTAAGATTTTCAAAGGCCGGTAAAATATATCAAGGTACATTTACCAAAACAGTAGCGCCAAATAAAACTACATAGTACATATCCCTCAATGTGTTTTATCCACTTACATGTAAATTAAGTACGAACCTAAGTTCGAGTGATATGATGAAATTCGAGTAACCAGTGTATCAATATTTCTGATCACTTCAAAGTTCAAACGGATAGTTAAACTTTGAAATGTAAATTATGATATGAATACGATATTTGAGTTGTATATTACTAAATTGAATTAGGTGAAATTAACATATTAATTAAAATATATATATACATCTAAGTTATTGGGAGATCGATCGGGCAGGTTTTTATTATGTAGCGTAGCTTTTATAGGTTTGAATGTGCTTTATTCCATATTGATGAGCAGCCTTGGTACTTGCAAAAGCAGAACACAATCATCTAATTTAGATTCCTTTCTTTCACTGTGAACCAATCCATCCTTTTTTAAGGACCCAAAAATATTATGTGTATATAATATTCACTTTATGTCTATTCGTCTTGAATTTATCCTTTTCGAGAGGGATGACCGGATGATGAAGGACGTTCCGCAAAGGACTATAACATCAATAGTTAAAATATTATGTACGTGTTTCACTCTTTTTTTGTTTTTCAATTTTGAACTTTGTAGTAATCCATCAACTTCCAAAAGAATCCAAACTCTTTTACTCAATTACCATTATTCTGACGTAGAAATTGATGATAGGCAGGGGCAAAAAATGTAACCATGTACGTAAGTGGAACACTGGAACAAACTCTAATAATAATGACCAAATCAGTAGAGAGACTTGAGGAATAATGAGTTCTTCTTCTAAGAGAGTGAAAAAAATAAATGACGTTGCCCACAATAAACTGACAAAAAAGCAAATTTGTCGCCTAGTGAGTTGTGTACAATTGTACACGCGTTCCAAGGCGCGTCAAACTAACAAACTTAAGATTAAAAATTCTCGTCCCGACATTGATTCTCTGCTTCTGTCCTTCTTAATGTTTCGAAGTCACATGTAAGAAAAAAATTCCAGCCGGCCGTCATCTTACGATTAAATAAATTATCGTCTACGTATTTAAAATGAGATTGACAAAAATAGTAATTCACTACACTAACTGCTTTCAAACACGCTGTTAGAAGTTAGAAGATCTTCAAATCGACTTAAGTGTATCTTTAATTCTTTATTAACACAAAAAACTTATAGTATATGAAAAGCATACAACGTTTATCACACACACAAATAAAAGATTAATGTGTGTTTCACACAAACTACATCTCAATAATAGTATCATTTTGTTTGATATCAACCAAATTGTGCGCAAGAAACTGCTTTATATTGGACATAGGCACATTTAAAAAAAAAAGCTAGAATTACTAAATCTAAGATTCTTTGCTTTTAATTTGGTTTAGTCAATTCAACCCAACCCACAACGATTAGTTGCTCTTTTCGTCTCTATTCACATCTCTTTTTGTTACCCCATTATATTCAAAAAGCTTTAACCTCGAGATTTTTTATATTTATATAAAATCCTTGTAAATTATGCATTTTTGAGTAAAGTGTACCTTTGCATTATAGCCAAAAAAAAAATTGTTGAAACTGATTAGAAAATTTTGTATTAGAATTTGAAAGTAATCTTTAAAGATGTTATTCTTCTATAATGTTGTATTATTATTATAGAAACTACTACTGAAAAAGTACATACTTGATATTTAATTTTCTACGATCCAGCCATAAATCAGACAATTGATTTAGATTCTTCTATTTTTGGAATTGTGACTTCTATATTTACATGTTTAGCTAAAAAAAAAGAAAAAGAATTGTGACTTCCGCCCGAGGTAGAGATTAGAAGAACAAAATGGATACGAGACTATTTATGGTTTCATTCAAGCACACATAGATACATCTATGTTCCCTCTCCAACGATCCTTATGTTCTAGTCGTTACACATAACATAAGATGATAAGAGGAGCTGCATATATAAAATTTAAGAGTAATGGTGAGAACTTGCAGAATCAACTATATAGTTACCATTTCGAGATATGATTTATCTGGCGAGGTTTAGCACTCTATAATGACATAGAAGGTCGATACAAAATAATTCAAGCAGTTGGAAACTAGATAATAGAATCACATAAACTGATTGACTTCTTGATCCAAAAAAAAAAAAAAACTGATTTGACTTCTAAAGAGTGAAGATTTATGTTCTCTTTTGGTAGGTTCGGTTAAGACAACACAAATTTTACTAGTCACTACAAAGTTAAATAATTATTAACATCACACTAAGTAGGACAATATAATATTCACGGTGAAGACAAAAAATAATGAGAAATTAAATTAACTCGTCCAACACATCGGAATTTAAATTAAGATCGATAGATAGATCTATCTAATACATTAAGTTCATTTTGATGGTAGTAAAACTCGAAAGATAACAAGGAACAGTGACAAATAACAAAAGAACAGTCTCAAACACATCTAATAGCTTAAGCTACCTAGCTAGAGCCATAGATCGGTAACGCGGAAAGTCGTAAACAACATAACTAAACAAAAACTGAAAATAAGACAAAATTAACCAACTAACTAGTACGTAACTAGGTTTGTTTCCACCAAAGTATACCCCTCAAGTTTCCTTTTTTTTGGTGTGTGTGTGGTTGAACTCAACGAGAAGAGCCAAAAGCAGAAAGATCAGTCCAGGAAGAGCAATTACCATTGACATTAACCCATTTGTAAGGGTTATCTTCAACTTTAACCGAAGAAAACTGCGATGCCAAAGCAGAAGAGATCGATGCTGAAGTTATCCTCGGCGACTCAAAAGGGTAAAACCCATTTGAGGATGGATTAGGATTAGAAGAATCCTCCAAGTTTCCACCACCCAAACTCGGCTGATGATGATGAGACGTCGATCTCCACTCATCAACACAGCTCATAAGCGAGCCACCAGAAGTTCCCATGTGGATTGACCTCAAGTCTTGGCTCAATCCCCCATAGTTCAGCAAGCTCATGTTGTTGTCTGTTTTTGTATTATTTGTGAGATCTCCAAGATGCATATAAGTAGGATTCATTAGCCTCCCGGGAGACAAAATCTGGCTTAAGATACTCTCTTGGTTTCCTCCATAGTGGGAGGAGAGAATCGTGCTGATGGTCGATGCATTCCCGGAGGAGAAGCTGGTGTTGTTGCTAGTAGCGGTGCTGTTATTGTTACTGCTGCTTTTAGAACGCCTGTTTCTTCGGCAGCCACCGCCGACAGGGACGTTGCGGAGGGCACCGCCACGTGTCCAGTATCTCCGGCAGGTCTTGCAGAAGTGGCGTGGCTGAGTTAGGCTGTAGTTGTTGAAGTAGCAGAACTTGGTGTTGGTGGATTCGCATCTTGGACATTTCAGTGCCGCTTCGGGCAAGGCTACGTTTGCTTGTCTGGCTCTGTCCACCATGGATCCTGCTCGGATCGAGCCACCGCCTCCGCCCCCGCTCCCATTAGGCTGTGGCTGCTGTTGTTGCTGCAGCTGAGGTCGATGAACATGACCTCCGGGTGCCGAGGCTCCTTCACCATCTTGATTATAATTGTTCGGAGCCTAAAGTAACAAAATAAAAATAAAAAAGGATGAGGAATTATTAAAATTGAACAAGAATATTCAAGAACATGCTAAGCAAGAACAACTTTTTATGTCTTTTCCTTTTTCTTTTAGTTTAATTCTTCAATTAGATCATGCAAGTCTCAAAGCAAGACGAAATTTCTTATGAACCTCTTTTTTTTTTTGCTTTGAATTAAGATATATAAGCTAAGAAGTGTATATATGGAATAGTAAAGCACTTACTTGTTGCCAGTTGGATGAATCAAGATAAGCTTGGATGGAGGAGAAAACCATTGTTATTCTCTTTTGATTTTATTCTTCAAAGTTCTTAAAGTAAAGTTTTTTCTTTTCTTTTCTGTGGTGGGTGATGATGGATTAGAAATAGACTAGAGGAATCCGATCAAAGAGAAAACAAAGCCGAGAGAGAATGAGAATGAAGGGAGAGAGAAAGAGGAAGGTTGAGTGTGAGAATGAAGATGGCTTAAATTTAAAGTGGATGAACCTTTATATATATCTATGTCCATATATATGTATGTGTCATGTGTATCTATATATATATATATATTACAATAATTATGTATGGATATATAAGAATATAATTGTCATATATGTAATTATTAGGGTTTGTGTTCCATAACATATGGGGTGGGACTGACATGATTCTTTTTGTTTCTTGCTTTAGTTAGGGTTTAAATTTCTTATCACTACCTTCGTATGTGTACACGTATAATTTCTTAATTCATAAGGTTTTTATTTTTTGCCTTGTGATGGTCGTCTCGACGTCTCTTTGTTTCATAGATCCACACATGTAGACCGTGAGATATCAAAAACGCCTAACTTAGTAATATCCGTTTCATACTACTAAATGTTGTTGTCAAACTTTATTTTTATTTCAGAAAGATTTGTTTTAATGATGAAATACATATGTTTAAACAAAAATTTAATTTTCTGCCCAAAGGCAAAAACAAAAATTTAGTATTACATATCTATCTTTCAGATTATTAAATTAGAAAAGTAATCTATAGGTGTATCAATGAAGGGTTCAATAAAAAATTCAATTTACTATAAAAAAATTCAATTTACTATAAAAATCAAGTTTTATATGTATGGAACGCATGAATTACAATATAACTATCAGCTAGAGTTAATAAATAAGTTATTGAAATTATAAATATCTGTGAAAATATGATATATATAGTCTACTATACCATAGAAAATCAATTCATTAACAATTTAATAAACTTGGACTCGCTTTAGAATCCAAGATGTTAAAGAAACATTTTTCGAAAAAAAAAAAGATGTTAAAGAAACATGCATCCTACTAGTATGATTTTGTTACTCCAATCGAACAGGATTAAGTCCTTAGGTAAATGTTAACCCTTGTCCCTTAAAATAATGACCACAATTGTGATTGTTTCAGGTAAAATGATCGAAATTTCTCTGGTTAAAAGCGATTATAATGTTGATTTCTGTGTAGATTTGATCCTGAGTAGAAAATATGGAGTGAATTTAGGAGACAAAGGTGTTATGTAGACCGCATACCGAGGCGTTAGCACAATGATTATAAAAGTTCGTTGATCATATAACTAACAATTTGAAAACTTGAAAGAAATGAAAAAAAGAGATTGAAAATAGGAAAAAGTGGGTTAAAAAATGGGTGCTTTGGTCGTTGGACGACAGCCGAAGCATCGCGACCGGTCCATCATGTTCCCCTCTCTCTCTGCTTTTTTGTTGTGTGTTGGCTCTGCATGGCAATATCTTCTCGTAGAGATGTGATTGATCCTCACGCTCCCCTCGAACCGCGTGACTCTTCTTAACTCGTCGATGTTTGGGCCTTGGGACCATTTTCCGAGGTTTCTTTTGTAAGTTTTAACGCCAAAACATTCTCCCACACATTTCGATAGATTTCATCTGCCATCTATCTTAGTACAGTACTACAGCATGATACTACTATATGGATCACCTAGTAAACTTAAAACGGCAAAACAAACTAATTTGCAGATTTAAATATCTTGTTAAATGTTTTTTTTCTTTATTCTATTTAGATTTTCGATAGATTTGTTCAGTTACTGATACTTTGATTTTCGAATTGTTATTCCTATACTCCATTCCTCGTTTATTATCATTTCGCAGCTTTTACCAATTAGAGCTATATGTCACAAACAAACAATAATTTGGTAATAAGTGGGAACTAGTACAATCGTGTTTACAGTGTAGTCCAAAAGTTCAAGTTCTATTAAAATAAACATTTTTGTTTTCTTTTTTGGCCAAAGGTATAAAAATTCTAAGGATAACATTTTGGAACAAATTGGTGTTTATGTACTGTATGATTTTTTAGACGAACGAGAACAAATATATTCTTAAGGCAAAATAAACCTTTCACGAAAAATTAATGATTGGAACAATAAAATCAACCATCAAGAGTTAGACAACAACACAAAGTAACTATTTACACTGCTTAGCCCTGAAATTATCATGGTCAAGAAGCCTAACCATGAGCTTCTCAAGCCTCTTCCAACTCACCGTTGGCTTAACAACCTCCGGAGTCTTCAACCTCAATCCCGTGTCTGTTTGACTTAACAGCTCGGTGTCAATCTTATCGAGCACGAGATCATCTTCTCGGAACTCCCTTGCGAATGGAGCCCCGCTTTGGACCATATCCTGGAAATTCTCAACCGTTAGATTCAGGGCACGCTGTTGGAGAAGCGGATCCCAGTTTGTGTAATGCAGGTCGTGATTGACAGTTGTGTTCTGATAATCTTTGTTGTTGCACACAACTGTCTGAAAATAGCCTTCAGATGACAAGAGGAAGTTGGTATAGTACATCAACAACGTTCTTGGGAGATTGTCCCATCCCCAAATGCAGAACTCCATGAACGGTCTTGTTAAAACTAAGCTGGTTGAACCTATTAGAAGAGATTCATTCACAAAAAGAAGAAAAAGGCAATCATATGCTGAGGATAAGAGTGATCATGAAATGAGGTTAAGTGCTTTCTTACCCATGAAAAGTTTGAATGAAGCTGGCAAAGATCTCCGTTCTTTAGCCCAAAAGACACCAGATTTCTTCAAATGGTAAAAGCCAGGATCGATAATGATAGGCCTTGCTCTTTGGTTCCTGCAAAATTCACAGTTGGAGCTATTACGCAAGAGGCAACGTAAAATGATCTGTTTCTAAATATAAAACAGAGGACATTCAAGGTAGGTATACATAATATTAGCTCCCTCACTCTTTCCAACCGATGTTGCTTGTGTGCTCGATGAAGTTCAGGTAACGTGGCAAGTATGAGAAAATATGCAAAATATCTGAAACCGAAAAAGAGCCAAGAGTACAATAAGATCACTGAACTATAAAAAAAAGAACTGATAAGTCGAAGCCAAAACCAAAAATTTAGATACTTTCTTGTGTCTTACATTAAAGCTCAGTGTTCAAAGTCTAGTTAAAGTGAATACACAGAAACAAACCTAACATATATACATCATATATCTTCCTACTTTTTGTACAAGTCAATAATGCAAGAAGACAGTAAGTCAACTGAGAGGACTCCATTGAAGGACACATCAACCAGAGGGGACGAGATTTGAGGATAAATCAGGTTCAGAGGACAATCACAAGCATTCTGATTTTCTTAATTCCTATACAATAGAGCATTGTCTACAAAGACAACCAACCAAACCATAAGACTTTTGTTTCATATGATATTCCTACTTTATACAAATGAACACTGTCTACACCTAATTTGATTTTGAATTACACAACACGAACATTTTCAGTTTGAAATCTCTAATGAACTTATCACTACTAACTAACACAAACACAACATGAAGCAAAGATTAAGAAATTGGTTTTAAGAATTGAACAAAAAGTAACCATCTTGAGGCATGAGAGGATAATCAGAAGAACTAAGATTAATAAACCAATCCCAATCCTCAGCTTTCTTCAACAAAATCGCAACACCATGAAGCGTACTAGCTAACATCGTCGGACCTTTCTCCGTGACCAAATCAGCTAAACCCATAACCATAACATTCCCAAACTTCTTCTTCTCCGCTCTCACATACTTCGCCAGCTCCATCCTCTCTTCATCCGAAGCTTCGAGGTCCAAATGAAGAAGGTAGTAGTTTCTCGGATGGTATATTGCTCCGAGCAGCCGCTTCACACGTCTCCCATCTCCTTTCGTCCCCGTCACCAGATACGCGAGCCTCGGAATCTTCGATTTTCCGGTTAGGCTTCGATTTGGGGTTGAACCGGAGGATGAATCTGATGGTTTTCGAGAGGTTAGTGTTAAACCCAGAAGGAATAAAAGAAAAACGCCGAATACTGAAATCGCTTGTCGAGAATAAGAACGAGGAGAAGAAATGTGAGATCTTTTCATGTTTGGTTCATATAAATTGAGAGCTTAACGATTTCTCCGGAGCATGTCCGTCTAGATCTGAGCCGACGGTGGAGAGAGAGAGAGTTAAGCCGGGAAGAAGACGAAAGTTTGGTTTTTTAATTTTGAAAAATTAAATCGGTTGGTGGAATAACTAAAACGCTGTCGTTTTTGTTATGACGAAACGTGGATGATAAGAAACCGTCCGATTAGTATAGGATATTCACAGACCGTAGGATGAGCTTGCTTTGAGTCAACGTCAGATTTCACATCACTCACAGACACACTCACAGTTGCTTATGGAGCAACCAAATTCAATAAAAAAATTTAGGACCTATAATTTTTTTCGAAATTGACGTAATTTGTTTACAAAATATCTATAAAAAATTTGTGGAAAATAACGAAATCGAGAATTATATTATAGTTATTGAATTTAAAAAGAAAAAAAAGAAAACAAAATCAAACTAAACTAGAAGCATCAGGTAGACCTTGACGCCAATCGTCATCTCTATTTGTAGCCGAAACGCGACGGTTTCCGCCGCTGCGATTGGCGTTAACGGTGACGTTGGTAGCGGTGGATTCGGTGGAGTGTTGTTTAACGGGGACTTCAGCTCGGCAATTGGGACAATTAGTGTGATCTTTAAGCCACGTTTCAATACACTTGACGTGGAAAGCGTGCTTACACGCGCTAAGCCGTCGAATCTCTTCACCGTCCTTGTAGTCCTCGAAACACACGGTGCACTCGTTTCCTATCTCCTTTGAATGTTTCTCCTTATGGAATTTCTCGTCGGAGTCATTAGCCGCTGCGGCGGCGGTGGTGGTCTCGGCGGTGGTCGGTGGGGTGATATCCACGGTAACGTCTTCAGAGGAGGAAGAGGAGCTTCGGCTGCGACGGGGAGAAGAGGAGTTGCGGCGGGAGGAAGAGCAGGGAACGGTGAAGAAGAGAGCGTAAACTAAGGCGGGAACGGCGACGATTGCGATGACGGCGAAGATTAGTTTGAGAGGAGAGAGATCGATGCTCCGTGGAGGAGCTGGGAAAGGTGGTGGAGGTCCGAAGATGATGAAGGTTGAATTGGTAGTGATGGTGGTGCCGGGAAAGACGGTGGTGGGAACTGTAACGGCGGGAGTTGGGACGACGGCGTCGACGCCGGAGCCGAAGGTGGTTGTTGTTGAATTATTGAACATAATTATTTGGTGGGGAAAGAGAGATAATGGAAAGTGCTTGTTTACTAAAGTAAGTTTGGTTTTGTCTTCTTTTTTTTTTTTTTTTCTTCTCCGACGAAATGTCAAAATTATATATTTGTATATTTGTAACGACACTTTCGTTAAACAAGCTTACAGGTTGTAGTAGTATATGATAAACTCGTATACAACAATCACGACACTTACATAACAAAGTAAGTAAATTTATTTCATTGTATTATTAATACAGTGATAAAGATGAAGAAGGATCTTCTTTGGTGTTTTGTAATGATGGTTACATGGGATGGGAGATTGGGAGTAGTGGTTGGAAAATTTGGTGGTGGTTTTTGTCGGTGTGCCACCTCAATTCTTTATTCTTTATTTCCCACTTTATATTTGTATATGACACTTGGTTTGGGTTGTGTAAGCTAAATGGGCCAGTGATTTGAGTTACTCTGACTAACGATGGATTTTATCCGGCGCACAATTGTTAAATTATGCATAATGTTATGAATTTTTAAGATGAGTAAAAATTAAAGAGAGTCAAGATCTTTGCCAAATTTGATCGTAAATGAAGATATCTACTTAAATAAAGATGAATATAAATCACTAATAAGATACCTTTTTTATGTGTTTGTTGGCTACTTCTGATAATTGGTTTATGATTGGTATATTAGAATCGTTTAAAAGGATTATACAATTTGTTTAATATGTAGAACTCTATATGTCTTTCTCTATCCAAGGTAACATGTACGTACAGGTAAGGCCTAACCTAAGGAGATATTCCAAAATATTTAGTAGAGAGAGCTTAACCACATCCCACATAAATTAAATCACATGTTCTATAAAAAAAAATCATGAAGCTTTGTTTGATGGAGAAAAAAGCAAGAAAACATATCAAGACCACAAAGATAAAGACAATATAGACTACGATGTAATTAGTTGGTAGATACATATGTATGTTGTTGTTCTTCTTTATTTACCACAAATCCAACAACGTTGGTTAAAAGCCAAAACTCTTTTTCTGCTATCTTCTTATCACCAAAATTTCAACATATTTCATAATTTTCTTTAAACAACAAAATTAAAATTAGAACTAACGACGAAAACAGTTGACGGCGTGTCTAAACAAAAAAAAAACGGGTTAATTAATAAAATAAAAATCATCATCACCGTTAAGTAACGGCGGAAAGTCTCCACGGTGCCATCCAGGGCAGGCGTTTACTTCCGTCGGGGTTCGTATCTTCCTCTCTCCTTCCTCTCTCCAGAAAAAAAAACGAGGAAGAAGAAGAAAATTGAAGATTTTGTTGTGTTGGCGACGATGATGACGATACCACCTGCATCGTGCTCATCTTAGCTTCCTCCTCTTTTTGAGTTTATCTGTATTTATTCCACAAGGGAGGAAAAAAACTCCTTTTTGACTTACATTTGTTTTTAAGAAGAATCTAGAAGATAACAATTGAGGAGCTTCCTGTTATAGGATTCACGATTAGGGTGTTACTTCATCTCATCGGAGTTGTGTTTTTACGGAGGATTTCAGCTGAAATATTGGGAATTTAGGAGTTTAGAGTTGGATTGAGATAAGGAGGGTTGAGGTATAAACTTAAGTGGTTTGGTTCTTTTGTAGCAATTGTTTATGTTTGGGAGAGGAAGATGAGAATTGCAAGTGTTGTTATGGTTATTGGTGCTATGAGACTTGTCTCTGGTGTGAGTTGAAAAAATAGTAGATACTTTGTTTAACGTCTTTTGACTATGGAGAATCATCATCCTTCGACTCTCTTGTCTATGGATTCTAGTGCTTCTTCTCATGAGGAGCTTGATTTGGAGATGAATAATAATAACAGACAATCTCTTCTCTCTGGCCCTCCTGATATCAATTTGCCTCTCTCTGCTGAGCGAAGTCCTCCTCCACAGCCTTGGAACTTGGATTCTTGCGACATTTTGGATGTTGGGTTAGGTTCACAGGCTTATGAGACTGAGAATTACTTGAGTGTTGTGCCTAAGGTTGGGAGGAAATGCGCGAAACGGGTTGATAGTATCTGGGGTGCCTGGTTTTTCTTCAGTTTCTACTTCAAGCCTGCGTTAAACGAAAAATCAAAGGCGAAAATCGTCCGGGATAGCAATGGGATCTCTGGGTTTGACAAGTCGGATTTGAAGCTTGATGTGTTTCTAGTTCAGCACGATATGGAGAACATGTACATGTGGGTTTTTAAGGAAAGACCTGAGAATGCACTCGGGAAGATGCAGTTGAGGAGTTACATGAATGGGCATTCTAGGCAAGGGGATCGCCTGTTTCCTTTTAGTGTTGAAAAAGGTTTTGTAAGGTCTCACAGAATGCAGAGGAAGCACTACAGAGGTTTGTCAAATCCGCAGTGTGTTCACGGGATTGAGCTTGTTCCTTTGCCAAACCTCACATGTCTTGATGAGGAAGAGAGGAAAAGGTGGATGGAGCTTACTGGTCGTGATTTGAATTTCACCATTCCAACTGAAGCTAGTGACTTTGGTTCGTGGAGAAACCTTCCCAACACTGACTTTGAGCTCGAGAGGCCGACACCTTCTTTGAAGAATCCTTCTGCAAGCCACTCTAAGAAATTACTCAATGGATCAGGGCTCAATCTCTCAACTCAACCATCCAACCATTCCAATGGTGAAGCAACCGATCTATCTCCCTCAAGCCACAAGAAGAGGAAGGACTTATTCTCAAATGGGATCCATGAGGAGGAATGTTGCTTAACCGTGAACCCGATACCTCCTGTTATCGAAGCTCACCAGAACGAGCTACCAAATTGGTCAAACGAGTTTACCGGGGCCATGAAAAACGTTTATGGACCTGTTACTGCTGCAAAAACGATATATGAGGATGAAGAAGGCTACTTGATCATAATCAGCCTTCCTTTTGTGGATTTAAACAGCGTTAAAGTCTCATGGAGGAACACCCTCACACATGGAATCATAAAAGTTTCATGCATCAGCACATCGCGCGTTCCATTTATAAAGAGACATGATAGAACATTCAAGTTGACAGATCCAGCCTCTGAGCACTGCCCACCAGGAGAATTTGTCAGAGAGATCCCGTTATCAACCCGGATCCCAGAAGATGCAAACATTGAAGCGTATTACGACGGACCTGGATCAGTTCTTGAGATACTTGTTCCAAAACTAAGAGCTGGCCCGGAAGAGCATGAGGTGCGGGTGTGTCTACGTCCTCATCTCAGTGGAAATGATCTTATGCTGACATAAAAAAGAGAAGCATCAGTCCAGTTTTCTTGTTTTTAGAAGCTTATTATAGGAGTCATCTCTCATTGATATTGGCCACTCATACATAGGCGTTTTCACTGTTTTAATGGGATTTTTCATCACATTGCAATCTGTGTGTACGATTCCTTGGATTCGACCCTACCCGTAGATTCAATTTGTGTTTGTTGTACAAAGATAGAAAATTTGTCATAATTTAAGATAGTACTAATTTACCATAATAGCTCGTTCAAGAAATAAAAAAACAAAACATATCAGATACAATTTGAGGCTACTGATTGAGATCAAGCAAGAGCTGTCGAAGTGCATCCGAAGAGAGAGGTATATTCAGACACTCTTGTCCATCAGAGTTTCTCTTAGTCTTAACCAGCTCATGGTCTTTAAATTCCGTGAGATGTGAGTTCAAAGTCACTTGACTGCTCACAAAGAAGCGTTCCCGAGAGGCTGAGTACAGATCATCAGTGGGCATGCCGTCGTCATCTGGGTGAGAAAGTTGATACTCAGCTAGAATCTTGAAGACGTTTTGAGCGTTTGGCGTTAAACTCTGTAAGACAATGGCTGCTGTTTTAGCAGTTTGGGCTGTGCTTCCCTGTGCAAGAACCAATGGGAAGAATACGCCTTCGACATTGTATGGGGCAAATGTTGGAACATGGTGCCATAGCCAGTTAAACTGTGTATGCACCATTTTCTTGTCCCACACTGCCAAAATAACATAGCCTTAGGTCAAAGAAGCAATACTTTAAAGTATTGGATAGATAGCAGGTGAGCAGAAATAATTGTAATAGAGCCTAGTCATGATGATCAATTAGCAGTTAATTTAGAGAGCGATGGAGAAGAATGCTTACATAATGGAGCGTTGACATGGTCAATAGAGGCAACAATACGTATGTGCGAACAAGAAGCAAGCCGGGCAAGAGTTTGTTGTGATTCAGGATCCCTTAGAGCAGGGCCGTCAATGTTATGGACAACAACACATATGAAGCAGTCTTTATCTTCAGACTGTGGGTCATGTAGAAAGGAAAGAATATCATCTATAGAGCGTGAAGGAAATGTTTCTTGAGCTTTAGACAAGCTCCCAGAACTCTTTCTTCTACACTTCAACAGCTCGGACAGAAGTTCAGCTAATGCTAAAAGAACCTGCATTTGCAACATAGAAAAGAAAATTTTGCTATTACCTTAAGCTAATTTCTTTCCAACATGTGAGAACATAGAGCTGTTTAAGAGAAAGAATTGCTGGGTTCCAAAGTGACAGAAGGGTACCTGTTTTAGATTAACGGAAGGGAGGTAGCCATTGATAACCACAACGGAATAATCAGTCAAAGAAGCAGAAGCAAAATCTTCAATTAAAGCTTTCTTAGATCCAAAGCCATACATTAGAAGGCCAAAGCCACACCTGTAAGCAACAAAAAATGAAATGAGGACACACCAAAGTATGAAAACGAAAATGGAACAGGATTTACTAACTGCTAGAGGAGATATACAGGACAAGGTCTAGGCTCAATGTCAATGTTATATTGCTCTCAATAGTTTCTATCATATGTGATATTTCAGATTCTAACTTGTAAGGTTCTTGTATCTAGGAAAGAGGAGGATATGCTTGTCAAAAGAAAAAACCTTTTCTCACCTGAGCTCAAAGACCCACTTTGGGTACATAGTTTTGTAATCACCCATAAGCTCAGAAATCTCATCGGCGTGCTTCATTTGGATATTAGATGCTGTTTCTCTAAGCTCCTGAAACACACATAGCGTATCTGCATCAGCTTGTTAAGGGAAGCATTTATCACCAAAAGCATAATTTGGAAGAGAACATCCAAAAAATTTCACCTGCTCATCAACGATATGAATATCAGAGAGCTTGTGGGCTGATCGCTTACTCGCCCCACCCAATTCTTTTGCCAAAAAGTAGTTTCGTGAGAACCCACACTCGTCTTCTTCGATGTTGTCAATATCCTCCATCTTTGTTTGCACAAAACAGTGAACAGTAATAAGAGAGTAATCTAGAATTTTTCAAACACTGAGTAAGAAATTAACAACATAGCAATGCCTGAACAATTAATCAGTAACTCAATTCACCCAAATCTATGCAGGGAACGAGAATCACCTCTACAGAATTGGGACACTACACGAACAAAATCACGGCAGCGAATGACTCGTGGATTCGATTGGGCCGATTAGATCGCCGGTAAGAACTTCGACGATAAGATTTAGCTGCCGGAGACCAAATAAAAATTGACCTACGATGACGATGAGATGCAGTCTCGATTTTCCCGCGTCTTTTTTTCTTCGTCGTTTTCCCGGTTCCAACTCGACGTCGTCGTTTCACAAGTATAAAATTATATACGGTTCAGATTCCATTATCGGATATGATAACAGATCCAACGGTCAGCATTGAAGGATTTTTCTCAGTCTCCATGGCTTAACGGCTTAACCTCGTTCTTCTCTATTTCACCTAGATTCGACATTCATATTTATACTACTTACTTTTTTCGTTACATTCATATTTATACTTCTTACTTTTATTTAACCTACTTTAGTTTCTAGATAATTGTACTTCAATCCACATTTCAACTAATCAAATATAACATTTCTTACTTGCTTTTTAGAAATACATATGAGATCTTTACTAGTCTGAGTTCCTCAGTTCATATCCCTTGTGTGATGCTTAGGAATTTTAAAACTAATTATATATATGCAGCCTGCCACATAGAATAGTTTGTATTTATATACGTTGATTTACCGGCCATTGAAATATTTTAGTCTCAATAATATACCACAAGATCAAACAAATTAAACACTTACGAATCTCTCTGATAATCATAATACCATAACTTGTGATTATTGTGAAAAGGTGATGAATCGTGTACCATTAGCTATAGCGCTGATATTATGATATTAACAACTATATATATATATGACTTCAGTACGTACTCTAGAGTTTAAACATGATATTGAATAAAAATTAGGCTCCAAATGTTTACGATCTAATAAGTATTTGGAATGCTCCGCTCCATATATACAACGTAACCATTCTTTTTTTTTTTTAACCAATACATAAATTAAAAAGCTCAAACTCCATTAAAGAGGAGTAGTTACAGGAAGAAGGTAGATCCTTTGCCAAAGAAACAACCTCAAAGATTATTACAAAAGAAACAACATGAAGAGAAACAAAAAGAAGATTGGTACGAAGCTCTCTGCAAACTGCCAAGATAACGTCGAGCTCTATTGCATAGCCGACGACATTGAGGAGAAACAAAGATTCTCCACAATCCGCAAAATAAGCTAGCCTAATGTTATGATGGAGGAGATTGATGATACAGCAGTGGAAAAATTGATAAAACGTAACCATTCTAAGCTTCAATAATAACTAACTAAATCTTGTTATGATGCAGGAGATTGATGATATAGCAGTGGAAAAAAAATTCAAGCAACAATGTGAAAGGTGTAGGCGTGTAGAGGTAGCCAGGTAGATTACGAAGAGATAGAAGTTAAGAAAATTATAGTTGAGATTTTAGAGGCAGTAGGAAGAAGAAAGGACTATGAGAGCTTCTGATAATTGGAAATTTACAAGCAACAAGTTGTCAAATGGGACGACGACTAGTGGTTTCAACACTAGTCTCATTCAAGGACACATTGAAAAGAATACAGCGAAAACTATTGTGGGAGACAATGTTTGAGACTAGAAACGATGATTGATTTATTTACTAGTGATATATTGGTATCCAGCTATGATGAAACTTTCACACAGGTTTATCCAGCTAAGACGAAACTTAGTTTTTTTTTTTTTTTTTTTGTTTGTCATCAGACGAAACTTAGTTATGCACAAGATATTAGCGCACTTAATAATCAAGAACGAGCAAACAAAATTAATTGTTTGTAGCTATTCAAATTTGGTAGTGATATACAATGAAAATATTAGCATAAAAACTAGAATGTTTTAATTTATATATGTTGAATTTAGAGCAATGTTTTATACTAATAAAGGTTTTTGTTTTTGTCTACTATAATTTGGAGCTCGTTTAAAATATTTTTAGCAGGGGAAGGAAAAAAAACAATATTAATATTGGAATTTTTCAGTGAAGGTGCCGCGAACCCCGCACGTGCCAAAAAAAAAACGCACCAAAAACAAAAAATTTCCAAGTTTATTAGCAAAACGATTGAGCGAAAAAACGCGTTGGTGTATCATCAGAATCTGGACCTGAATCAGATCTATTCGGGTCGGGTCGAATTAGTAGCTGATCGGAGAACCGGCATTATGGCGGCAGCGAGAAGATTACGGGCTCTCCAATCCCAGCCGGAGAACAAGGTGTGTGTCGATTGCTCCCAGAAGAATCCACAATGGGCTTCGGTTTCATACGGCATCTTCATGTGCTTGGAGTGCTCAGGGAAGCACCGTGGCTTAGGTGTTCACATCTCCTTCGTCAGATCCGTCACCATGGATTCATGGTCTGAGATCCAGATTAAGAAAATGGACGTCGGAGGCAACGAGTGTCTCAACAAATTTCTGGCTCAATACGGGATCGCTAAAGAGACCGATGTCATTGCCAAGTACAATTCCAACGCCGCGTCTGTGTATCGAGATCGGATCCAGGCTTTAGCTGAGGGAAGGCAGTGGAGAGATCCGCCGGTTGTGAAGGAATCGGTTGGTGGTGGAGGCATGAATAAGAAGCCTCCGTTGTCTCAGGGAGGTGGTAGGGATTCTGGTAATGGTGGATGGGATAATTGGGATAATGATGATTCATTCAGATCTACGGATATGAGGCGGAATCAATCGGCGAGTGATTTTAGGTCATCGGGAGGTCGTGGTGCTCCGGCTAAGTCGAGATCGTCGGAGGATATATACTCGCGGTCTCAGCTGGAGGCCTCGGCGGCGAATAAGGAGAGTTTTTTCGCGAAGAGGATGGCTGAGAATGAGTCTAAGCCTGAGGGACTTCCTCCTTCTCAAGGAGGTAAGTATGTTGGGTTTGGATCTAGCCCTGGTCCAGCTCCGAGAAGCAATCAACAAGGTGGTGGTGGTGGTGATGTTTTCTCTGTTATGTCTGAGGTAAAATTAGATGCTTTTTTTAGAGTGATTTGATTAGATGTTGAGTGACTTCTCTGTTTATCGTGTGAATGATTGTGTTTGTTTTACGTTGTACTTACAAATAGGGTTTTGGAAAATTGTCTCTTGTTGCTGCATCAGCTGCGAATGTTGTGCAGAGTGGCACCATGGAGTTCACTTCCAAGGTACTTCTTTTATCATTCTGCTTTGGTGATGTGCTCGCTTTGTTAGGACGTAATCATTCAGCTCACTTCTTGGTAACAATCTGTAGTCTTAGTTATTTCATAGCCGTGTCAACTTAATGTTGAAATCTAAGTACCGCTGTGCTCAATACTCTGTTAGGATATCTCATTTTCAACATTTTTAAGTAACAGAAAGTTAGACTCCTGTCTAGCTGCATAATGTTCTTCAGGCTTACTGTATTTTGTCTCTATGCCTTTGCAAAATCTCTAGTGAGGTCCACTAAAACTCTGAATAGCATAATGCATGATGCTCTCTATACTTGTCAAATACTGCTGACAAGAAAATCTTGGATTGTATGATAAGAAAATTTTGTTTCATTTCAGGTCAAAGAAGGTGGCTTAGATCAAACGGTCAGTGAGACTGTTAATGTTGTTGCGAATAAGACTACAGAGATAGGACAGAGGACATGGGGGATCATGAAAGGAGTAATGGCTATTGCTTCACAAAAGGTTGAAGAGTTCACTAAAGAAGAAGCATCAACCTGGAATCAACAGAATAAAAACGAGGGCAACGGTTTCTACCAGAACTCTGGGTTTGGAAACAAAACAGCAAATTCATCTTTTGGAGGGTCACAGTCGTCATCATCAAGTGGTCAAAACAACAGTTATCGGAACTCGAATTCTTGGGATGACTGGGGAGAAGAGAAGGATACCAAAAAAGAAGCAGCACCAAAGGTGTCGACGTCTAATGATGATGACGATGGCTGGGCTGGTTGGGATGATAATGATGCCAAAGATGATGACTTCTATTATCAAAGTGCAGGCGCTAAGAAATCTGTAGGTCACAACGGGAAATCAGACACTGCTTGGACCGGTGGAGGGTTTCTCTAGCGGTAAGCACTAAACACCAATCAAGTTGAAAACTACTCCCAACACTTTAATGTCAATACGTTTGCAATAACACGAATTTGCTAATCACAGGTGTTTCAGGATGATGGTGAATGAAGTTGTACAATTAAGGAAAAGCAGAGGCTGCGGTTTTAGTGCTCTGTCACAAGAGAGAGCAGAGTGGTTATCTCAACCATATTAAGCCATCACAGGTCCTTCTTTTCACATATCAATTGCTTTGGCGATCAATCAAATCGATCGTCACTATTTGTTCTTCTACAATATAGTTTCATTTATATTTGTACAAGCTTTATAGAGGACGGCTTACTGAACCATTCGGGTTAGTCTTCAGCTCTTTTTTTTTTTGAGATTCAAACTTTTATTTTTCCTGAAATCTGTAATGATCCACAAAAACAATTTTTTTCCTTTTTATTACTGTTATCTTTCTCATTCACATACTATATATTTGCTTGTCCGGTTACTATGTTACGCAATATCGTTTCCTAGTTCATAATAATTTCTAATTGTCTGAACTCTGAACTAATGAAAATAAGTTTAGAATTTTGAAGTTTGAAACTTAAAGAAGGCTACGTTTAACGTTTGCTTAACGTATACGATGCAACTTGATTTATGTATTCATTATAAATGTCATATATTTCATTTGTCTCTCAGACAGTCACACGTTATGTGTTCGATCATACAAACTGGACCAGTTCACACTTCCATTCAATAATCCGACATCCCTGAACCGGGACAAGACTTTTCAAAAAATTTAAGTAATTATGAGTTCTTATATTTATTTTTATTTTTTTGTCAACGAGTTCTTATATTTTTTATAATAAAATTTTGGTCTTACTGAAAATCCTAAATTATTTCAAATCAATAAAAAGTTTTACAAAAATCAGTCAAATCTACTTAATAAAAAATCATTGCCCTAATAAGTAATAACGCATACGTTTGGATTTGTTTCACTATATGATTAAGTAGGAGATTACATACTTTTCAAGTCATTCAACAAAAAATGTAAGCATTAATATTGTAAAAGCTGTCAAATGAAAGCTTAATGGACCACATGTGGACAGCAAACTCTGTTCTAATTCTAATCTACTCACGCGTGAGCCTATTTAAAGCCACACAAAGTTCCTTACCTGTGTATATCCCTCTCTTTCTCTCTCTCTCTCTCTATTTCTTCACCAATTCTTCTTTTTCTCGTTCACCAACAATATTCTAGGGTTTATTATTGGTTTCTCTTCATTCTCTCCTCTAAAATATTTTTCGAGAAAGTGAGAGAGATCATGGGGCTATATGGAATGGTAACAGGGAAAGCAGGAAAGAGTGGATTTGGATCAGCTTCAACTGCTGAAGATGTCACTCACTCCATTGATGCCAATCATCTCACTGCCATCATCACAGGTTCTGCTTTCTTTCTTTTTTGTTTCTTTCATTATATCTGATATTTTTTCTTCTTCTCTTACAAATCATGAAAAGAGGAAAAGCCAAGCAAATCTAGCATTGCCAAACAAATCTAGTTATACGTTTTTGGTATCTTTGTTTTCCTGTTCTGCCAAAAAAGACAAAAGAATAAACAAATACTTGTCAAAATGACTATAGATATAATTAAGGTAACTATAAATAGTTTTTATGGTGGAAGAAAAAGTCAAACTTGGGATTTTGTGGGAAATAAATATAAAGGGATTTTTTTTTCCATTTAAACAACCGAAAATTTAATTTCCTTTTTTTTGGTCAACAAAAAAAAAAAATTCCTTTTTTTATATTGTAAATAACCAAAATATTAATTCTTAATTTTCTATTTTCTCTATAATTAAGACTGAGATAGCAAAACAAAAAAAAAAATTTATATACATATCAAACTAATAAAATAGAAAATAGCAAATATATAGTATGACATAAATTTAATTTCATCTATGCATGCATCTTAATTTGTAAAAGACACGAAAGTACGATACGAATGTTATAGTTGTACGTTGCTTCATCCGTTTGTAGGATTATTCTTTTTTGTTTTGTCTGGAATATCTTGAAATGATTTAAAAAAAACTGCAAACGAATGGGAAACAAAAGGTGGAACAAGTGGGATTGGACTGGAGGCAGCAAGAGTGTTAGCAATGAGAGGAGCTCATGTCATCATTGCTGCAAGAAACACAAAAGCTGCTAATGAATCTAAAGAGATGATTCTTAAGATGAACCCTAATGCTCGTATCGATTATCTTCAGCTCGATCTCTCTTCCACCAAATCAGTCAGATCCTTCGCCGATCAGTTCCTTGCCCTTAACCTCCCTCTCAACATACTCATGTACGTTTGAGTATTCATTTTGATTTCATTGTTTTTTTTTTGTCTCTCTTTTGGAGTGATTAAGAGAGTTGATGATGTTATTATGTTTGTGTCTTTTTGAAATATTAGAAACAATGCAGGAGTTATGTTTTGTCCTTTCCAGCTTACTGAAGATGGGATTGAATCGCAATTCGCAACAAACCACATTGGTAAGATTCATATTTAAATGTTTCCTTGTCAGAAGACTATATGGAGATGCACAATATTTATGATCAAAACATCATGTTAAGTACATGAATTCTAGAGAAATATGCTAAAGTCAATAAACCCTATTAAAAAATTAACTTACTTGAGTTAGTGTAATCTATATTTATGCTATAATATAATGGATAGTCCAGGTCATTTCTTGTTGACGAATCTGCTTCTGGAGAAAATGAAGAGTAGCGCAAGAGAAAGTGGAATCGAAGGAAGGATTGTGAATCTGTCATCTGTTGCTCATACTTATACTTATCCCGAAGGTATCAAGTTCCAAAGCATCAACGACCCTGATGGGTAAGTTTTTAATTAGCTACTTGATACATATATATTGATCAACTTGAGGTTAATTTTCTTAAAACTAAGATTGTATATGGTATCATTATTTAGATATTCGGACAGAAGGGCTTATGGACAGTCCAAACTCGCAAACTTGTTGCACTCCAATGCACTCTCTCGTAGACTAAAGGTAATATATCTCTTTACATACATATATAACATGCGATATATGCCATAATAAAATGATCAATATGTATAAACTAAATTACAATGTGGTTTGGTGTATAGGAAGAAGGTGTGAACATCACAGTAAATTCGGTACATCCTGGACTTGTCACCACTAATCTCTTTCGCTACTCCGGTTTAGGAATGAGTACGTACCAATTCTCTATTTCTTCATTCCTACGTACACTTCAATCTTGATCATTTTCCCCTAAACTCGACATTTATTTACGTATGTTCAGAGGTCTTCAAGGCTATGACTTTCCTCTTGTGGAAAAACATACCTCAGGTGATTTTAAAACCTTTTTTAATTTTTGTTTTCTTTCCTTCGAATTTTTCTTATACTACGAGATTTTATAGTTAACGTTGTTTTTGTTTTTTTTTGGGTATTATTGTTATTTTGTTAGGGAGCAGCTACTACATGCTACGTCGCACTTCATCCTGATCTCAAAGGCGTCACAGGGAAGTACTTCGCCGACTGCAACGCCATCACTCCGAGCAAATTCGCCACCGACAATTCTTTCGCCGATAAACTTTGGGATTTCAGTGTCAAACTCATCGATTCTCTCCCTCACTAAAATGTACCAATCAAATGTATCCTTCGTTCTTAATATTGTTGTTACATTAATTGAAATATCTTTTCATCACCTCATATTTTCGTTATGGAATACAATATATGTTTAGTGAAAACGTTGTCCATTGTGTAAGAATCGTATAAAAGTATTAAAAACACACAACTGTTTGTGTAAGAAATAACATTATTTTCATCTAGTAATCTATTTATTTAATTTCTCCAAATGAAATTTAGAAATTAAGAAACGTATATTATTACAAAGGTTATAAAAAGAAAAAAAATGCACTAATGAGAATAGGTGTCAAGTCAACACTGTATAATGGGCCTATACTAGTGGGTTTCTTCAGCTTCCCAAAGGCCCATCGTTCGTACGACGACGGCGGAAAGAGCAACAACAATCGCTGCAAAAACCGGCGGCACAACGAGGTCCATCTTCGACCTCCGGAAAAGATTCGCCGGAAGACACAACACCTCCGTGGGAAGATCCAACGGAACCAAAATGGCTGCGTCGGAACCGCACCGCCGCGAGAACCCCGCGGAAGAAGCAGAGGAAGACGGGTAAATCGCCGACACGAATGCGAATTCCGGTGCGAGAGAGATGATCGCCACCGTGGTAGTCAGAAACAACGTCCACGTGGCGCCGTAGACGAAAAGCGGAACCCGCCAGGCGAATCGGTGAGTCAGAGATGAGAAAAGATTGCGAATCATTTTAGGTTTGAAGTTTTTTTGTTTTTTTAAAGGTTTCAACTTTATCTCTCTTTACTCTTTATGGGTTTGGAGTTCGATACCGATGGTAAAATAGTACTTGTGCCATAGAAAATGGAGTAGCTTCGATGAAGGAGATAAGTAGAGAAGAGAAGATAACCTAATCTCACCTGCTGCTCTTATTAGTTTTGCTAACGACGAATTGAGGATAAACTTTGAAACGACCACATTAATCGCCGTTTAAACTAGAAGAAGTTAGTCAGATTCACATTCACACCTATGCATCGTTTGCTGATTGTAATGTTGTGTTTTGGGATAATTTACTGTTAAATTATGCTCATTTAGGACAAAATTTAGCTGTCGGAGACTAAAAGTTAAGTATTTGACGAAGACTAATGTTTGTGATAGCTCACATAGGACAGACAGACACCAATAGAGGTAAATTTACAAACAAATCAAAATGTCTCATATGTGGTATGACTTCCATTGGCTCAAACACACCACACCACTTTATGTGCCGGTTGTTTGGAGTTTTGCTAGGGGTTTAATAAATTAAATAAACTAAAACTCAAGGTAAAGAATTTTAGAGTGTGAGAAACTTTTTGGACTTTTTCTTTTGGGGTTGTTATAATACAAAAGTTTGATATGAGAAAACACCTAGATTTGAAGGTTTGAAACAAAGTTAACATCATTCCATCTTTTAAATATATAAATATTTATACGCGTGAATATTTTAATCAAAATAAAATTTCAAAGTATTTAATATGTTTGATAAGTATTTTAATATGTTTCTTTTTCTTGCGAATCTGAACAAATTTTCTTTTAATATATTTTTAAAAATTTCAAATCCTTACATTTTAAAATACAATAAACTCTATTCAAACGAAAATGATAACACGTTGTTTGTTACTACATTTCTATTTGAAAAATACAGTATGTTTCATAAAAAATCTATTAAAAACCCATATAATTTATTTTCTTTTTATTTACTATGAAAATAAAAATATTCCAAATCCAACACCCAATCTTTTTTCCAAAGTGTAGGAAATGATTTTAAAATGTTTGTTTTTTTATACTAAAAATACTTAAAATTTTGTAAAAAAAATATTTGTGGGATTTTAGATGTTCTTTTTTTTTTGGTAGAGAAATATTCTAAATTTTGTTTAATACTAAACAAAGACAGATTTTAATTAATATAATAATAAATGGCCTACATATACACGTGGATATTCACAAAGTAAGAAAAAAAAAACAGAACAGAAAATAAAATGATTGTTCTCTTCTCTTCTCGTACCTTCCTTCCAAGATGTCATCAGCAACTGCCACGTTTCCCTTCCCCATCTTTTTCCTTTTTTTTTTCTTTCTTTCCCTTTACTTAAATAAAAGTCACCCCCACAAGTTTCAGTTTTTTCTTAAAACAACCTCCATACTTTTTAATTCTTTTAGATTTCCCCCTAGAATCACCACAATCTAAAAAAAAAGATCCAATTTTCCACTAATAAATTTTTTAATTACAATATATAGTCAACTCATAAATATTAATATAATTTCTGAAAATAAACAAAAAAAAATAAAAATTACTAAACATTATTAAAAAGGAAAACTGAATAGCAATTAGTTAAAAAGATACTAAAAGTTAAACCAATTAGGGACTGTTTTGTATTTTTCTTTCAATTTGGATATACTACTGATTAACTATTATTTCCTTTTCCTAAAAATTACAAATATATAAAAATATCTGTTTTTCTGTTTTTTTTTTTTTTTTTTTCTCTTCTAATCTTTCTCTCTGCTTTTGCTTTGAAAAGTAATCTGGACCGCGAACAAAGCTTTTCGTTTTCTGGTTCGTTGCCGCCTTGCACGTTCCTTCTTCTTCCTTCTCTCTCTCTCCCACCTTATCTCCTTCCCCTTTTACCCTAACCCTAATTTTCTTCGCCGTCCTCTCTTATCTCTAACCCAGTTTCGTTCCCTATTCAAATCTTCCAGCCTTATCTACAGATCTTCTAGATCCGTAATTCTCTACTTTTTGATTGATTCTTCTACCCCCAAACTTTTAGTATTGTCTTCCTCGTTTGATTCGTATATGAAATGATTTTAATTTCTTCTGTAAATTTCATCATCTCCGGATTGATTTAGATTTTTTTTTTACTAAAACCCATTTGTATTCCAGAGCTCTTCTCCGAGGAATCAGAATACAAGTTTACGGATTGGATACTGGAACTGTTTTTGGATTTGGAACTGTTCAACCGCTTACGTGATTCAAACCACAAGGCTCAGATCTAACTTTGGTTAGTTAGTGTTAGTGTTGTTCTATATATTGGATGCCACGGTGCGATGGGAGAAGGAACAGTTTGTTTAGAGATGCCAATGGAAGAGATCATGGCGGAAGAGAAGATGTCATCATCAATGAGTCAATTGAAAAGAGAGCGTCTTGATACTACTGATGAAGGTGTCAAAGGAGATCACTTTCCTAATAAGAAACAAGCCAAAGAAGCTTCTAACGATGACATTACATCGGAGATTTCAAATCCCGTCGCTTCTCCGGTTGAAAGCACATCTCTTTTCCGCGATGTCTCTAGCCAGCCGGTGAAACCCGGTTTAGATGAGCCCGTCGAGTGCTCCGGGAGTGATTTTGGTTCTGAGGAGACTATAAGCGACGGAGAACGTGGTGCAACAGAGCATTCCAGTGATGTGTTACCGTCTCGTTTTGTGTTGGAGATTCCTAAGCATCTTAGCTCGACTGGAATCACGAAAATCACGTTTAAGTTGAGTAAACCTAAGAAGGAATTTGATGAGCTGCCTTTGCCCGTGATAAAGGATCATACTTGGGACGGTGGTGTTGTGAAGATGCCCAAGAAGATTGTTTCTATAAGCTACCCATCTAATGTGAAGAAGCTATTGGAAACTGGTATTATCGAAGGCGCTCGAGTGAAGTATATTTCAACCCCACCGGTGGTAAAGTCTGAATCTTTGTGTTTCTTATCGACTATAAGCTTTGATATTTTCATTTTGGGGTAATTTGTTGGTGACTGATACACTTTTTATGACCTTCAGAGAGAGCTTCAGGGGATAATCCATTCGGGTGGATATTTGTGTGGCTGTACGAGCTGCAATTTCTCGAAAGTGAGTTTCTTTCAGATCGTTATTTTTTGGTTTTGTTGTTTATATGATTATTTGTTCTGTGTGTTTTAACGATGTCATATTTTACTATGCAAAAAGGTTTTAAGTGCGTATGAGTTTGAGCTGCATGCTGGTGCAAAAACCAGACATCCTAATAATCACATATTTTTGGAGAATGGAAGGGCGGTTTATAACATAGTTCAAGAACTGAAGACTGCTCCTCGTGATGTTCTCGAGGAAGTGATAAGGAATGTAGCTGGTTCTGCTCTGAGTGAGGAGGGCTTCCAAGCTTGGAAAGGTGATGGCCAGGTGTCTAGATTGTTGGTGCATCTATGCGCTCTCCATAGATTCAGTCATTTTCTTTTTGATTAATAGTACTGAGCCTAATATGCTGTTATTTCTTGCAGCAAGCTTCCAACAAAGTAATAGTGTGTCTGACCGGAACTATAACACGGAACATTCCACTGTCAGGTACTATCATTGTGGTTTACTACTTGATCTGTAATTGGGGAGTTTATTTGAGATGATAATCTGTGATACTTTTGGTTTTAGATAGCTTTTGGTTAATGCAGTCTAAGTTGTCATTTTGTGTTACGATCTTAAAGCTGCAGTTATCTTGGTCCTGGTCCTGGTCTTGATGAGAGTCAGAGCCTTACTCCATGCTCTGTGGAGAACCACTATTTTCCAGAGAAAACATATGCGAAGAACACATTAAATGAGCCGAAGCGGATAGCAAAAAAGTATGCATCTTTGATACTTTCACTGACAAATTCATTACTGTAGTAATCTAGGTATTTATGGTCAGTATGGGCTATTATATATTGAGCTATGGAGATTAATTTGGTGCTAATCCTGTAGGCCTGCTTCTCATGCTACGGGTTGTCATAAGAAAGTTTCTGAAGGAAGCAATAGGAAGAGGTTTGTGTTGCTTTTTTGATCAACCTCATCACTTGTGTTTTTCTGTTAGCATTTGAATCTCTAATTGCTATTCGGCATTGATGAAAAAGATACAATTCTCTATATCTAGGGACAATGATTTACATCGGTTGCTGTTTATGCCTAATGGGCTTCCGGACGGGACTGAATTGGCTTACTATGTGAAAACGCAGGTTTGTTATTGTAGACAAATAACTTACTGCATATCTTCTCCGAAATTTGAATTGAACTTAGTTTTGTTAACTTTTCCCCCCTACAGAAACTACTACAGGGTTACAAGCAAGGAAGTGGTATAGTATGTAGCTGTTGCAGCAGAGAGGTAATGGCTATGTTGATTGTCTATCATACTCAGTTTGAACTTTGGATATGATTGTACTTATGTTTTGTATTTATTTACCACAGATTAGTCCTTCACAATTCGAAGCGCATGCTGGAATGGCTGCTAGGCGACAACCGTGAGTAATCCAATAACATATATATATTCCTTAATGTTTGAATGTGTATCTAAAGTTTTTTGTATCTTTTACAGTTATCGTCATATCTATATCTCTTCCGGGTTGTCATTGCATGATATAGCCATGTCTTTGGCCAATGGACATGTCATTACAACTGGTGATAGTGATGACATGTGTTCAATTTGTGGGGATGGTGGAGATTTGTTACTTTGTGCTGGATGTCCTCAAGCATTTCATACAGGTAGGTGTAGGATACTACTGCTGGAGTATAGTACTCTTGCTTGTGTTACTCTACTATATAAAACATGTGTCTAGGTTTCAAACTGAAAGTAGCTGAAGCACAAATTGTTAATGGTTTCCTCAATCGTAATGCATATGGAACTCTTTATTAGCTCTCTTAAACCATTTTCTGTTGAGTGTAAATTTTAGTTTAATGTAAGTGTGTCAGGGACAGTTTTGCTTATATATTAACTCTCGTATTTTTCTCTGGTTCTGATCTTTCATGTCTCTTTTCATATGCAGCTTGTTTGAAATTTCAGTCTATGCCTGAAGGTACTTGGTACTGTTCAAGCTGCAATGATGGAACTATCTCTAGTAAAAAGGCTACTGCTACTGATCCTTCTGGCAACTTCAAGCCTATAGTTATAAGACTGACAAGAGTCGTTAAAGCTCCAGAAAGCGAAATTGGTGGCTGTGTGTTTTGCAGGTTGGTTGCATTCCTGTATTCAATTTTTTTAGTATGGATTTAAACAGTTGTAGAAAAACTAAATACATGTGTAAGTCACTGCAATAGGCAGTTTGATTACTTTGCATGATGTGGAATTACATGTGGATTATTGCTTGTTTCATTTTTGAAGCATATTAAGGTGCCACTTTCTATGCATGTGTTGTGCGCCAGTGGTGCCTAATCCTTAATGTGTTTCACTCTTGTTTATCATTGATAGGTCCCATGATTTTAGCATTGGAAAGTTTGATGATAGGACTGTTATTCTCTGTGACCAGGTATTCACTTGATTCCTGATTTCTTTTAATCAATTCTTCCAATTACCAGTTCAGCCTTTTCTGATAATCCCTTTCTTCTTTGAATTTGAAGTGTGAGAAAGAGTATCATGTTGGTTGCCTCAGAGCGAATGGGCTCTGTGATTTGAAAGTAAGTTGTGTAAGGCTGGCTCGTTCTGCTTTGTATTCATGGGGTCATTCATCTTTTCTGAACTTTCTTTTTCCTTGAATGCTGTAGGAAATTCCGCAAGAGAAATGGTTCTGCTGTAGTGACTGCAGCAGGATTCACACGGCAGTTCAGAGTTCTGTTTCTTGTGGGCCGCAAACTATTCCTACACCTTTGTTAGATATGATACGCAGAAAAGACAGAGAAAAAGGAATATTTACAGATAATGGGGATATAGTCGAATGGAGGATACTTAGTGGAAAGAGTCGATACCCAGAGCATCTGCCCTTGCTTTCACGAGCGGCTGTTATCTTTAGGGTATGGCTTGACTTCAGATATGTTCCAAAAATGTTTTGATTTTATTACTTGTTAAAGATGTGCCCCGGGGCTATATATGTTGAGCCACTTTCTCGCGTATAATTTTGACCTAAAAGATGCACCCTAATTCTTTCCTGTTTAATCATCTAGGAGTGCTTTGATCCCATTGTTGCGAAGTCTGGCCGTGATCTCATTCCTGTCATGGTGTATGGGTAAGAAGCAACGACTTCACAAACTCTAATATAATAGCCATGTTTTGGCAGTGGTTGATTGTCCTTCTAATTCTAATGATATATTTGCAGGAGAAATATATCTGGCCAGGAGTTTGGAGGAATGTACTGTTTGGTTCTGATTGTAAAGTATGTCCTATTTCTGTTTATTACTGTTATTTTTTCCTCTTACAACTTCTTGGTCTTCTATGCTAATTGCTTTTTCTCATGCTGTTCGTTTAGTTCTCTTGTTGTTTCTGCTGCGTTGCTGAGAATATTTGGTCAGCAAGTTGCTGAACTTCCAATTGTAGCTACAAGCCGAGAGTACCAAGGAAGGGTAAAGCCTTTGTACATGTGATGTTTTTTGGAAGTATCTCAAGTATTTTTTTTTTTTTTTTGCATATAGATTAAATTACTCTTATTCTGTGAATGGTCATTAGGGATACTTCCAAGGACTGTATGCTTGTGTAGAGAATCTTCTTTCTTCTTTAAATGTTGAGAACCTGGTCCTTCCGGCAGCTGAAGAAGCCGAGTCTATATGGATCAAGAAATTTGGCTTTACAAGGATGGCTGAACAGCAAGTAAGTGTAGTTTTTATTTCCTGTATTACGTTTTGATATGCTATAGAATAGTGAGTTTGTTTAGGATTCAAAAAATAGTTTGAATTATAGATTTGGTTAGTAAGTGTTGGAATCCAGTTTGGTAATAAGCAGCAAGAAGCAATAACAATGGTGTTTTTTTGCAGTTGCAGGAGTACCAAAAGGAAGTGCAGCTTACAATCTTCAAAGGAACCTCAATGCTGGAGAAGAAAGTACCAAAGACGAGTTGTTTATCAGAATCAACAACTCTCATCTGATCTGATATCTTGAAAAGATTGGTCTGGGATTTTTTTTGGTGTTTGGGATCTTTCCTCTTCTTTGTTTTTGTTTTCTAGAAGATGGAGCAGTTTTTTGGGGTATATTTTTTTTTTTGTAATATTTGGTTCTTTTTTTGAATATAGATTGTAGGTTTACAAAGGATGAGTCCCCAGAACAGTTCCATGGTTTGTATAGAGACCAAAGAGAAGAATAAAACAGATAAATAGAAACAGATATATAAACATGTTCGTGGGATTATTAGCTGACCTGTTAACCAGAAAAAAAAATCATTTCGTATTATTTTTCTTTCGAAACGTTTGTGGAAATGTTATGATTTGGATGGTGTTGCTACTCTCTCTTATGGAACAATCGAAAAACTTCAAACTCTGTTTGAAACAATCTTCATTCCAGTTACATATATGATATATCACATATGTTCATCTTTGTTAACTAATATGTGAAACAGAGGAAACGTCGACGTTTTGATTGATTAAAAAGAAATGTGTGTGTTTTATTTAGTTAAACCTTTAATGCCAAATCCTTGTCTCACTTGCTAGTTGATACGATGGCGTTCTCTTCCAGCTTTCGCCGTCTCTTTGCCGGAGCCAACAGCCTCTCGTCTTCTCCATCCTCCTGCGTTCGCCACTGCTCAACTCTTACGTCTCCCAGACTCTTCGTTAGCGGTATTTTCTTTCTTTGAATTGTCTTTAGTTTTAGTCAGAAATTAATTTCAGCGTTTTTGGGTGTTGTGGTATAGATGATGTCGATATGAAAGCTAGGGATGATTCTAGCCATGTTCCCTTATAGATGATAAATGTTTGTTTATGTGGATCAGTGTGGAACATTTTGAGAAATGATCATTCTCCTACTTCTTCAGTGTTAAGTAAAAATGAGAAGGGTATATAAAATGGACATTAGTGTGAAAGGGTCTTTGACCATTAGGTAAAGTGAGAAACTTTTGGCTTAGGGAGGGATTAGGATCATTGATCTTATCAATCAGATTCATCTTGTGTTTGGAATCAACATGAAGGTTGAGATCTACATGCCAATTTTCCATTTTTCTGATAAAATGAATTTAGTGGTTAGTGAGGCTCTGGGAGGCTTGTGGTGAGTGTGCTAATCGTCTTTGATATGGAACTCATATGGATGTTCTGAGTTATGAAATGCATCTAGGACCGTATTTTGTTTGCTTTGTTAGACTGTTTTAGGCCTGAAGATAAAGAGTGTTCTCATTACATGTACTCTTGTATCTTTGGTGTGCCTTGAATAGGTCTGTCCAGATTAACAACAAATGAAAAGCTTCAGGATGCATTTGCTTCTTTTGGGGAGCTCGTGGATGGTAATGCTACTCTCTCTCCTTATTCCCATCATATCTCAACATATAGAGCCTCAACTCATAGATTTTGTTTCGCTGTTGCAGCGAGGGTGATCACAGACAGAGAAACAGGGAGATCAAAGGGTTTCGGTTTTGTGACATATGCAACAATAGAAGATGCAGAGAAAGCCAAGAAAGGAATGAATGCAAAGTTCTTGGATGGTTGGGTGATCTTTGTGGATCCTGCAAGACCTAGAGAACCAAGACGGCCTCAGCAGGAAACTCCTCAATCTTATTCTGGATCTGGTTACACAACCAACAAAACAATCGGCTGGTGTAAATGAACAAAACCCAACTACTTATGTATGAAATAAAATTGGATTCTTGGAGCCATTCATCTATTTGGAGGCAAAAGGCATATCCTTTGGATCTTAAGTTTTATGTTTTCGAGATATCTATCTATCTATCATATGATGCAATATCAGGTTACAAAAACTGAAATCCTAACAACAAATGATTCTCGCTTCACTTTTAAACTATCATTACAAACGCAGAATCACTAAAAGCTGGATGGCAAGACAGAAGATGTTTATACAAATCAAAGATTTGAAAAGGATAATGATTGACACAATATAATCCAAGTAGAAAAGTCTAAAACGAAACGTTTTAATTTCTCACAGCCTCCCTCCGTCCCTCTGCCAAGGTGACTCTCCCCGTCCCTGTCACTGTGACTTTCCTAAAAAGAAAGGTTTCGATTTTCAGACAACAGTACAAACATAAGTACAATGTCAATGTGACAGGGATTCTCGATCCTTATTAGTCATTAATTTCTATCGTTTATGCAATTTGGTTTTGGTTTAATTTACAATTGATCCCGATTCAATGTTTAGGCTTTTATAAACCGGTTTAATTATTGAGGGTTTGTGTTTGAGAACACTCTATAGTCTATACTGTATTTTATGTACGGCCTGCAGCCGAAGCTAATTAGAAAAAAAAAAAAAAACATCACTCTTCGTTAATAAACTCTCGTTCGAGCTCAACGAACCCAAGATCTTCGAGGTGATTTCTCACCCCTTTGATAATCTTACTTCGAGTTCACATAGAATTTCTAGTTTGGGACTTATCATTAAGTTTTCCTTGTCTCATACAATTAATCAATCTGCAGCTTCCTCCTGATTTGGTGATTGTTCTTAAACAATGCATTCTTGTTCTCATACTCATTTCGCATCCTTCAAGCTTCCTCACTTCTTTGCGCCTAAGGTCACTTCTCTCATTCTTCCTCTATTTTGTGTGTTTGCTTTTTTCGCCAATTGAGAAGAAAAATTTTAAAACTTTGGGATTTTTTTTTAAGAGTTTTGTGGCGTCTTCACGGAGAGAATTGAGAGTGTTCGCAGTGGCAACAAGCGTGGAGGAGGCGTCTAGTAACATACCAGCGGCTCCAATCTCTTTACCTGAAGGGTCATGGAAACAGGTTTGACTTTGCATCATAAATTAGTAATCTTTCTGAGGAGTTGCTTCAAAAGTTTTGAAAATATTGAGAATATTGTTGTTGTTTAGATAGCTGGTGGAGTTACAGCTGCTAAAGGATTCAAGGCTGCTGGTATGTATGCTGGATTACGAGCTGCAGGGAAGAAACCTGATCTTGCTCTTGTAACTTGTGATGTTGATGCTGTAGCTGCAGGTACAATGCTAGCCTTTTTTTTTTGATCCTTGATAAGTGTGTTTATTCAGAGGCAAAATGTTTCTGACTTGTTCTTTTGAGAATTTTTTAGGGGTGTTTACTTTGAATGTGGTTGCTGCTGCTCCTGTAGTTTACTGCAAAAAGGTTCTTGAGACTTCAAAAACGGTAATCCTCTAACTTATCATTCCGGATTTAGGATCTCGAACCAAAGCATTTTGTGCTTCTGAGCTTTGAATCAGTAAATTTTGAAACCTTTCAGGCGCGAGCAGTGTTGATCAATGCCGGTCAGGCCAATGCAGCTACGGTAAGATTCCTTAGATGGAGTCCTATGCTTTTCAATAAGTTGAGATCTGGAGTTATGTGTTAAGAGTTCATTAATATGATTGTGAAGTAGCCTGAAATATATATGGTTGTTAGCTATGCATCACTCATTATTGTTATACTTAATTAAGGATTAAGTTCATTCATTTTTCAGGGTGATGCCGGTTACCAAGATATGTTAGATTGTGTTGGTTCTCTTGCCACGGTATGCCTTGGTGTCTTTCATTCCCGAGTCTTGCGCAAACCTCATGTCGTTCGACATTGTTACCGTTTGTTTCTTTATTGCTGCAGCTACTTAAAGTGAATCCAGATGAAGTGTTAATCGAGTCAACTGGGGTTATTGGTCAGAGGATTAAAAAGGTATAAACCTCTTTCTCATTAAATCTTTGCAGGAAGAGTTTCTTCACCATATTTCTCATTCTTCTTCAGTATAACTGATCCGATTAATATTAATCTTTTTTTTTGTGCGTGCAGAAAGAGCTTCTCCAATCACTTCCAACCCTAGTCAACTCCATATCAGACTCTGTTGAAGAGTATAATCTTCTTTTCTCAATCTCTCTCTGAGTTTGTGTAAATGGCACAACAATCTTCAATTTCTTTAGTAGCCATTGGACATAACCATATGAATTTGATATACAGGGCAGATTCTGCTGCTGTAGCAATCACGACAACGGATCTTGTGAGCAAGAGCGTGGCAGTTGAATCACAGGTAGGTTCAAGAAACACCTTTGTACTCTATTTCTGGCATTTAATGTATCTTACAAAAATTTGAAATTGCTCAGGTCGGTGGAACCACAATTAGAGTTGGGGGTATGGCAAAAGGCTCCGGGATGATCCATCCAAATATGGCTACTATGTTAGGTGTATGTCCTTTATTACTCTTTGTTTTAGGCGCTTATACGTTTAGTCATACATTGTTTTAAATGATGCCAAATCGATATCTATCTTTCTCAGGTCATCACAACGGATGCTCTAGTTGAAAGTGATATCTGGAGAAAGATGGTAAAGGTTGCAGTAAACCGAAGCTTCAACCAGATCACTGTAGGTTACACAATTTTAAACATTGTTGTAATTTGATTCATTTCATTTCCAAGTTCTGATCAAATAAACTCATGGTCTTATAGGTAGATGGCGACACGAGTACTAATGACACAGTCATTGCATTGGCGAGTGGGCTATCTGGATCACCTTCTATATCTTCTTTGAATTCTAATGAAGCTGTGCAGCTTCAGGCATGCCTTGATGCGGTATGTATGTGTGTTTTGCTATCTTCGTAACAGTTGTTCATGAGCTGGACTTAACATGGAATTCTTAAAAACATATATTTTTCAGGTGATGCAAGGTCTCGCCAAATCAATAGCTTGGGATGGTGAAGGCGCAACATGTCTCATCGAGGTTCACAAAATAATTTTTTTTTTCTCCCAATCCTCTGATTAGAAGCAAACCTTAACAAATAACACAAAAATCACCAGGTAACTGTAAAAGGAACAGAAACTGAAGCAGAGGCAGGGAAAATTGCACGCTCGGTGGCTTCTTCTTCACTGGTCAAAGTATGAGATGAGAATTAGAATAGACGTACATGAATGATCAAAGTGAGCATTCTTGTTTCTAAATTAGTACTAAACGTCTGTTGTTGCTGGTGTAACAGGCAGCTGTTTATGGGAGAGATCCAAACTGGGGACGGATAGCTGCAGCTGCTGGCTATGCTGGGGTTTCTTTCCAAATGGATAAGCTGAAGATATCGCTCGGCGAGTTCTCACTCATGAAGAGTGGCCAACCTCTCCCTTTTGATAGGTTTATCTTACAACTGATTTGTCTCTCAATGGGAAAATGAAGTTAGATCATGTCCTTATACACAAATGCATATAACAGGGATGGAGCCAGTGACTACCTCAAGAAAAAGGGCGAGGTTCATGGAACGGTTACGATAGATATATCCGTAGGTAAGAGTCTTTTGACTAGCCCTGTTAAATAAACGATGTACTGTGGACCTGAGTGCGGGTTTTGTCCGGTGAACAGGTGAAGGTGCAGCCATGGGAAAGGCATGGGGATGCGATCTTAGCTATGATTATGTCAAGATCAATGCTGAGTACACATCCTAGGACTGAGACCAGGAGACAGTTTCATGTACTGTTGTTGTGTTATGATCTTAATTTTATAAACTGATTTTATTGAGTTCCATTGAGTTATTCACATAAGTGAAATTATATCGCAAAAATTGAAAAAAAAAAACAGAAACAAACTCCAATAAAATTTTCACAATAGTGTCAAGGGATCCGTAATTTCGTTTTGTACTTTTTCAAAACATTAGGAAATGTATTTGTTAGGGATGAATTGAATACACAGAAGTTGGTAAAGCAAATTTTGATTATCATCCATTTGGATTTCCTTATTTGCATGATATAATTTGGATTTCTCAATAGTAATTAGTAAGTAACACTATTCCACTTCTTTATAGTGTCTTCCTTTTAAAAGGAAACTAAATCCGGAGAAGAAGAACAAAAAGAGAAGCAACAAACCATACAATAGTGTTGAGGATCATCTATTACACATAAGAAAAGTTATGAAACTCAACGAGAAACACACACAAAGATTTGATTAATATATTAGACAAGAGGTGGCCAAAGCTCATAGATGTGATGAAAGATGTGCTTGGTTATTAGTAGCAAATGCCATTCAAGAAGATGCTGCAACTATAGGCATCTGAGTTATCCATTCAAATTTCTCGCAGCTGTGTTTGCGAGAAGAAGCTTTCTTCTTGTCTTTGCTGCTGCCCCCACGCGAGGAAGAGTTGTCTTTGCCCTTCTGTCCTTTCTTTCCGGTCTTCCTGTGGTTGTCTTTGCTCTTGGTTTTCTGCTGCTGTTTCTTGTTTCTTGTGTGGGAGGCTATCGAGGGAGGAGGATCATACACATCAGCCGCCCATGAAATATTCGACTTCCTCAGTGACAAGCCATGCTTCTCTCGACTACCTTTTATCGCTGGGATGAGAACAGCTGTTGTCTGTTGCAATTCAGGAAACAGGTGAGAAACAACCAGCATAGAGCAGGGGAATAACGCAGCCTTGGCTTGAGAGATATGAAAAGGTTCTAACTGACAAGAGCCTATTTGCAATAACTCCTAAACTCTTACTAAAGTACAAACTACGGAACTCCAGAAACACTAATTTCTTGAATCAATTTTTCTCCATGCTTAAGCTATATATACTCTTGCAGACTACTTCTTTCGAAAACTCTCTGGACTGGTTCAAGAAAACCAACCACTCATACGAAATATTAATGAACCACTAACCATGTGATCTTTAAAGATGCAAAAACTGGTACAGTACCTTGGTAAACAGCAAAATCTAAGAACTAAAGTAGATAGTTAGACAGAATCCTGAGTAACACAGGCTGACTTACAGTCGTAAGGTTCTCATCCTTGTCTTCATCATTGGAAGATTTAGGACTTAAAGTGGATTTGCTGAAATCCTTATCATCAGTAGTTTCTTCATTCACAGTTTGGTCAATATAACCAGTTTCATCTCCATCAGACTCTTGAGAATCTTCAGATCCAGTAAAGGAGGTATGCTTCGAGCCTTTAGAACATTGTGTGGGACTCAAAGCCGAGATCTCATAGTCTGCATCTTCAAAATCCAACTTACCACAAACAGAGCTCATATCCAAACTAAAAGCACAAGATATCACAACTGCACAAAAAAATTCAAAGTTATCATCAGTAATTGAATGATCTTTAGAACACACAAAGGAAACAAAAGCAGAAGATAGTCACATTAGTTGCACAAACAGATTCAAAGTTCTTATAAGTAAATGATCTTTAAGAGCACACATAGTAAACAAAGAGTCATTCTTAAATTCCATCCACTCTACTTGTATGGATATAGAAGCTCATGAATTTGACCCTAATCTATGTGATTAAAATCATGAAACAAAAAACCCCAAATTAAACTAAACATTAAAGTATCCACAAGTCAAAGAGACCAAAAAATTTCACCTTTTTGGGTTGCAAATCGAGCACCGCCAAAAAATGAAGACACCAGAGATGGATCAAAGATTGTGTAGCTAGGGGAATCTCAATAACCAAAGGAGAAGAAGAGAGGGGAAATGGTAATAAAAGAAAGGAGAGCAGAGAGAGGAGAAGGGATCGAAATGTTAACTAAGATTACCACGCCAATCACACTTTTCAAGAGGTTTCAAACGATTAGAACTCAAACCAGAATGATGAGGAGTCAACGAAGGAACCAAAGAGAGGAGAAGGAGAACAAGTAGCTTAGAGGGCACCGAAGGCATTATTATCTTATGCTCTTCGAAACCCTAGAACCAGAAACAACCCTAATTCTCGAATTTCGAATCCAAGCAATCTTCAGAGATCTCTGAAAACTTTGATTCAGAAAACACCCAGAAAAGAGAAAGATATACAGAAAAAAACGAAGCCGCCAAAAGCTCTTAAAATTGGATCATGGAAAGAAAAAAACCCAAAGAATCAAGGAGAAGAATTATGAATATCCACAAGGAATCTCAGGCGTGAGGAGGAAGATAAAAAGGAAAAAAGCTAATTTGAGATGATGAAGAAGAAGAAGAAGACGAAGAAATGAGAATAATAGATGACTGATGACGTTTTTTAAACAAGAATAAATCAACGGTGATAGATGTGGCGGCCTTACCTATAGATAGATTCATGACTGTACACGTGTCCCTCTTACCTTTCTTTGAAAGACTTTTCTTTATGGGCCTAGATATTTTTATTTTGGGTCTAACGGGCTAAAAATAATAAATTTGCTATTCAAAGAAATAAACTACACCAAACAAACAAAACTACGTACCTAATTATTAGGTGGTCTCTCATGTCATGATTTAACGGCCTATTGGTAGATATGAGGGACGATATAGAATCCCCATAACAAGTTTGATGAGAATTGATAACGAATCAAAACTAAAGGTCTTTATAAATCATATCCACAACTTAGATAGATAGTGTTTACTGTTTAGTTTTGCAAACATTGTGTAGTGAAACCACCAGTGTACTATATAAATTCTCTACTTGGGAGATCTATCATCTATGTGATACATATTCTCTACTTGAGTGATCTATGTGTTTAGTTTTGCCAATATTGAGTATCAAAGAACTCTTGCAAACAGGAAAATAACTTTAAAATCCATTTGTAACAGATATTTTAATCCCCACAGCAAAGTAGTTTCAGTATCAGTTTCTTTTATTTGTCATCCTACATCTCTCTCCTTTTGGAGGAAACTTTAACGGATGTACATGAAAGTAATAATTTTATATCGGTTGCTCAAGACTATAAAAAATGGCAAGATGGCCATTGCTTTTACTTACACATATAAGCCTAAACTTTTCAATCTAATTTACTTTGATGAAAAAGAAGCAATTGTTTTATTAAAGTATATACCATAACTTAAGCCTATAAATTAATATTTCTATAAATAATATATATTTTTCGGTCTCAAATTTGTTTTGCGGCTTAATTTATACATTGATAAATTAATAACATCGGATCTATGATTTTATAGCGGGTTTATTGTAGTAGACTAAACTATACTGTTTTGTACATCATCTCGATAGACAAAACGGATCTATGATACGAATAGAAAGATCCAACGGTTTAGATTTATTTGCACTCCCTCTATGTGAATCTCCGATTTAACGGATTGCTGATGTGCTCCTCCAAGTAGATACTGTATATGGCATTCGATTTCTAGATTTCAATTGGGGTTGACAATATTGATTTCAAGATTATGGAACATCGAGCTGAAATGACAAGAGAATGAAGCTGCAAATTGGGATAAATTCACAACATGTTTGTTTCCAAGATATTCTCTTTTGCTTTTTATTATGTTTTGCTGTTTTTTTTGTGAATGTATTCCTTCTTTCTTTATCATGGTGGGAATCTAGAAAATATCACTTAAGTGGTTTGATCTTATTGCAGCATACTTAAGGGGGGAATCATGAGGCATTTTACAGATAAAATCATCTTTCAATAGTAGATATATTATCTTATAGTACTCTTAAATCACATTTTGATTGAGTTCGATTTCAGTTTATTAATCTACCAAGTATGATTAGACACCAGGAATCAGATCCCAAGCACACTTATATGACACTGTCAACAAGATTCTAGTGGGGAACAACCGAACAAGGCTGGTTTGATTACAAGCATAATAAGAGTATATATCTGATCTCTACCTTCTCCCTCCATTGTGTAATATTTTTAACTTTCCTCCTTATTTTTCACGTGATTTTTGTTTTTATTTTTTTTGTAAGCAGTCCCTTCGTGTGTCCTCTCCAGGCTGCGCCAAACTCCAAGGGCCAAGTTCTTACAGGTGAATATGGAATCAAGTGTAGTATACTGTATAGGAACACTAACACGAACACTGTTTTCCGTAAGTTACTTATATGTGTTGTCCGATAGAAAGCTAAAATACTCTGTTTCCATGGATTAATTTGAGGAACCTGAGCAAATATTAGTCCATACATTACCCTAATCATAAATTCATATACCTAGCTATAGATACATTGTAGATTCCCAACATCAGTATATATACATTGTCGTGTATGATGAGTGTTTTGATCGCAACACGACCTACTATCTCTTCTATCTTGAATTTTCAGGCACAAACTATCAGCATGTTGCAGTTCTTAGAAGTTAGAACGTTAAAGGTAAATTGGTAAGGAGATGAAACAAAGGCATGCATGCACCATATGTCTTTGTTTATCTATGGTATGGTGCTTAATGCTGATGCAGTGCTTTAGTTGCGTCCCTAATGTTCATGGCTAGTGACCGACACATATCTTCATCTCCTTATGTTTTCTAAACCATACCTAATGATTCAAAAGCAATTAAAGAGAGAGAAAAAGAAAACATAAGTTAGGATTGTTTCAACTTCTTTCGGTATGTGATTGGAAATTATTTGCACGTCTTCAGATATGTAAAATGGTTTGCTTTTGCTTTTTTTTTTTTGTTTTTTTGTTTTTTTTTTGTCACAATGGCAATGCTTATTGTCTGTCTACTTGTATTGTTCCTAGATCAAGACTTATTTGGATCTTATTGTATAGCTTTCACTCCTAATTCTTCTTTATTTTTAGTGATTCCTTGCATAAACATTAATAAAGCAAACCAAATCCAAATGAGCATAATTTGCTTTCAAACAATAATATCCATTTTCCATTTTTATTCTGGTTTATCATCAAGAATTCAGCACGAATAAAAGTTTTAATGAGATATGATTCATATGAATGAGCTACTCTCATGATTGGGTGTCACAACATAATCTATGAAGAATCTCTTGTGTCATGATAAAACTTGTAATTATCTATTAGAAAAAATGGGGATTATGGGGTTTGTGATTATAGAATAATAGAGATAGGTCAAGGAAGTTAAATCTGATGAAGAACGCACCCAAGAAATAAAGCTGCAAGTGGGTGATAAGACTTGATGTCTGAGTCGACTTACACCATTTTTGCATTTTGAGACAGATACTCTTACAAAGTAATTATGTTCCCACCAATCACCAACTACTTCACTTAGATTTGTTCTCCATAATCTTTACACACATCTTCTTCTTGTTCTTCTTCTTTTTTTTTTTTTAATTAGTAATTATTGCTCTTTTTCTATCTACATCTTTTTATTTAGTAACTTCATTTCTTTCTTTTAGATTATAGTATTAACACTCACTCAGAACAACTCTTAAAGTCTTATCTACATACTCTAACCAACCAGTAATGCAACGACGTTATGCTGTAGGACTTAACTTTTTGGACGTTTGATTGCGTGACTGTGCTGTGTGCATAAGCTTAAGCTCAGACTATATGATTTTTGTATAGGCCTCGCAACAAGATTTAATTTTCAGATGGATAATTAATGATACTGATGAGAGATTTGTATTGAAAAATATCGTTTACATACCTTTAGGCTTCATATATCTTTTCTAGCATAGGTGAGATTCCTAACAATTAATTTGTGAGAATATATATATAGATTATGTAAAGAAAAAGGAGTAGTACATAAATCCCCTGAGTATGTTTCAGTTTTCAAATAAAGTTATGAGTAGGGAGAGTATGATGAATTATTGTAGAGGTACGTATCACTAATTAAAAATTCCATACCTAAAGAAAAAGGCTAATAAAAGAAAAACAGGTTAATGAAAAAGGTAATTCTAATCGTTACAATCGCACTTGTCATGACCACAATTAGAGAGTATTATCTTCTATTTTTTTTCTAATAACACCATACATATAGAATTATAGATGGTCACACTAAAAAGCATCCCCCCCATAAACAATAATACTCAAATTATTCTTAATTCCTAATATAAATAATATTGATCTATACGATTATAGTATTAAACTAGGCACTTGTATATATCATATAAAATTATGTAGATATTTAACAGTGAGACTAGAAGTATCGCAATAATGTTGGTTAGTTTTATGAGTTTTCCATTAATGTTGGGAGTAAGAGAACTATAACGTATCTTAAGAAAGATCGAAGATCTACGAGCAAATCCATCTTCTTATTTCTACGAACAATACTAATATAACTCCACTAGATAGATGTTCATAAACATATGTATTGAAAGTTGAAACTAAAGAACATTAAATCTCATAATAATTATTATATATATAGCTTCTGATAAAGAAAGTATTAAAAGGAAAGACAATGCCCATATGTATTAAAATGAGGACCGCCCAAAGCATTAGCATACACAATAATGCGAGAGAAAAAGCATTAGTAGGGCAATAATGGGAGAGAAAGCATTACATAACAAGTTAAAACAAGAAAAGGAGCAATTGGGAGAAAAAATAAAAACATGATCAGAAGAAGACGATCATTGTCTTTCTTTTCGTTTTTGTATCTTTGACCATATATATGAAATTAATGGAGATCCCATTCTCTTCACCTTTTACTTTCGAGGTTTACATATTTTCCATAAGGAGCTTTCAAAGCAGTCTTAAATATGCGGTTTCGCATCGTTTGCCCACATACATATCTAGCTAGTAGATATTATGGGTCATCCAAAGGTTGGCCCGCAAGAAAAGACAGACATTATATTGTAGAGCCGTATGTACAATCCTATATTACGACGTTTTTATGTAAAATTTATTGCTTTATTTGAGTCTTTTTTTGGCTTAATGTCAGTTATTAGTTTTTTTTTTCATAAGTAGGAGGTTAATTAAAATCCCTAATGTATATAGGTGACCAAACTTATGTTCTCACGATCTCATATATAACCAATAAATATGCAAACCTATGTATAGTATAGAGATATCAGTAGTTTTTTTTCTAAAGGTTCTCTATATGAACGTTTCATCCTTCATAGTTCTATAACGAAAGTGCGAAAAGATCTTATACAAAGTTCATCTGAAAATTTTTTAAACCGTATATCTATATATATGGAATTACAGTAGCTATATGGTTAGAATTGGAGAGACGACGTTAATGAAAATCATACCTTACCTTTAATAATAGCGATCAAGAAATGTTTTTATTAAATCATGACTGCAATTTATTTCATTCCCAATCTCTTATCTTTTTGTATTTTTTTAAGATCGGTGCACCACACGGAATCTTTCTTTTTTGTTAGCCTAAAAGGGAAAGAAGATATATATTAAGAATCCCCGTGTTATTTTGCACTTCTCTTATTGGTTATTACAAAGCATGTTTAAGGATTTGGTCAAATTTAAATTATAATCTTAATACTATATGTGTTATGTCTATATATAAGATTTTTTTTCTTTTTTCCATAACCATATGTCATATATATATAATCATTATGCATGCTGCATCTGTGACTTGACTCAACTTCGAATGAGTCTTCCATATCAAGAAAAACTGTACCCAGCGAAGTAATGTTGTTTCTTGACCATTTTTTCTTCCATGTTATGTTTTGTTTTAAATTTTCGTTCTGATTAAAAATTATGTCTCAACAGACACATGTATTCTCTTCCTATAAACTAGCTAATTTTTATATCTTCTTGTTATTTCTCTATTGCCACTTGTAAATGGACATATATTTATCTAATAATCATGAAAATTAAATCAAAAGGGAATTTTTTTGGGGTTAATGCGTAGTAGCTAAAGCTCCACCACATGTACGTATACCAAAAACAAAAAGAAAGTGAAAAGAAAACAAATGTTAGAGAAAGAAGTTTCAAATATATAACTGCCTCAATGAAAATTACGACATGTGAATATTTAAATTAGGTTAAAAAAAAAATTATAACTGCAGTCTACAAATCTAATACCAGAACATGCACGCCTTTTAAGATTCCATCATCAAAAATATAATTTATTTTAGATCATATTACTTAATATAGCACATAAATTAAGCTCACGTACGTATTATAAAAAATTCTACAAGATTATCATTAATTATTAGCCCACGTACTGCAGCTTCTTGTCAACCAACTTTAAGTTTGATATACGTCTAATATCGTGAATATTTCATACCTGCCAAAGTTCAGAATAATGAATCAAAAACGCCCTTACAGAACCAATCTTCTTTAAAAAAACAAAAAACAAAATTATATGTAAGAAATTAAAATAATGAAAGTGATTCCACCAGAAACTAAGTGGAAAACTGGAAACAGTGCAAATGACCCAAAAATTTGGCGATTATACGCACTTACATCAATAAATATTCCATGAACTAAAATAAATTAGAAAATAGCTTCATAAAAAGGAAAAAAAAAAGCAACAAAAAAAATATGTAACCAATGATCACTCTACCCAACAGTGTCGGTATATTGTGACTCATTGATCATTTACTTAGTTAATACTTTATACTAGAAAGAACTCGATGCAACAACACCTATACCTCTCCTGCTGGAATTAGGCGATCATACATCTATGGAACATTAATAAATGTGCTTAGAACATATATAATTTCTATGTTATATACTTCGACAACTATAATAATAACATCAAGAAAATGCATGAATCGATCAATTATGCGAATCCGCAGAACCATATTGTTTAATTAGTTACATTTTTAATATCTTTTTGTGTGGTTTTAGTTGATAATGCAGCAAAAAATACGGCCCATAATTTAAGAGTGGGGATTGGACAACTTTCTGAAATTGTATAACCAAAAAAAAATAAATCACACATTACTTTTATAATATAATATTTACACTAAACATAGACGTATAAGTTTCCGTAGGGAGAAGAATGTTCACATCACATCCTTTTATCTTTTGGCTCTATATAAAGAGAGAAAGAACCAACGACAATCATACCAACTCATTCATCAGTTCATAAAAAAATCTCTCCATATATCTCCTTTGCGACTACTTTGAATTACATCCAAATTAGATTCTTCATCTTAATTAAGCTATTAAGATGGAGGAAGTAAAGAAGAGGGATTGTATGGAGAAGGCAAGACCATTCATTTCGATGGTGGTGTTGCAAGTAGGACTAGCGGGAATGGATATTCTCTCAAAGGCTGTCCTAAACAAAGGCATGAGCAATTACGTCCTTGTTGTTTACCGTCATGCTGTTGCTACCGTCGTTATGGCTCCCTTCGCCTTCTACTTCGACAAGTACTATTCTCTATCTTCCCTTCTATTTAGATCAACATCATATATTTGACAGCATGGTTCAATGTTTTGTTTGAGCCATTATATCAAAATATCATCTACACAAACACTATATACAGTATATTCTTTTACGTTTTGTGTTTGTATTTGTGTCTATTTGAAGAAGAGAAAAAATGTAGAATATTATTGGGACTAGCTCATCTTAATTAAATAGTTCATACCAAAATATATTGAGTGGTATCAGGACCATGATAGTTACAGGATATCAATGTTTGAACATTGTTAGAAACAGAGTTTGCAATAGAAAATCTTTTAGGCTACCTTGGTGTTCCTATGTGGTGATATCTATGATCATGAAAAGATGGAAATGCAAACACAGACGCAAAGAAACACTTGTGGTCATATTCCACTAAGGAAATTTTATATTAAAACATGCATGTATGATCATGAATACATAAATTTGTATATACATATTTTTTTTGTAATGGTTGGTGGTGACTGGTTGCTTGGACGTTTGGTGTGTTGGAAGGATGAATGAAAGTAGCAAAAAAAGATAGAATGAGGCTTTTTGACGTAATATGATGATAAGAAGTGATCACTCATATGTTAAAAGACAAAAGACTTGTAACCGTTCTGTATTTGTTTTTTTTTGTGGCTTCTGTCATTGTCATGCAATGAATGTGAGACTCCTTACAACTTTTTTAGTGTTTCTATTTTCAAAAAGACAATACTTAATTCACCATTAAGTGCTTAATCTAAAAGTGGGTATGCTGATGATCAGTAATCATGACTTTATATTTGTAATCTAGTAATTTCTACACAATCTAGGAACCAAATTGAAATGATACCAAGCTTATACCATATTCTAATCAATTTTTCAGTTTTCTGATTAAATGTGTTCTTAATTTCATTGGTTATGAATGAAAACAGGAAGGTGAGACCAAAGATGACACTGATGATATTCTTCAAGATTTCACTCCTTGGTTTACTCGAGTAATACTTTATATTTCTTCATTTTATTCTCTTTTTTTTTGTTCTGTTTTTGTTAACTTGATCTAATAAACAAATTTCATGTATTTTGCAATAAATAGGCCAGTGATCGATCAGAACTTATACTATCTAGGGATGAAATACACTACGGCTACATTTGCGACCGCCATGTACAACGTCCTACCCGCAATCACTTTTGTCCTAGCCTATATATTCGGGCTCGAAAGAGTGAAGCTACGGTGCATCAGGAGCGCGGGTAAGGTGATTGGGACCTTGGCTACAGTTGGAGGAGCCATGATCATGACACTTGTTAAAGGCCCGGTTCTTGATCTCTTCTGGACCAAAGGAATCTCTTCAAAAAACACAGCCGGGACTGATATTCACAGCGCCATCAAAGGAGCAGTATTGGTCACAATTGGTTGTTTTAGCTATGCTTGTTTCATGATTCTTCAAGTAAGCTAAATTTTCTCTACATACAAAAAAAAATATAGCTATTGGTTGATTTTGACAATGAAATAATGTTTTCAGGCGGTCACACTGAGAACTTACCCGGCCGAGCTTTCTCTCACAGCATGGATATGCCTAATGGGGACACTAGAAGGAACGGTCGTGGCATTAGTGATGGAGAAAGGGAATCCTAGTGCTTGGGCCATTGGTTGGGATACTAAACTTCTTACCTCCACCTATAGTGTAAGATTCATTCATACATATTCCATTAAGCCAATGAATCATCATTAAGTACTAATAAAATATAAAAAATTGTTGGATCAAAACTTACACTATTTTGTAAACTGTGTACAGGGGATAGTATGCTCAGCATTGGCTTACTATGTTGGAGGAGTGGTGATGAAAACTAGAGGTCCTGTATTTGTAACAGCTTTTAGTCCTCTATGTATGATCATAGTGGCTATTATGTCGACCATCATCTTTGCAGAGCAGATGTATCTAGGAAGGTAAGCAAATCATCACTTAACATCAAACATGAGCTTTATACTTAAAATATCAAAATCAGAATGATTGTAATGAAAATATATTGTTCTTTTGACAGGGTTCTTGGTGCGGTTGTTATATGTGGAGGGTTATACCTTGTGATATGGGGAAAAGGCAAAGATTACAAATATCAAACCACACCGCTAACAAATGATGAATCAACACAACCAAAGCTACAACTAAGCGGAATTGAGAAGGATAATACTGATCATGAAGTCATTACAATCAACAAGGAAGGAGAACAAAGAAGAACAATTGTAGATTCAGTCTAACTCAACGACACAAATATTTTCATGGAGGAGTCAGAACGTATAACAATTTCACTAGTTTCCACTATATATGTATCAGAGAAACTGAAGAAAAGAAATTGCTAACTACCATGGAGGGAAAGAAAAAAAAAACACTGTCCAAGCCGAATAGAGTGCAAAATTTATATATGATAAAACTATGTGATTCATGCAGTTCTATACAATGAATATGGTAACTGAATTACCAATACATTAGAAATTTCTTGACAATGAAGTTGCCATTCTCTTGAAAGTGAACTTCGTTTCAACCTCCTTTGTGCTTCAATGCTTTATTTAAAAAAAAAATAGTAATGGCAAAATTCTACCACATGGAAAAACACTCATACAATTACCATTTTCTAGAGGATTTAGATATAACTTAAGAGCAAAACAGAGCATACTCTCAGTGAGATGTGTGATGATGCCCACACCATATATTTGCTAGTATATGTCCTCAAAATATGCCCTAAACGAAGGCATGACAGCTTACTTCTTTGCCCTCTGCAATCACAGCGTTACTACCATAGACGTTAGCAACTCCCAGACAGTAGACGTCAAGAACGTAAATACTCATTCTTTCATCGAGGGCAGCTTTTGTGAGGATGTGATCCATTCCTTAATAGCCTAACTTGAACGATACTAAATCTTGAGTTGATAATACATGATGCTATTATTAAGTTATAGAGAGAGGTTCGAGTGATTTGGGGTTTTCATGTTTGGGTCTATTATTAAGTGTGTCTAAATACCGGAAAACAGTAAAATAATATAGCTAGATTTTGCATCTCAACTGTTATAAACAAAAGCCTTTATATAAATCCACTTACTTTATAAACAAAGTTCAAATACTAATCTCCACAATTCGATCTAACCCAAAACTTAGCTAATAGAGGGGAAACAAGGAAAAAAAAGGTTAACCCAATATTAAAATAATTTAAACAATCTTGCTTTTACCAAATTCGAAAGCTCCACTGTCCAATCCTAGGAATCCATGTGTCATCTCTTCTTTGTCAACATGAAAACATCCAAAAAGAAATAGAAAAACAAGAAAGAAAAAAAACAAAAGTAAATTAGCTAGGAAGCAGACGATATAAGTCTAGGTTGTGAATCTATACAACTCTGTGCACGCGTGAGCAACAAGATCTCTTCAGCTTGGACTTTCCCGTGGCACGTATAAGGCAATACCGGGTTTGCTCTATGGTTTTGATTAATCGGTTTAGTTTTCCGGTTCGATTGATTCTGAGTCAAGTCAATATGTACCGAAAATAAAGATAGAACCGGTCTGTGGTCCGAGAATCTTGACTCTCCCCTCACGTACCAAAGCTGTTTCATCCCATCACCTTTCCACAATATCCTATCACACCTGAAAATAAAAATGATTTTGAAAACAACGTTAGAAAAATAAAAGTTTAATATATAAAATATTTAGTGCATGTTAATTTATCTTACCAAGCTGGAGTTCTTCGCTTTTCCTTTGATTTTTCGGTCTGGACAACGTAATTATCAGAGTTTATTTGATATTTATACGTTGGTGCGAAGTAAATCTTGCCTTCTTCCCATCCCTTGAAAACTCTACCAGCTCTTTGTTCTATCTTTAGCTGCAAAGAGAAAAGAAAAATACATGTTTTAGTTTATGCACTCTTAAATAAATAGCTAATAATTAATTTTAAATAAAAAAATTTTGTATACCTGATCTTTTTCTAGAAGTGATTCCCAATCATGGTTTCTAAGCTGTTCATGTACGTCACCGCTCGCTCTTAGTCGATAATTCAAATCTCCGAGCCATATTACTTTACTGTAACACAACCACATAGCAAACGATTAATAAATGAAACTACAACATTTAAAAAAACAAAAAAAAAAACTGTTAGGCAAACATTTTTCGTAGACTTACTCATGGTCCATTATTGTCTCGGGTCGAGAATCTTTAGAAGAACGTGAAAATCTTGTCCTCTTAAATATTTCAGTCACATCTAAGTTTCTTCTGACCTCGTCGCCTTCTTTTTCTCCGGACGTAAGGTGCGTACAAACGAAGCATAGACTTGTCTCATGCAACGACATGCTGATTGATACCGAGCCCTACATAAGGTTTCATCGTTAATTAGCAACCAAGCATATATATATACACATTTATTAATATATCTTAGAATCATCAGCTCTACTGAAACGTATATATGCATATCTTGGACTAACCTTGTTTCCAAGATATCCCATGATACCACGGCCAACGCAGGAAACCTTGAGGTTGGTTATACGTTTTCGGAGATCATCTCTAACCCACACACATAGAAATATCCCCACCATTTGTTTACTCGCCGCAAGGCTATATCCGCGAGGAGGGGTCGAATTGCATGGAGTTTTATTATCATCCGAGAGACCTGAGAAGCTGAAGCGGGGCTGTTGTGATGTTTTCGTAAGTTCAAAGGAGGTTCCGTGATTTTTAACAACATCAAGGTCGTTGTTGTTGTTCAAGGCTTCTCGGATAAGAGACAACCACTTAGCCGCAGGACCATTGTCCTCGGCTCCAAGAACATTACCGGCATTTAGTGGCACGATTTCTTGAAACCTAGAAGAAAACAAAATAATGATATGATATAATTAGTCCAAACAATATTGTAGTACAAGTAGGATTAAATACGTTAATATGATTATAAGCATACCCTAGCACGTAAATGTCGGCATCAGCGGGAGATTCAAGCCAATCTTTTAAGTCTAATCCTTCATGTGGCGACTTCCCTCCCACGTTCCATGTCCCCACGAACATTCTAATCATCAACAATTAAAAAAACTTAGTTAATAACCATAGCTAATTGTAACTTAAAATAAAATAATTTTATAGGTTAATTATGAAAGTATTTCTTACTTGAGATCAAGTTTATCATCAACGCGTGTCACATGTTGTTCACCGGTTGATTGTATTAAATCTCCATTCCCTTGGCCCAACCAACCTATTTCAACCACAAAAATATAAAAACATTAATAATAATCAATTAACGACCTACTTATAATTACTAGTATTATAAAATTTTATAATCAGACAAAGTTATGTATAAAACAAAAACTGGTGAATTTGTGAATAGCAAGTACACCTAAAACCAAAGACTTTTTTTTTAAATCAAAACCTTATAGCGTAAGTCCTCATCTCTCACCCTACACGTGGAAACAGATATTACAAGTTTACAACTTATCTATTTTTTTGTTTTGTTTTTTTCTTTACAGCTAGTAGTCTCATTTTATAACTTTTTTAAATAACACGATTTCCAAGAGAAAATCTCGGTTCCTTAATATGCCATTTTATGCCGTCGTTTTAAACACAGATGTCTAATCCTACGACTAAAAAAGATGGACCCAATCACCCAAAGCTCTTTCTATTGTACGGACTACGGAGACTGTCTCAGTCCTAGTACGGTTCACGGACAATTGATACGACACCGTTTCCGATGCAACAAAACGATAGTAATAGTAAAATACATGTTGCTTTTACCAGGAAAATTTTCCGGCACGATCATGTCGGAACAGCTTTTTCTCCTTGGCTCCATACACGCTAGGGACAAGAAAATAAAACTTCGGTAAGTCGACTACAGTATTAATAAAACGGCACGTAGTTCTGAGGAAAAAGATCCAAAATAGCACGAGTCAATATCTCTACCTTTGACTGGATAGTCGGAGTGAAATTCGTAAGCGCCGCTACGTAGGTTAAGCCACTTCCTCACGACGGTTCTTGGCCAAGAAGACTATAAAACAAAACGCAGCCGGTTTTAGCAAAAAAAAAAGATGAAGAAGAGTAGAGAACTAAAGAAGGACATGTGATTAATTAATTAGTACCTTAGATTTCAAGATCTTCCCCATCTTTCTGTAATAGAACGCTCTGCCGTTTTTTCCGCCACCGTTGTTGTGTTGTACAAAGTCAAGAACCACGAATCCGAGGATTTATAAAGGATGAGGATCTGGACATCAAGAGGTAAGCAAGATATTAAGTACGCGTAAGAGAAAACGAAGTTAATGAAAAACTAATGACTAATAACTATAAGAATATTATTCATTGAGCAATTTGGGTCCAATCAAAGATCAAGAAAGACAGAAATTATAATGTATAATAAGAATACGCAGACAAAAAAATTTGAACCAAAAATAATACTAGTAGCTAAGAGATTCAACGGGAAAATAGAAAAAAAAACTAGTTGCAGGAGAATCGGAGACAGATATTTTAAAAACTACCTTATTATAAAAATAATCAGTTCTAGAGTCTTAATTAAGGAGAATTATATTAAAAACCATGTTGTAAAAAAAATTTAATCAACACATGTCATGATGCGTATGAAGCCATGTTCTTCCTTTACGATATTAGCTTCTCCTTTACAGAGAGAGGGAAAACGAAAACAGAGTACATAAAAACAGAGAATTACGTTTTGTAAAGAAGAACTGAAACTTTGTTTCTTGTTTTCGAAATAAAATCTTATTACCCGGAATTATAAGCGTAACCATCTTTGAACTAGGGAGGTGCAATAACGAGATCGATGAGAGGAACGATAAAAATGGTTCTTTTTTTCTTTTGGGTCACCAAGGACCATTGTTTCTATGGTTAGTATTAAAGGAGAAAATAAGGAAACAGAGCTATCATGAAGAGAAAAGAACAGAGCAAGTAAAAGACGACGAAGGCACGAGGAAAATTCAAGCGAAGACATTAGTGAGTTCAAACAATAAAACAGTCTTGTCCGAAAACGACTTAAGGAAACAAATAGGTTAATTACAAGAGTTAGTAATAAGCTCTAGTAATTCTAGATTTCTAAGGGGAAGCTAATAGACTTACATGAGCATAAGTTATACAAAACTAGGTTTTGTGAACGAAAATGGAGAAGGGCCAGTTTAAATTCTGAGGACGAGAAAAAACTTGTAAGGGAGAGAGAAAAGTTGTGAAGGATGAAGAAGAACGTTGTGCGCTTAATACGGCTGTAAATGGAATTTATAAAAGTTGTGTTTATGTGTGGAGGTGGACTGATTGGACCAATATATTTCTATATTTTATTTGTGATATTTTTAAATATTTAATGATACTTTACATTACCTAGGCAAAGGTTATTAAAAAGGTGAATTGATATGGAAGGGTTAGTAAAAATTTTATGGTAATCGTCTTAGTTTATGCAATTTTTCCTTATTTGTAATTTTGGAAATTTACTATATTTTTGGTTATTGGAAATTTCCTATAATTTGTTTGATTATGTGGAGATCTAGAAGTAG